CATGTCGAGGACTAGGGGGGTTTGTCATTCGCGTGATAGGTGACAAAAAAAAAACGGGTGGTGTTTTACCGTTTGGAGAGGATGAGAACGGTGAGAATGACGGTAGAGGTCGGGGCTGTAATACAGATATTTTGAGACTCGGAGTTGCCAGGGCTCTCTCATTGTAATGGGGTAGCGAAAGAGGAATTGTGAGGCACGTGATACGGGCTATGTGTGGCATGGGCTTGATTGTTTGGCTTTGCAGTTCATGATCCAGTCGTCTCTACGTTAAGATGTCAGCGTGACTTTGTTATCTAGTTGGTGAGTATCAACTTCAAGTGTGTCAAGGTACAAGCCAGTCTTGTGGTTCAGTTTGACTCGGATGTTGAAAGAGATATCAAGAGGGTATTAGACCAGCCACTGCAGTTGACTTGGCTCGTGGTCTTTGCCCATGTCGATTTCTCGCGATGTTAGTGATAACGGCAATGAAATGTCCGGTGGCCAAAAACCCGATAAGAACTGTTTGAGCAAAGGTTCTATTCATATAACAAGAAATTCGTCTTGTGGTCACCAAGTGTTGCTAGAGCCATTGGTTTGGCGTGGTGCCAGCCATATCTACAGTCATCTAAAAGCGGGGGTAGTTTTTTGAAACATAATATCATCATACTCGATATTGTTATCACCTTTCGATATTTATAATAGTTAGTAAAAGACAGTTGCTGTTCCTCGGGCGTGACTATTACATGACACATGTTCTGATGGTCACCCGTCATCCAGACAGCTAGGCAGGTAGAAGTCAGGAATCGTCAGACTCCAGCGCTGAAAACCGCGCTGCTTGTAACACTCCAGCCACCTAGTTCTATTTTTCCCTTAAATAACCCAGTTTTAGGGTGCCTATTTTAAGGGTAATGGTATGGTAGCTATGAAAGTTATGAAGCCCCATTACAGTATCCTGTCTTGCCCGAAGAAGTGTGGGCGAGGTGTAGTCCCGCCAGAGGTTCAGGCCTGATCCAATGAAATCCATTGTAACATTTACTTCACAGAGCCTTCTTCTACCCACTGGCTTTCCAAGAGCGGACGTTCAAAATCCCGTGTCTACCGCAAATCCATGGCACGCTGAGGAAAAGGTGAATGGGAACAACTGACACTGTACAATGGTTTTACTTTCCATCTGTCATGACTTACTATAGACTGTTGCACCACGGATACCATATCCTACGAGTTTAAAGTCTGGGGTAGCCACTTACACGGATTTCGGCAAGATTGGCTGGCCAACGACCGTCTCGATATGGGTTATGCTTCACTGGGACCAGTCAGCTTTTCCCGGCAGCTAGGCTACAAGCGCCATTAGACAGACAATTTCCATGTCCGCTCATACTACAAGTGATCTTATAAGTGCGGATTTGATACTAGTTCATAGACAGTTGTTTATCCAGCTGAGGTCGTAACAATTGTCTTTCGAAACACCAGATGCTTGTCAGACACTTCTCCTTCAGAGGCGGATAGCGATATATTACTCTGATGCAGGAATTACTTAGCCACTTTCTGACTCAAATCAAGTTCAATCTATCACTAGACTTACCATTAGGGCTCCCCTACTACGAAAGATAGACGAAGTAGTTGCTGTTGGTATCACAGAATACCTGTACAGGCGTAAGAAGAGGAGATTTTCTCAAGGCATGGTGAAAGATATATCGTTTATGGATGAAGAAGTTATGAAAGGGCGATATGAAGTTGCTGGAAGAGATTGCCCGTCATGTGGGTAGTTGAGGTCGCCTACCAGCTTGAGACCTGGTGGTCGGCAGCCGGTGGCATGGGCGGCTGCGAAGCCATTTCAACTTGGAATTCCAACTACTGCAATAGTTTCCATCCGTTCAAACTAACAGCTCCATCAATTATGACCAATCAGGCATGATCCATGGCACTGCATACCATTCTGGCCTCTACTGTAATCGGGAAGCTTCGTAACAAAGGCCCAGTAGAGATTGTGCCGCCAAGTCAGACTCAATGCAGGTTTTGCCTTGCTGAAATACCACACAGATGAGTTACAATTCCTATAACTGGCTCGCGCAATAACGATACCGAGACTTAGATGAGCTTAGAGAAAAGCCGAGTTGACTGGAAATTGATGCTGCGGGCCCTACCTTGATTTGCCACGTAATAACATCGTATTTTAACAAGACCTCTGGTAGACTTGCCACTTTTGATATTGGGTATACTGCGAGAGACTTACAACAAGAAAATGAGAAGATCAACATACTTTTGTAATTGTATATCTAAGCCAGGGCTCTTCTAACAAACTATATATGTGATTTTGGTGCGAGGCTTGACCTAATTTAGTTCAGAAGAGGAAGGTGCTTCAGCACAGATACGATTTCATGGCTCAATTACCAAGCACGAGCACCTTGTTCTTTGCAACTCGAGCAAGCAGGAAGAAGTAAGGCGCTATGAGTAGTCCTGATGATGCGGAATGCAAGACCAACGCCGGGTGCTTAGAAGTAGCCAAGACCTCGCAGACCTGCTATAGAGTTCAACTTCTGGCCCTTCATGATGTAGTAATAAGCAAATTATTGAGATAAATGCAGTAAGGGGCCTTCGGCGGCTGGAGATGGACATTCGCTTCGAGTCGTATGATGAAATGCGTCCGAGAACCGCAGCCGCGAAAAAGTCTTTCCGAGAATTACTTGGTTACCTTTCTTTTCTCTCTCTATGGCAAGTGGGTCTTAAATTGCTCTTTTCCGACCCTTAATGGCTCCCACACTTTTTTCCCTACCGTTCCGGTCCCATCTCCTCTTTCTCTTTCACATAGAAAAACCCGATCCCGTCAAGGCTTCCTAGCTGCTTGCCCAATGAGGTTGAGTGTTGTAAGTCCATGATTCAAGGCTTTTTATACAACGAGAATCAACACTGCCTGGGCTTATTCATTGGGAGCCCCTGGAAAATCGACAACACTGACTGGCACCAGCTATAACATGCTTCGGTGAGGGGACAAGGCTTCGTGTCTATAATAATCTCAACACATTTAGTTTTTAATGAGAATGTTCGATTAAGCTATATAAATAAGAAAGCCACAAGGGACGTAGCTGGGCAGGTCTAAATACTTTTTTTACGACCACCTCGCAGTACCGAAACACCTGCAGTAGGCATGGTACAAGAACACAATTCTTAACACTAGCTGATAGTGAGTGATATCTCGATGAGGGAAATTTAGCTTTCCGCCCCCTGAGCTGGATATGGCAGTTGGATTTCCTGCTACGGGCAGTCAGTCCACTTTGCCTGTCACCATATGCCCCAAGAGGACTCGCAATACAGTCCACGATGCCAAGGCGACATTAGTATACCGGCGTAAAATACTTGTTAGGGGTCAGAATAAGAGGCTGAAAGATAGTTAGAATTGTATTTCGTCTGGTCGTAATGTTCCTCAGCTCAGCTTCAAGACGAGTCTGGGGATGACTCTCTTCCCTATGAAGCGTGAACTACTCTTCCAAGACAACGGAATCAACTGAGTGCGCTCGCTTAAAGTATTTCTAGTTTCTAGGCATTTAGTCTTTTTACTTTCTGTCACTGCCGACTTTTGGGGTAAGGACAAACCATTTAAGTACATTATTGGAGAAAGCCATGACTTCGATTCCCTGCCTTATAATGTAAGAGAATGGGGATACGAGAGACATCCCTTACAAGACTACCTGGCTTTTCATATACTCATCTCACTTTCAGGTAAGCGTAATGTATGTTAATGCTGCACAGGCAGCCATTCCCGTCTTTTCTCCTTGTCACTATCTGATAGAAAGCAACATCGACTGGATCATTCTCATTTCTCCGTTTTCGGCACATTGATATCGGCCGCATTTGAACCCAACGCATAGATATGCATGAATAGGTATCACACTTTCACTAATGCTGCATTTGGCTCACGTAGCTAGAATTACTATGGGTTAAGATTTTCAAAAGAGCAGAATGTGAACGCCAGACTCCTTCACTTCCATATATGTACGCAGTTAAAGACATGTTGAGAATATACTTCATTACAGTCATACAGTCAGAGCAGCTGGAATCAGTGTATCTACAACTCGTCAACGTATCGCCCAGGCGTCGGACTGCTGTGAAATCTAAGATCCAACCGGGAGTAGCTCCGTCACGGCCGATAAAAATGCCGAAAGTGGGTCCACAACCGGTACAACAGCCGGAGATGTAGCATCCAGTTTCCTGGTTCTCGTTCAAGAAAATCAATGGTTCTTACTCAAGCCCACTTGCCCGGCGACATGATCATCCGTAAATGGTTGTGCTACCTTTGGTTTCATTAGCAGAAATATACCAAATATCGTATCAGCCCTCATAAATACGATTGCGCAACCACTAACTTGTCGCATTGGGTTAGTCTTCTGAAAATTACAGGACTTAACTGACAACGCCTCCTAAAAAGAATGAATATAATGTACTAAGCATACCAGCATTGGTGGTGAATAGGGCTACTCCTCGGTGCAGCTGCCACCAGGTTGTACTAGCCTCAAGATATAACGCATGGGCTCTGCCTTACCGTGTTGTCGATTTAAGGGATTTGAGCAAAATTACCGATGCTTACTTCACCTACCCATCATGATTTGAAGGCTGAGGTTGCTCGCGCTGTGATTTCCCAGTTGGGCTAGACTTAGACATTGCGTCACAAATCTGCACGTTGACCCACTTGTACTATGTGGGCAAAGCATGTGGGGCGATCTTCTCAAAGCTGTCAGCATGAATAATCCAATCCTAAGCAGCACATTTGCGAAATTCCTGTCCAATCAGCACCCCCAAACAGCCCCCCGCTGTCCTGGGCGACCGCCGCCTTAGGTAAACGCTTAGACATCTTCGCCAGGGGCATGTGTAAGACCCTTACAGTAGTGCTCCGCTGATACATTGGAGATATAAGCGCAGATGAGATTTGCAATGCTGAACAACTGTCCAAATCAATCTTCAGGTTCGTTCTCGATCGCTCTAGCTTCTCTTGCACATCGTGAAAACCGAAAGGAAATCAAGTATATATGCCTCGTCTCACGACCATCACTGCGATTTTCGCTATCTTCGTTTCCATCATCATCTTCAACACACAACTCAAGAGCATCATCACAGACATCACCACTTCACTCCTCAACATAAACACCACCAACATCACACTTTCAAACCCACCTGAACCATCCATGCTCAACGCAGTCAAGAACACAATGTCCAAGACTCTCCACCACGCAAAGATCACTCCCCACCGTAGTGGCACCCGCGGCCACTCGGACCACGGTTGGCTCAACACCTACCACAGCTTCTCTTTCGCTGACTGGTATGACCCGCGCTTCAACAACTACGGCGCTCTGCGTGTCCTCAACGAGGACCGCGTAAAGGCCAACTCGGGATTCCCCACCCACCCTCATCGCGACTTTGAGATTTTCAGCTACATCCTGTCAGGAGAGCTTACGCACCGCGACTCCATGCTGCAGAAGGGTAACGAGGGCGGCCAGAGTGACAAGTTCTATCGCATGCACCGCGGTGATGTCCAGTTCACCACGGGCGGCACCGGTATTGCCCACTCCGAGATGAACGAGCACAACAAAGACACGGTGCACTTCCTCCAGATCTGGGCCATCCCCTGGAAGCGCGGTCTTCCCCCTACCTACCACACCCGCCACTTCTCTGAGGAGGACAAGAGGAAGGGTTTCGTCAAGATCCTTTCGCCCCTCAAGGCCGGCCCCAACGCTACCTTGGCGGAGGAAAAGGCCGCTGAACCGTCCATCCCGGATACCATCCCCATCCACGCTGACTTTGTCATGGGCGCGGGCATCATCGAGCCCAACAAGGCTTTTGAGTGGAATGTCGGCGCCAAGGTTACGCAGCAGACAAAGCGCAAGGTGTTCATCCACCTGCCAATGACCAAGAGTGGCAAGGCTAAGATCCGCATCGACGGCCGCGACGATGCCATCCTCTCAGAGGGTGACGGTGCGTTTGTCGACGCAGTCAATGCTGGAGACAAGTTGAATGTCGAGAGCGTCGGCGAGGCAGAGGCAGAGGTTGTTGTTTTGGACACGGCATAAACATGGAACACAGGATACCAGGAAAATTATAGACTTTGTTTTAGCGGGTTAGCATGTTCAGTTTTACCAATATACCTGAAATATTAAACTTGATTAGAGGAAAAATAGTGTTCAGTGCCAATGTGACGCAAATAGCTCAGCCCGAGTGTTGTCAAATGACAATGTGTAATAGTATGGGTAAGTCCCTGGTACAGGGAATGACGGCCCGCAAGGCTGCCACGGCAATATGAGACGACTTGTTCATTGTCTAGTTGAAGATATAAGAGGTTCCAATTCGGCCGAGATCCGTTGAGGTCGATGCTATCCTGTATTTAAGTTGCTAAAATTGGTAGTTGCCAAGATCGCTCCCCTCACAAGGGGCGTTTCATAGCCTATCAGCTGCTCTATGACAAAATATGCGAATGCAACATGATTTAGCCAGAGGAGTGACAAGTTTGTGCCCAATAAACATATTAAATAGTGTTTCAACGAAAGAGGATGAACAAGGAGCAAGAACTGGCATGTTGAAAAGAGGGAGTGAGAGTGAGAGCAAAACGGCGGCACGCCCAAACGACTAGTAAACCACCGAAAGCTGTCCAACTCCAGGTCGGGCATATGGAAATGCACATAGTTTCTTCCGTACAATATTATAAGAAAACTTCGATAAGAAAGGCATAAAACTGTTGATCGTTCACAATTATGAGTGAAGTTGAGTTGGTTGCAGTTGCTTAAGCGCACGACAAGTGAGTGAGTGGGCGTGTGCCCTACTGTACGAATTATTGCATGCACAGTATTTATCAGCATCAACCCCTGCTTGAAAACAGTGCGAAGCGTTGGAGGAGTGCGGGGGAGTTGCTTGCAAATCAAGCATTAGTTTTTCACACAAGCATTTTCCTTAGACTCACAACCACACATTTTCCGCCACCGAGGCCATTCGCATACAGGAAACCAGACCGCAGCGCCTCCTATTTTTAAAACCTGCCACAGCGGTTGCAAAATGCATCTCCAGCCTATCGACAATACCGAAATGGAACCATTCACAATTGCCATGGATCCCGAACCCCGGCTCAACACCCATGCGGAACCCCAGGAGACCTTTGACGACGTCTGGGGTTCGGCGCCAGCCTCACCTACTATCATCCCACTTGATGCACCGGCAGGCACACACCCGTCCGATATGCCGAGACTGCAGGCTGAACATACCACTGCCGGCTATCGTGAGGGAGTTACCGCCGCCAAGGCCACGAGCATCCAAGCTGGCTTTGACGAGGGCTTCAGTCTGGGTGCCGAGATCGGCTCCCTCTCCGGCCAGCTTTTAGGTCTTCTGGAAGGCATCGCCAATGCCCTGGATGGTCAGGAAGAAGCCGTCGCGAAGGAGGCACAGCGGGTCTTCGAGGAGGCTAGGAAAGAGCTCAAGACTGACTCGATCTTCGGCCCAGACTTCTGGAATACCGACGGTACCTGGAAGTTCGATGTCGAGAAGAATTCCGCGGACGAAATTCTCTTCTCCGATGTGGCTCGTGCCCATCCCCTCATCAAGAAGTGGACAAAGTCCGTAGACGCCGAGATTGACCGATGGGGTATCGTTGTCAATGCCATCGGCGATGCGGACGAGCATGAGAGGCAGCCGAGTCCGGAACGGGTGCCGAGCTCTGCGGTGCCACAAACGAAGAAGGTGCTAGACTGGTGAAGTTTTTACGGCTGGTTGCTGCTCCAGAGAATGGGCTGAAGCATGGACAACCACTTCTCAGGCCCCATCAAGGGTTCATGCAGATGAGGCTTCGGGCCGAGTTGGTCTATGTAGGCGACATCTCATCTACATTGCCGTTGGCCATACACCTCAAGTATGGAGGAGTAACAATTCGGTTTTTTTAGTAAGTCTCCAATTGATGATTATGCAGGGTGGGACGTGTGACTAACTTGACATAGCCGAAAAAATTGCAATGATATTAGGGGTGTTATGACTCGACTGTGTCTTTTTGGAAGACGAGGAAGCCCCCCGTTACGGCTAGAGTGTAGTTAATTCGGACTCACAAGCTCTTCGCAAGACTTCCTCTGTTGTTTCAGGCGTGGCTAGTGCTGGTCTTACCTGAGCCGCAAGCTCACTGGACGTGGCGCGCTTTCTATTCGTGTCGTAAAGAAGCGAAGCACACACATCGACGGCCAGTTGTTCTCTTTACCCTGGCTCTACTACGTAACGCACCATTCTTCTGGTCTTTGACGGCTGCTGGGTTCACATTCTTGGGGCAATGCATTATGTCAAGAAAATGTTCAGACGAAGGACCACCCGTCACTTCGCTGACAGGAAACTACAGTTTGTAAACGTCGAGGGATTCCAGGCTGTTTGTCGAAACAATCAAGATATTCAATGCACCTCAAGCCTGTCTCCGCATGAAGTAGATCTGCATGATTTTCACAAGTCAATGAAAGAGCCGCCCGCAGTCATCGAGATAAAAGAAAAATCGTTTTGCGAAATTACGCTTAAGCGCAGAAATCTACGAGATCATCGCCACCGCTGGTCTGGCGACTGGCGATATCCTGTGAGGCCACCACTTAACTGACATCATTTAACCCTCCATTACAGTCGTCATTGTTCTATTCGGAGTTCGCGAAAGGGGTGAACAGGAAGTTTCCCTGGCTGCTTTGACATTGGAAATTGGCAAAAGTCATGGGAGAGGGGTCCATGCTGTTTCGAAAGTTCGAATGATGGGCTGTGCTGCCTCACAATTGGAGGGGTCAGTCCCATCTTAGTCGAAGTCTCTTTAAGCTCACAACCTCACATGCAAGGGGCCGCGCCACTTTAGCACACCTCCTGGTTGTCGGACGAGGTGACATCGTCCCCCGCCCTTGGACGATTTGGGCCAGTGTTGGTTGGCCGTGCGCAGGGGATCCCACTCACGGACGTCTAGCTTCGTCCCTGAACACTACCATGCACGCACACAACGGCGCCGCCAATCCCCCCCCCCCCCCAGCTTTTCCCCTTTTACGACCTTCTTTCTTCTATTCTTCCAAAATGGAGACGAGCCTGGCGGGAGCCGGGGCCTTCCCCGGCAGTTGCGCTCGACCGCCCTCCCGTATCCGTAACTGTCGTCCCAAATTGATCTGCAGTAATTTTAGCTGTCCACTCTATCTAGATCAACACACCCTGCGCCTTCAACTAGTCTCCAGCACGGATTGCCCAATCACAGCGATCTTGGATAGTAGTTGGCCTTCGTATTGCCATTCTTGGAGTGCATTGGACCTTAGTAGCCCTCTCTTTGGTGGGATAATGGTATGATGAAATCGAACTAGTCTATCATGGCGACTCAGCCGGAGCCCCACGAGTCTATTCGAAGAGTCGCGCTTAACGTCTCTTCCTGGCTCCCATGCTGTTCATCACCATATCCCCTCTTCTAGCGTCGACGATGGAAAAGGTTGAAAAGGGCGGCTGATCACCCTGTTTCCTGTCCGTTTCTCTCTCCTCTCTTCAGTATCTCTGATACCAGTACTTTCACTAATACTTTCAATAACGACCTTCTCTCTTCTCGCTCTCCTTCATCATAGACCCTCGCCTCTCCTTTCGAGGTTTATTATTAACACATACAATCACACAACATATACACAATGCGTTGCTCTACTGTCGCAGTATTCGGCCTCGCTGCCGTTGCCCACGCTACGTGGGACGGCAAGTTCAGCTACCCGCCCGGCATTGAGCCTCTTGGCATCTCCGGCGGCGGTGGCATCGACTTCAACATCAAGACTTTCGGTCCTGTCGAGGGCCCTCCGTCAGACTGCATCTCCGTCTGGCACCCGCCTCACCCGGACGTCTACATCGACGACTGTGACAGCGACAAGGAGCACGGATGGCATTGGGTTCACCCGGGAAAGCCCAAGTGGAACAAGCCCGGCAAGGACAAGGACCACGACAAGCCTGGAAAGGACAAGGACCATGACAAGGACCATGACAAGCCCGGCAAAGATAAGGATCACGACAAGCCCGGCAAGGACAAGGACCACGACAAGCCTGACAAGCCCAAGGAGCCTGAACAGCCCGATGAGCCTGCCACCACGGCTCCGCCCAAGTGGAAGTGGACGACTTCCACAATCACCCAGACTGCCGTCTCGACCATCTTCAGCTGCCCCCCTTCGGTTCCCGACTGCCCGGCAAACGGTGGCGGTACCAAGTACAAGACTGTCACCGTCCCCGCCGTCGTGACCATCTGCCCCGTCCCCGTCGAGCCTAACCCGGTCCCCCCTACGCAGCCCGTTGCTCCCCCCAAGACCACCGCTCCCGTCCAGCAACCCGTTCCTAGCAACCCCACCCCTCCTGAGACTCTGTCCTCAGTCCCCATCCCGCCTCCCGTGCAGTCTGAGCCTCCTGCTGCGCCTCCGGCGACCACCACCAAGCCCAACATCGGCACCGTCACTCGCCCCAACCCCACCGCGACCACCGGCCGCGTCGTTGTCACTGCCGGTGCCGTTCCCAATGTCCAGCGCGCAGGCGGCATTGTCGTTGCCGCTGTCGCCGCCGCCGCCGCTTTTATCTGAAAGTCTTACTTCGGGGCGTTTTATTTTCTCGATTTAGAAAGACTAGCACTGTTTTGGGGGTTTCGTTCCAAGATTGTATAGAGATTTCCATCGATTTACAACATAATGACAATACGGGTGGGGGGTACGGGAATAAACGGGTGGTATACCAAATGGGCAATTAACTTGAGGGAAAGGCTTTTTCAACGAATGACACGGGGTTTACTTGGACGGTTGGGTTGGTTTTCCCTGGGACTTTGCGATTCTTCTTCGCAAAGGGGGGAGACCCTCTGGCGTCTGACACCCAACTTAATTAGTTCTAACGCTAATATAATGGGTTCTGGTTCTGTTTTTTAAAACCTTGGTCTCTTGTGATTGTTCCCTCCCAAAACGCCTCTTTGGTGACTGGTGCCGATCTGACCACACAAGGGCATCGCACCATGGATTTAGCGTGGATTCGTAGTTCCTCCCCGTAATTTAATCGACCACAGCCAGTTTTTTGCTCTACACATAGTAATACCAACGGCGGTGGTAATTAGCAATAGCCCATCTGAAAAGTCCGGGGGATCGACAGATCGACGGTGTAAAGCCTATCTCCCTTGCGTGTGAGGTTCTTCGCCTAAAGTTGGCGCCGACTTTAATGTCTCTTAAGATGAAAGGATGCTAGTGCATCGCACTGCAAATTGCCTTCAATATGCTTATATTTGCGTTCGGACCAAGTACGGATATCTCGGAACCGCACGCGAGTCGAGAACGTGGCATAGGCCCATTCGTACGACCCACTGGCGGCGAGTGCTCGAGTTGAGCGGTCTTGGTTTCAGTAGACGAATGTCCTTGCCGTTGCATGCCGAATCGTTGAGTTGCCTTGCGTCTGGAGAAGCTGAATACTAGCCCACAAATGGGCCATTTTCGTGTGTATTGCTGGCTGCAAGGTTTGGGATGGTTTCCTCGACTTCGTATACCGGAGGGGGCGCCATGTTTAGACGAGGCAGTCATGGTTCCTCTCGGATTTGAAGAGCCTGACTTCTCCCGCACCTGAAGCCAAGTACAGCATACTGCTGATGGACGTTCCAGATGTCTCCCTTAACCCTATGTTCCTGCCAAACGCTTCGCAACGTCTTCCACGCGGTGACTGTCGCCAAGCAATTCTCTTGTGACCTCACGATCCCGCCCGCCGTTCCCAAGAACGACAGCTTTCTGGATTTGGCCGTCTTCACTCATGACCAGTCTACCTGATCTACCATCGGCCCACTCGATGCTTATCTGCTTCGCTTCGGCGTCCGCAGCGGAGATACTGACGACCGCCTGCTCCGACTCCCCATCCTTTCGTGCACCTCCACGCAAGCCGGCAGCCCTCTGAAGGTCGCCTATGACTGCAATCCGGTTGTGGTACCTGCTGATTTCCCTCCTTAGCGTCCGAACAAATCGAGACAAGTCTTGCGTCGTCTGTTTCACTGCATCAGCCGGCTTCGGGGCAGGCAAGTGCCGTGCAGCAAGTCCGGCAAGTGGAATGCAAGGGGGAACTGTGTGACGATGTACTCGCAGGTGTCGCGAGTTTTTGTAGGGCCGGTTGAGCATGACATAGAATGGTCGTCGGAAACGCGCGTCGGCCATTAGTTCGATCCTGATTCCAAGAACATTTCCGTGATCAACGGCGTTAGGGTCTGGGTCCTGGACCTTGAAGGTTGTGACTGTAGCGCAGGTTCGGTACAGGCAATGTTGGTCGTGTGCATCCTGAGCTTTCGATCTCGAGAGTATCTTTTCGCGGTTCGGATTCGATTCGGATGGGAGCGCAAGGGCGCCTCGACTATGGTCGGTTTGACGGAGAGCTTTGCGTATGGGTTCGGAAGATATTAGAGCGGTGGACTGAATTTTCAGGTCCTTCTTCATTGACGCGACTGACAAAAAGAGTGTAAGTAGTCATCGAGGCATGATCCGAACCGCATCTTACTTCTAGCTTTAAGGTCCTCAACCTCTTGGTTGAGGGCCTCTGAGACCGCATCTTGCACCTCAGCGGACATGACGTTTGCCGCGTTTACGTGTATGGAGAAAAACACCCAAAGCTGTCCAGGTGAGAAGGCGCAAATATTGTGGTTGCGATGACGTGATCGGTAGACTATACGCGGCGACGCGTCCCAAGTTGACATTCGTTGCGCAACGCAAGTCAACAATACTGGTTGCGACCAGCAGGTGGGGCTTATCTAATCGCTTATCTTATCTTAAGCGAATCTCCAGTTTAGGCATGGTGTCAGGGGTCCCCGACAGCTCCCCGGGTGGCTTCCTCTTGTGGAGCGTGTTGGAACGAGGATAAGCTTTGTATCTTTCCCCGTCCAGAATTCCTTCTTCTTCTTCTCGTCGCCAAGTATCGTCGCAAACCAAAAGACACGCCGCATTGGTGTCTCGTTCCGCTTCGATAAATTTTCTTTACGTCTCAGTCCGCTTTGGACTTGGGTCATTTACTTTTCCTTTTTTCTGGACATTCCTTTCCCGTCCTTTGTTGGAGCCGAGATTAGGCCCGCGGGCGATTATTCATTATCGTTGCCACTAGCTTTTCCCCAAAAGTGTCAAAGGCCACGGTTGCGCTTCCTGTCCACTCCGGCCAGAACACATCGCCATCCTCGCGCACTCTTACCAACCAGAAACTCGAACGCACAAGCATCCCGCGCTGCACCGTCCCGGTGCCTAGCGACTGTCACTGGTCTCAAGTTGCCCTGCAAGCCAGTGTCGCCTTGACTCTCACGGACTCTGCTCCACCCCGCCTTCGACCTATCTCGATCCATCTTCGAAACTAAAACTTTATTCTCTACACGACTCCTGACTTGTCGCACAAAGTCTTTCGATACCTTTTCTTAACCTTTCGATACTACTCTTTTCCCTCGACCATTCAATACTGCTCTACATTTTACAGCTGCGCCGCAAGTTCCAATCTAACGCGACCACCAAGCACAAATGAGCGTCCGAACACGCCGTAACAAGTCCGTCAAGCGCAAAGCTTTGGCCGATCTAGCTGTAGACACAAACGGCACAAACGGCCACGCCAACGGCGATATGAATCAGAACAACGTTGAATACAGACGGAAGGCTACGACCCCCGGCTCCGACGCCGTCACCGCGAACCTCATGTCGCGTGAAACCTTCACTCTCGACGACCCCGTCCCCAAGACTCCCATCGCGAACAACCATGGCTTCTTCGAGTTGCCCGTGCAGGACCAGCGCAACTTTCTCCTTCTGGTGCTCCTGTACTTTCTGCAGGGCGTGCCCATGGGCTTGGCCGGTGGTTCCGTCCCGTTCCTCATGAAGGACCACATGTCTTACAGTGAGATTGGAATATTCAGTCTGGCCTCGTATCCTTACTCGCTGAAGCTCCTGTGGAGTCCCATAGTTGATGCAGTGTGGAGTCCCAAGGTCGGGCGCAGAAAGAGCTGGATTCTTCCCATTCAGGTTCTCTCTGGTTTGGGAATGCTGTGGCTTGGTTCAACCGTCGAGAACATGATGGCGACCACCGGCAAGCCCGGTGGTCCTACCGTATGGAACTTTACCTGGTGGTGGTTCTTCCTGGTGTTAATGTGTGCCACCCAAGATATTGCCGTAGACGGCTGGGCGTTGACCCTCTTGACGCCCGGAAATGTCTCGTATGCGTCCACTGCGCAGACCGTTGGTTTGACTGCTGGCCACTTCTTGTCGTACACGGTGTTCTTGGCATTCAACTCCAAGGATTTTGCCAACCGCTACTTCCGCAGCACCCCTCTTGACCACGGATTGATGTCCCTCGGCGGCTACCTCACATTCTGGGGTTGGGCCTACATTGCCATCACCATTGGCCTGTCTCTTTTCAAGCGCGAGGACAAGACCAAGAACGAGGATGGCATCTGGGACGTGTATAAAATCATGTGGGGCGTTCTTAAGCTCAAGAACATTCAGACCATTATCATCGTCCACCTTATTGCCAAGATTGGCTTCCAGGCCAACGATGCCGTCACCAACCTCAAGCTCATCGACAAGGGATTTGGCCAAGAGAATATGGCTCTGACGGTTCTGATCGACTTTCCCTTTGAGATTGCCCTTGGTTACTACGCTGGCAAGTGGTCTCAGGAGTACACTCCTATGCGCCTGTGGTGCTGGGGCTTCATGGGCCGTCTGGTTGCTGCACTCATCGCACAATTCACCGTCACCATCTTCCCAGCTGGCGGTGTGACTTCCTGGTACATGCTGGTAGTCATTGGCGAGCACGTCTTCTCGACCTTTACCAACACGGTCATGTTTGTCGCCGTCTCAGCCTTCCACGCTAGAATCGCAGACCCCGTCATTGGCGGCACCTACATGACCCTTTTGGCCACGTAAGTTACTCTTTTTCTTCTGATCTACAACTCCGATACTAACTGTCCTCCCAGCGTCTGCAACCTCGGCGGTACATTCCCGCGGTTCTTCGTCCTCCGCCTTGTTGACTACTTCACTGTTGCAACCTGCCACCCCGGCAAACCAGCAGACCTCGGGGCTCTCAAAGGTCCTGTCGTCACCGACTCCTTCTCGTGTTCCCTTCAGCCCGATAAGGAGAGGTGCGTCAACGGCGGCGGCACATGCGAGATGGTGCGTGATGGTTACTACTTTGTCAACATCTTGTGCGTCGTCTTTGGCGTCGTCACCTTTATGTTGTACATCCGCCCCAAAGTCCTGCACCTGCAGTCGCTCCCCATGAGGGCATGGCGTCTCTCAAACTCCAGGCAGTAAATGCGAGTGATTTTTGTCATAGAGGAATATCATGTAAACAAACTGCATCATAGCATCACGTAGCGAATTGGCTTGGAGATAACATTCTAGAAGTAAAAACAATTTTATTCGATGCTTTTTTTTTTCTTCTCTCGCTCACACACACACACACACTCTCTCTCTCTCTCTCTCTCATATATTACCATCCATGCGCGCTAATGCCGTTATATACGTGACGCTCGCTATAAATCCCCCATTAAGGTGTCGTATAGAATCAAATGGTCTCAACTCGCTCTCAACTTGGTGCTACTTCCGCAGCGACTGGATATGTTTGGAATGCAGTTCCTGCACGGCGGGGATAATGAGGCTCTCGATCTCCACCTCGGGATCGCCCTCCGGCAGCGCGTCCGGATCCAGCGGCTTGTCCTCGGACGTCTTGCGCTGCGCGCTCGGCACGCGGACCCACTTGTCCTGCTGTCCCGGCGCGACAAAGACGACCTCCCACTTCCGCGTCGAGAGCAGGTTCCCGATGACGAGGTGGTGCTGGTACCGCTCGAGCGAGTACTTTGCCTTGTGCACGAGGATGGCCGGGTCCGTCTCGAGCTTGAAGCTGACGACCATGCCCTGCGGCGCCCAGCCGTCGACGAGGTTCTGCAGGAACTTGGGGACGGGGTCCAGGTCGATCACCAGACGCTTCGAGCGCGGGATCCTGGGAGACGAGTCGAAGTTGTCGAACGTCTCTTCGTCTTCCGAGTTGCCGTTGCCGTTCCCCTTGGGCATCGCCGTGCCGCCGCCGCCGCCGCCACCACCTGAGAAGGAGTCCGTAGCGTTGGTGGACTGGATTTTGTGCTCGGCCATCCTGTCCTGCGGCAGGAAGAAATCCGACACGGCGGCCGCGAGATAAAGGAGGGCGGACGGACCCAGCGGGCGCAGGAGGCCGGCGATGGCGCGCAGCTCGAACAGGTAGTCGGTGATGGTGGTGAAGGGGAGCATGAGGAGCATGTTGTGCCTGCGGGCGGCCTTGTACTTTCGCAGCACGGCGCGCATGCGCTCCTGGTGCTCGGGGTTCGCGACGACGGTGCCGTCGTCGCCCTCGGCGAGGAAGTCGAGGAAACAGTCGGTCGCGTGGGAGTAGTGCCTCGAGTACGGCTGCAGCGAGAACTGACGGTGCAGGAAGATGACTGCGTAGCCGGCCTCGAGGAAGTATTCTGCCGAGGTGGCGCCGCGGGTGCCGGCGGAGAAGTTGTCGATGAAGCGGACTGTCTGCTTTTCCAGCGGAACGGTGGTGCCGCCCGAGGTGACGAGGACGATGCGCCGGTCTGAGATGGAGGAGTGATGGTCGATGAATGAGCGGGCGGCCGAGACGTGGGATTCGAGGTTCTTGGGCGGTGGTTGAGATGAGAAGTAGGCATCTTCTTGGTGTTCGGCGGTTTGCGTCGGAGCAGACATTTTGTATGTTCTTTTCCCCCGGGGTTAGGTTATGTATGAGTGTGTTGTGTGTAAGTGGTGATGAGAAAACAGATGATATGTCCAGTAGTGACTTTTTATGAGAGAGAAAAAGGAAGATGTGTGTGTGTTTGTGTGGGATCTGCATCATGTTAGCCGTGCTCATACATGTTCGCTATATTAAAAAAACTGAAAAGTGATTAGTTATCTCCGATGACTGCTCCGTAAGTGATAAATAATCATGAGAGTGAGGCATATTAGCAAAGTGGCCCCATCACGCTGCCCTCGGTGCCAGTCTCTCTTACACCTCGGTCCTCCGGCACAACTGCTCTCTCATATGACGTGGCTTACATGGCACACTAACCTTTTGATATCAGATTGAGCTTGCTCTATGAGACCGAATTGAAGCTCACTTGGGAGATACTTCGTGGACGGGGATGGATGTTTCCGACGACCGGCAAAAAAGAAGATCGAACACGTAATCGACGACGCCTAGAAACAGAGTCAAAGAAGCGAGGGAAACGAGGGTTTTAACCGTTCGCAGCGACCGCCGGGCTTCCTGTCACGGGCCGAGGGGGGACCGTGCCCCACCGACCCTCCTTCCGTGAGGGATCCTGCCGGGTAATTTTGGGCACGGGGGACGTCGGGTGGATCGGAGCTGTCGACGACGGGGTCAGAGCGGCAGAACGGGAAATCGGTCTCATACAACAAGCGACAAACATGCGTTGATTAGCTGTATCAATTGTTCACTTCGTTGTTTGTTCGGCACCGATAGCCGAGGATGCCCGATCGCCGACAGGAAGGGGAAAACAACACAGAAAGTCATTTTGTACGAAAATTACATTAAAAATATCCCGAGTCTAAACACCAACTAAAGCTATTAATAAAAATCTAGGCTTGCTGTCCAAAACGTAACTCATGTATCAAACATAACAAATTTCTCAAAAAGCACCGTTCTATGATCCAAATTTCTTTCTTCAAAAACTGTTGGCGGCTCAAATGTCTCATACTCTTCTTAGAACACTGCAAAGATGTTCTTTCCCACGCACACAATCTTGGCAGCAAGCAACGCCACCAGTGCCAATACATAAATCAAACCCGTGAAGAGAATAAGGCTCCAGTACTTGCCATCCGTTGCGGTGACGATCTCTCCGCCGATGGGGATACCGACGAGGCACGCGATTGAGACGACGGTGTAGGTGGTTGAGTAGTATCGGCCGTAGTGCTGCGTCTTGCACAGCCTGCCGACACACACGGGACTGATGCTGATGTTGTTGCCGCTTGCAAAACCGAACAGAACAGCGAACACAATCACGCCTGCCGCACTCCCTCCCACGGGCAGCCAGATGGCAAGACACGCAATGATGGAAAGCACGATGGCGGCCATGTTGCTGTTGAATGGACCTGCGATATCAGCCCACCAACCGGGCAAGGCTCTCCCAAAGACACTGCCCGCGTTGAGAATAGGCAAGATCTGGAATGCGAAAGACTCGCTAAAGCCCTGGCTGAGCATGTAACTCGAGATGTAGGTCAGCGGGATGAAGAGCGCAAACTCCATCAAGAAGATGCCTGCAGTCGTTAGACTGAACGCTGTAGACCTGAAAATACGAGGATCGGGGTGCGGGCTCGCGTTGCGGGCGGGCGGCAGCCGAGACTGAATTAGAAAGTTGGAAGCGCCGCAGAGCAAGAGGCAGATGAAGCCTACCGCACGGATAGTCCAGCCCCAGCCGATGCGAGGGAAGAGGGACTGCATCATCAGGGGGAAGACGATGCCGCCAATGGAGCCGCCAGTCGAGGCCATGCCGGTCGCGAAACCTCGGCGGCGCTTGAACCAGTGGCCTACAGCGGCGATGGACGGTGTAAAGACAAGCGAACTACCAAGGCCGCAAAGGACACCAAAGGCGAGTATAAAGTGCCAGTACACTATAAGTTGTCAATATAATCCCTTCCCTCCAACGAGGATTCTTGAGGGTCAAAGAGCTACTTACGTGTGCAGATACTCAAGAGCATGACACCAATAACAAGACACACTGTCCCGGAAAGGACAAGCCATCGCGGACCCCACCGGTCAAACACGGGGCCGATGTAAATTCCTCCAAAGAAACAGAGGAAAGTGTACAGCGAGAAGATCCATCCGATGGTTCCCTCGCGGTATCCCTGCAGCTGATGGGTAGCAACATAGGTCTGGAACACGGCGATGCTGTTCATGATGCCCAGCGCGGAGAAAAGGGCCAGCCACGAACCTAAGACGACAGACCACGCCCGCAGCCCGCCTTCGGGGTAGGTCTCTTCTTCGGCAGTAGTGGAGTAGGTCCCGGCGGCCGACGGGGTGCGGTGAATAAAGTCACCCTTGCCGTCATTGCCGTTGTAAGGGTTCCCCCCGGCGTTGGCGATGGCGTTGGAGACGGAGGGAATCAGGTCGTTTCCGATAGTTGCGGCCGCGCCATCGTGGGCCGCGCTCTCGGTCTTGCTGGGGAGGGGGTAGTCATAGTTGCTGTAGTCGGGTTCCGGGGCGGGAAGGTAGTCGTTATCGCCATGGTGGCGCTGGGATGTCTTTTCCGGGTCCATTGGATAGTGGACGGATAAAGATAAGATGCGGGGGATGGATCTTATTGTTTCTTGCTGTCTGGGTACAGACCCGAATTCCTTCTGATATCTTGCTCCTGCGTGTTTCTGTTTCGGACCCGAGCCTCTTGCCTTGGTCTTCCAGATCCAGAACTCTCCCTCTCTTACAAGCGCAACCCTTCCTCTCAACCTTACAGGACCGCTCGCCTCTCTAAAGCTTTCCCTCCAGCCCAAGACACACAAGGCACAAAACCAAAGACAAGATAGTAATGGCTAAGGGGGTCTTGACGTAACCGTGATGTAAAAGTAAAAGAAATATCTGGTTGGTGCTGATAAACAGTCTTCAGATGGATTTGTAGACCAGCCAGTTGACAGGATATGTGGTCTGCAAACACTTGTACCGCCCGTCGTGGGGGGGCCAGGTCAACTTACTTGTAGTTTTTGGTTTCCGGTAATGGCTTGGTAATGCACTAGAGCGAAACCAAGAGGGGCGGGTCAAGAGGGTGTGCGGGTGTCAGAAGAGTGTATGCAAAGAAATGACAAGGTAGGATGGGTTAGGTGATTTGACGCAAGTCCCAAGTCATTCAGTCATGGCTACGCAAGAAGACAAGAGAAGAAAGAGTATACGTAAAGAAAAGTTTTTTTTTCTTCCTACTCATTTGCTCTTTCATCCTCCTTTACCCCAGACGCCATGGTTCCGGGGCCAGCTTATACGTTTAAGGTAGGTAGGCGAGGCCGAGAAAGGGTTCCAGTTCCATTTCCTTCGCTAGCCGGGGGCCTAGGCAGTCGTGTCCCATGCCGACGTTGGGTCTAAGTCGGGTTGCGAAGTCGCCTGCCGGCTCGCTTTTTTTCCTTATTAGAGCAGTTAACCCCACCAAGAGCACCACACAACACCACCATCGCAAACGCCATTCCGCCCGCCGTGCGTGCGTGCCTGTCAGGCATCTCCAGACAGATACTCTACTACGTATGGGGTTAGAGAAGGACGAGACGCACATCTCCCAAACGCATGGGGTAGGTTAGTGTAGTTTAGGGGCCGGCGGCTCAACAGGGTAGGGAGGAAGAAACCTTCGGAAGAGTCACGAGAACCGGCCAATAGCGTATTTCACTTAGTCGTGTCTTTTCAATCCTTCTTTTTTTTTTTTTTTTTTTTTTTTTTTTTTTTTTTTGCCCAACCCCCACCAACCAAAACAACTCCGACTGTGACTTTAAGCGCAGCGAAACTCCGAAGCCGAGCCCGTAATGTGCTGATCTGCTTCCGAAGCCGATCTAGTAGGTGTGTGCTGACTGCAGTCCAACCCAACTTACACATACTTACAACCAACCTCCATGCTGCAAAAGCACAAAACCGCCGGATTTCTCCTAACAACCGCAAACTGCAAGTAAACGCGACAGCCAACAGCAGCCAAACAAGCAAGCCTTCATATGCAATAAGTTCGCCCTTGGGCAACATCCTCCCGCCCTTCCGCCCTCTTCGCGTTTCCGCGGTTTCATGATTGATTGACTGATTATTTTGCCATCTTCCCACCTACTTACTACCTGGCCCCTCAATGATTACAACTCTTGGCTCTCATCGAGATCGGATCGCACATCCCTTCTCGAACCGGTCTCAAGGTGCCAACAGCAGATGACTCATGAAAACAGAATAGTGACGACCGGGAATTAGTAACGGAAACTAAAGAAAAAGTAGGCGAGGGTTACCCCCCGGTGAGCGGCGGCCGGTAGCGGTCCATCTCAGCTTCCTTGCTCTGTTCCCCACGGCCGCTAACCGAACCTTGAAGAACCCCCTCCCGCTCTACCGCTGTCCGCCAAACACCGATGATGAGTGTCTTTGGCTGGCTGTCCGGCTCCGGCCGCTCGCTTAACACCTCTTATGGCGTGCACGTGCTTAATAGTACGTATGGCACGTGCCTCAGATCTTTTGCATTGATTAATACACCACCCCCCCCCCCCTTTCCATACGGTTACGTTACCCGGAATCTGCTTATATAAGGCAAAGAACGAGAACAAGCACGGACCAGGAAAGTGGATTTTTACTTCAGCGAGCACGCATCTCGGCTTCTTACAAGCGGGGCCAACCCTAGCCAAGCAAGCGACGCTGCTACTGCACAGACAAACGGCCAACATATTCACACGTTTCTCCTGGTAAGGCGCTGCTAACGCTAACTAAAACCCCCGGAACCCAGCTGTGCTGGAGGGAGGAGGGAGGGGCCGCGGGGCATTTTCCCTCTCCTTTATAGTACGTGGTGACTCTGACTCTTTTCTCAACAGCCGCATCGAGTCGACCCATATTAGAGAGCTGTAAAACCCCCACTCAACAGAAAAACCGCATGGCTGGTTACTAAGATACGCATTTCATTGCATCGCCGAGGGAATCGGCCCAGGTCTCGATCATCGGCGGCTGAGGGAAAGGGGGAGGGGGGGTTCGAAAAAAGGTATGTAAGAAAAAGCAGGAAATGCAAAGTATAAAAAAAAAAAAAAAAAAAAAAAAAAAAAACCCTTTGGAAACCGAGCTCATTTGGGATTTTCCATGTTCGCCCACCTCATCACACGTGTTGGACACTCGGAACCGAACGAGTGGGTGCTCGGCCGGGCAGACGCAAAGGCGAACCTACTACTAGTATGTAGAGAGAGTTTTTGGGGATGGATGGGCGGAAGAGTGGTGTAGACCTGCCGCTGACGGCTGCACTGCTGGCTGCACTGCTGGCTGGGCTGACTGCTGGGGGGCTCCCTCTTTCTTCCTTCTTGTCCTAATATCCGATGTTTTTTTTTTTTTTTAAACCAAGGTTGGTTTCAATTCTCACCCGCATGCCATGCCACACCATGTCGTCGCCCAAACCCCGCACTCGCACGCAAATAGCCGTGCAGCGAACACACACACACACCCATTTCTCTCACTACCAGATGTCATAAATTTTATTTTATTTTTTATTTTATTTTTTAGTTTGGGCCAGGGGGGTTGGGGGGAGGGGGGGGGGTCCCTGGGTCTTGGTCTGGGTCTGGGTCTAGACCTTGGTCTAGGCCTGTGCCACCAGAAACGCGAGTGCCATCGCAATATTCCCATCAGATTGCCTTTCTTACCTTTATGTCACCACCAACAGCTACAGGATGTTGCGAGAATAGTGATTTGTCGGAGAAGAGAGAGAAAAGGACAAAAAAAAAAAAAAAGAAGAAGAAAAAAAATAGAAAGATCATCAGCGATGATGCTGTATTTTTTCCCCCCGGTCACAAGAGTCGGCTTCCAAACTCCAATTGCGCTGGGCTTGCATGACTTCATCAGGAACAAATTTCATCACGTCGAAAACTCCACCTGAAAAGGGACAGGATGTTCAAGGTGAATGTAAATCATTTCGACCTGTACCGTAAACTTCACTTGAGTCCATGTCTTGGCCCTACCTTTGGTCAACGCGAGGGCTAGTCGTGAGCCTATTGTGTCCACTACTGTATGCTGAGTATGAGTCCCGTCATAAGTGTGCCACGCTGGGCTGAGCATCAGTCAATCACATCAACACGCCTCGCCTTCTGAGCGATTACTGCGCCGTACACGAACCAGCTGCAGAGGTTTTTCTTCTTTTGTCGTTTTGCTTTGAAATGCTTTTCTCGCTTTCTCCTGTTTAGAGCACATCACTTGCTGGGCATAATATAGCTTCAGCAACCTAAATACTCTTTCTGCCCTCCTCCTTCGACATATGTCGGGCAGCTCGTTCCACAATCACTGCCGCCCGGTATTTGAGCCAGTTAAAATCATGATATATGGGGTCCCCTCATCTGGCAGCGATAACATATGCATCATGACAAACACAGCTGCCTCTCCTCGTCTGTGCTCTTGCTTTGCTCGCGCACCGGACCAAAGCCAGGATGAGAGATACCACTCTCGATTCTCATCCCCCCCTGGTCCCCCCCTGGTCCCCCCAACTTACAGAATCAACTTTTCAGCCTACCATGACACTTCGTAAATATCAAGCTGGTTGATACTCGCCCAAAGTTTATCTTTAAGCAAGTAGCCTTCCCGCCCTCGATCAAGCTGACGTCAAAACATGTTAAGCCCCTATATGCCCAACCATTCATATCATCAAGAACCCTTCATACCGAGACGCCATCCGGGACATACCAGAACACCTCCGGGCCTCCTGAAAGCCAAGCTGGTAGACATTTTCCGTTCCATCCCCTTCGTCCTTGTCATCCATAGAAAAGTAGAGGAAGCGTTTAGAGACCAAGGGGTGCGTAAGTTCGGTCTCATCGTCTCGTCGTATCGTCATTTAAAAGTCCCTTGAGAAATTCTCCTGGCCTACTCTCTGGCATCCCGTCCGGCTCTGCAGCCATATCCCTGTCCGTCATTACTTCCGCTTTTACCGTTGGAGTTGATTCTAAGCGACCGCCATATCGAGAAGTAAAGGCGTCTATTTGAAGTCTAATAGTGTCCAAGAACGCAGTCCGGGCGGGTGTATCGAGCTCTGAAAAGGCCGATTTTCTGATTAATCTTTTGTCAGCCAAACCCGCAGCGAAAGGGTGCCCTCAGGCTAAGAATTCAAATTACAATGTCTCAAGCAAAGACGACAGTTCGTCCATGGGCACTTGGCCGTGGGAGTCAGCGTCTGCTGCTCGCGGTGCTGGCGTAGTCTGTTTGGACGGAGTAGAGGCCAGTTGAATCAACAAATCGGCGTTCTTGATAAACTTGACCAGGTCGTCTAGGTCAGTTTCCATATTAGCAGTGCGCATGCGGCGGATGATCTCAATGGATTCCGCCTCGGAGCGCATCGACAGGAGGCGAAAGAGCTCCTCAAAAAGAGCGATGCGGCCTTGCAGTTCCTCGTGCTTTGATTTGAGAGCGGCGAAGCGAGTGACATCAGGGCCTGCATCATACTCGCACTTGGTGCGACCCATGCCGGCACATAATGAACAGACGGGGCGCTGACCGTCGCACTTTGATTTCCGCCGACGGCATGAGGTGCACGCGATCTTGGTCTGGGGACGGCGTCTTGGGGCAGATGCACCACCATTGCCACCACTGCCGCCGGCTGTGGATTGCGGGGTCGACTCCCGCTCCGAAGAAGCGCTGCTGGCTGCCGCAAGGCCTGCAGGCAGAAGCTCGCGCTGTGCTTTCATGGTGAGCGTGACGTCGACCTTTAGCCTTGGACCATGGGCAGGCCTGGCAGTCGTCGACCTTCGTTGCCAAGGGCTGGTGAATGGAGGCGTGGGCGTGTAGCTGACACGGCGAGAACTGCGCCCTCACAGTAATTGGAATGGCGCCAGTGGACGAATCGAGAGAGGGCAGAGCGGGCCACAACCGCAAGACCAGATCCGCCCGCCGCGTCGCTAAAGAAGTATCGATTGCCTTGATGGTGCGCGTCATACTGCCGACCCGCCGGCCATGCTGGGAATTGATGTGTGCTGTGTTGAATATGTCGCTTGCCAGATGATGTTGTGTGATTTTTGCGTATGCCCAAGCCCGGCTTTCCAGTCCAGCCCAGGTTTTTCTGGAGTTTGAGAGAAAGTAAGGCTATGACGAAATGGTCAGACGGTGGCCCTATTTCCGTGCTCCGTGGCTGCTGGCCGCTGCTGGCCGCTGCTGGCTGCTGCTGTCTGGGCTAGTTGGAACAGATAAAGGTGGGAAGGCGGCTAGGCTGGCAGCCGCTGGCTCCAAGATTGTTCCGGCCCCGGGAATCCAAGCCTATCGTCGACTCCCTGCCCGGACTAAGAATGAGAATGAGATGGTACAAAAAAAATAAGAGGTTAAAAAAAAAAAAAAAAGAAGTTGAGGTCGACAAAGGAAAATCCGATCATCCAAAATAATATGTTAAGTTTGGCTCGTAAAGTTCCCCAAACCCATGGACTCATCTAGCCGCGGCCAGACCAGGTCGAATGTAGCAAACAGGGTGCCCAAAAACTCCCTTTGGGGCGGGCAAGGGTGCCGCAAGATACGGCGAGATGGGGTGGTGGTTGAGAGTTTACTGGGCGCATCGAGGCCCTAGCTGTCGGCTCTTGCCAGTGGCTAGAATTGGACGCCTCCAACAGTCTATCGTATATCCCCTTTCGCCCCCTTTCGCCCACTAGAACGTGGTGATTGCACGCGTTGAGTAGGAAATGGGGACGGGGGGAAATAACGACACAAGAAGTCCGGTGGAAGCTCAGTTGGCCACATGGAAGGCACTGGACGACCTATTCGAAACTCCCGCCTGTTGCTAGAGTGAAGGGCAGCAATGGGCGTGGGTGTTCAGGTCGCAGAGCGTAAAGCACAGGGGATAAATGGTTGCTCGGTGATATGTCCGTGCCAGTTGAGCCAATCAGAGGGCAACGTGCCAGGTATATGGTCACAACCCCCTCTCAAGCTTGAAAATAGCTGTCCGCTGCTTGTTGTGTTTGCTACCGAAAGAGGGGAGCGAAAAGAAAAGTGAAAGAAAAGAAAGAGAAATGCCAAAATCTAGAAACGCACAATCATCAGTTGAGAATTTCCGCTCAAAGGAAGTTTTGTCTTTTTTTTTTCTTTTTTTTTTCTTTTTTTTTTCCCTTTTTTTTTTTTTCCACATGCAGATGTGTTAGCGTGCGTTCGAAAGAAAGGGCGAATAAGAAGAATTGGCCCTTTCAAATTCGGGGCAAGACATGTACACGAAGATGGGCACAAAGTGTAACAATGAAAGGCGAGAGGAAAAGATACCGGAATAGCGGGGTAAAACTGAAGAACAGGCAAGAAGAAAAGAAAAGAGCCTCTTACAAAGGCGAACTCCAAAACCCTCATTATTTTATGACAAAACCACCGGCATCATGGTGCCGCTTCAGAAATCCATTACCTCCTTCAGTATCCCAAACGATCGCTTGACACGCTTAAATAGACTGACGTTGCCACGTAGGTCTCTCGAATCTGCCTGAGAGCAGATATATACATAAGTCGTATAGTTTCCTGTTATCATCCTTGTCATCTTATACCGCAACCGTGTTCTCAAGCTGACGGCTGCGATATGCTGTAACCTCGGTGTGCAGAGCTGACTCCATTTGCTGCTCTAGCGATGTACCCTTGGATAATTTCGCAATCGCAATCTCCATGTTGAAGAATTTGGTTCTTCAAGGTGAGCACTTCATTCTTGAGTGCGGCAACGCAGGCATCGAGATATAAACGTTCCTGGGTGACTTGTTTCTCCTTGGCGGCAAGGTCCAATTCGTATTGTTTCGTTTTCTCGCGGCAGCGTTTCGCTGCGGCACGGTTCTTGACCCGGTAGGTTTTCTTAGTATCTCGGCCAGTAGGCCTGTCGTCCTCTTTATCATCGTCCTCGCCATCGCCTTCCACCCATTGCGCGCCGTCATCATATGAACTCGAATTTGCCGGAGAGGGGTTGCCCCCGTTCCCAACTCGTGACTTCTTGGTAGGCTGTTGAGCGTTCGAAGGAGGGCGCTTGCCATTTGACTTCTTCCCTGCCCTTGTATTGGCGGCGGGAGGTGCGACTTCCGGCTGTTGTTGAGGATGTGCGTCGGACTGTGGATGCCAAGACGGGGAATTGGCATGGGAGAAACATTCTGAACTTTGCCATTGCGGAGGGCTGCCATAAACACTGGGTTGATTTGGGTATAGCTGAACATGTTCTTGTTGTCGTTCCTGTTGTTGTTGCTGGTATGGAGGAAGCCAGTCGTTGGGTCGAGGTGCTAATCCAGCCCTCGTATATTCGGCCATTACTCCGCTCGTATTGATTGGGTGATTTTGGTGTCCTTGAGCCTCCCACGAGAGGGAGTTCATGGAGTTTTCTGAGCTACTTGGGGCGTACATGGGTTCGGTCACTTGGCCATCCCATCTAAGCCATGGCTGGTAAATGTAGTCACCATTTGGCGACAGCAGGTGGTCTTGCTCTGGCGGTGTGGCATAGTGAGTTATGGGCATGTTCGGGGCTTCAGCCATGACGACCGAGCCGGGATAACCTGACTGCGCCAGTGAAGCTGTTCGACGAGAGCGTCAGCTATGCTGAGCCGTCCCGGCTGGGTTACAGTTCGAGTGGAAACTTGCTTACCAGACTGAAGTGGATACTGTTCAGGACTGTACGGGTCTACTAGAAAGCGCGTTGGTGGGAGTGGTAGTGGTGGCGGTACGATCGTGGGAAAAAACTCAAAAAGAACGATCTAACATCAGCTCCCTTGATCCAGAAACATAAGGTAAGCGAGGTAGGCGAAGGAGAATGATATGGATGGGTGTGGGTTGTGGGTTGGTAAGAACTGGATCGAGGAGCAGCATGTAAGGCGTCGAGAACCAGGAATAAGAAGCAGGCCCAATTGCTGGTGTGCGGATGCATGTCCGAAGTTAACAAGGAGAGTCAGGTAGTGGATGCACCAGGGTCAGGACCTGATGACAAGGAACGGGGATTAAGAGAATATTTGACAGTGGCAATTGGGATAGAGATTGTGGGCTTTGGATACGTGAGATGTAGGGGGTGTGCCTACAACGGCAGAAGAGACGGGATTAATGATTGCTCGGTTCTCGGACAGGACGTGATCACATCATTGGCCGGTACTTGTTGTTGGTCCAAAAAGCAGAAGAGAAAAGAACGCCACGAAGCTGCGCAGAGCCTTGGACACCTTGGGGAGCAATCGGATCAGTTAGAGCTTGGTCCAGCAAGAAGCAAAGAGGCTTGGTGGGGGTGCTTGGGTATCCCAGATGTACTGTACCGAGAAGAGGTAAGGCAGAGGATCGGGGTAAGCCCCAAGGGGAAATGATGTTTAGTTGAGCAGTATATGAGAGGGCAGGGGGCTTGTCCTACCTGAGCCGCGAGGTGCCTCTAAGCGAAGCAGGTAATGCGGATACAAGAAGTAGTAGGTACACTGGAAAGACCGGATGATAAGGGACTTTGGGGGGATAAGACGGGGACGGACGGCATGTACCAAGAAAAAAAGAGGTCCGGAGAAGGCAAAATTGAGAGGCGCAGAGAGGGAGGGAAAGAGCACGAGCGCAAGACGGAGAGAGACGCAACGTCTAACAAGGGGGTAAAGAAGCCGAGAAGTGATGGAGCATGGAGGAGGTAAGATGGATGGAAACAATCAATGGGGCAAAGAGTTCGCTGCTCTACCTTGTTCAAAAAGCAAGCACGTCCTGTCTTCCCGAAGGACACAGGCCACGGCAAGGCAGGGAGGACATCCGTCATCCGTAGCAGGAAGACATGCTTACAGAGAAAATGTGATGATGAGAAACTGAACTGAAAGAAAGAATCGACTTGAGAGCCCAGATCCTCTGGCATTTGATAGGCCAGACGCGCGATTCCTTAGCCGCGTACGAAGTCGTAGCAGGGGGGGAATTGAGGATTCAGCCAGTAGTAGAGTGCCTAAGCTTCCGGAACCGATTCCGAGTCATTCCCGGCACTGCCATTGGCCACGGAAACTGCTCCGTGCCACGGACCAGGCCTATAGGAAATCAAGAACACCCCCCCTTCTCCTTCTTCTCCTTCGTCAGCGCCCCCTCTTTCTCGCAGCTTATCCACAGTTGTCAGTGGGCATCATCAATCACTTTGACCTATTCTACCATGTCCTTGTTTGCCGTGAGTACATATTCATGCCAAGGTAAGTATGTTGTGGTACGGACAATAGAGGGGGGGTCCAGCAAGCAAGACGACAAACAACGCCTCACTGTCTCTGGCCACTCACATATCAGCGGTCAAGCGTCCGAGCTGGTAGATGCAGATACCCCGCTGCAACTGCTTATTTCTGGCATTAGAGATCCCCAGGCATCGGCCGAGTCACATACCGAAATCCTAGTGTATAATGGTGAATCAATAAGCAGGGACCCCATCAAGTGACACCGGATCACTCACTGGATGTCTCTAGAGCTGGGAGACATCTGTTGCTCAATACGGGTGCTCTCCTACAAGCCCCAATCTTCAAGTGCTGGAAATGACAAGTCCGCGGAACGCAATCGAGGCCCTACCAAAACCAGCCGGGCCATATAGCCTTCTATTTACAACTTTGACATACTCGACTGATCTTACCACAAAGCAACATGCGCATAATTTTACCACTCTACTCTTACCTGTCCTACCATGCCTGACTCCTGCTGCCTATGCTCTCTAGTTCTTCAACTAGCTTGCCTCGTTTCTTATCCACGGTACTCAACGGCCTCGACGGGGCACGTTCTTCTCTCAGTAGTCATCCCGCCTGTCGTGCCACATTGCGATCCACTTCAAACATCCCTCCACATTTTTGACACACAGACACACAGCCATAAACCCCATATCCTTGCTTCAGAGACCAAGGTCACAGCTGGCATACTTCCAGTCATCTGTGGCGTCGGCCACAATGACCAGAATACAACAGAGATACCTCCCTATCTACCTGAACTGTCTCGCTTCCCTTGGGAACTTTTTGGCTTAGCCCCAGTCACGCACGCCGGAACGCTGAAGCAAGGCGGTAAACCATGCAAGCGATCGAGCAATCAATGAAAACAACCTTGCAGGTCATTTTTGCGACGGCGCTCCCTCTGTCTGTTCGTACATTCTGAATCCTAACTCTGCTTGAAGCGGCTTACCTCCTTCATCGACGCCCGACCTAAACTCGGCTCATCTTACATCTCGCCTTTACGTCAACGATCAAACACTCTTTGTCATTTTTTATCACTTCGTTTTCGTCGAGAAGGAGCCCTGTCATATAAACTCAATCCTTGTGGTTTCTCCTTCAAACATACCGATATGTTCCAGGGACTCTAGGTTTCGTGATAAGGCCATCAACTTTTCAGCAGTGACGTCTTAGCTCAGTAGCAAGGATTGGGTGTTGTCGGACTTGTCCCCGATTTGTTCGCGATCCAGTTGATCCAGTTGCCGGGATTTGGTTGCTATCACTCTGCGCCGCCGGCATATGTACGCCATCATTTCGAACGTTGGCAAAAGGCACATAAGACGGGTTGACGTACTCTGCGCTGTTCGCATGGCGCCCACAAACAGCGATGACGGGCTCCCCCGCCATCTATCTTCTGTTTCGTATGCAACGTCTGTCAATAGTTATTGCGCAAAAGCCATATCAGACATGGGCGGCACGTCGCAACCAATTACTTGTCTTAAGTACTTATTCACTATACCCCCTCCTTTTTCATCCACCTCCCCCCCACGGTCCCTCATTTACTGCTGCTCTGCAAGACTTTCCAGTGCTGCCCTTAGCAGCAATCTCAGCCCCTCATTCAGGGTGTTCGCCTGTAGCTTGCCATAGTACGCCGCATAATGCCCTGGCCGCACGCCATGGTCTGGGCAGACCGCAGCTCGGATGCCCGGATCCCACACGCGCGGTGCCCTCAATAGCAGCACATGGTGACCGGTCGAATGCTATGATTAGCCAGCATGTGAGGTGATTACACACAATTGTCCGCGTCGTTTCAGGGCACGTAACGACTTTCACGGGAGGGAGAGAGGGAGGAAGAAAATGGGTTTCCCATCACTAAAGAGGAAAATGCAACGGGCTCTTTGCATAGCACTAAGAGGGCCACCAAAGCTCCTCTTACATCCCCCCTCCCCCCATCTTAGCCGTGCCTTTAGCAATCAACCGCCAAAAGACGTGTCTGGTGTCTGGGGGGTAGTTACGTTCAGCGTTCTCGTTACGAACATCCCTTGACTTCCAGGGAGCTCGGGGAGTGGAGAGGCAAAAAAGGAAAACATATTCATGGCTATCAGTCCAAATATGCCGAAGCCCGTTGCTCTGGCCCTGCTCCCAGGAGGGGTTCTCAAGGTCGCAGGGTCGGGGGCCGAAATCATACCACATCCCCCCAATCATTTCGCACGGTCATCACCGGAGTCGACTCCGTCGCCACCTCAAGGATTAACCGGGGCTCTGACCCCCCATGAGCCCCAAAATACCATGTCAAAAGTTGAGCAAACTCCCGCAAGATATGAGACCTTCAGGGGAGGCGGTGGGGGTGGGCTGCAACTGGACCTTGGCGGTGGACAAATGGCGCTGTAAGAAGTGACACAACACCAACGTCCAATATCCTTACCTTCCTGTGTCCGGACTGCCTGCATACATGGGCCCTTTTTTTCAGCTTAGAGGCGGGGGCGTGGCGGAATGAAACGCTAAGTGATGTGCAGAGGGAGGAGCTTGTGATGTAGGGCTTGCATCCAATAATACGGCCCGGAACCACTGCTCCTTTGGCTGTTATTAGCGACTTGGAGAGCCGTACATTATGTAGCCTGATGTGACTACTACATCACCTTTCTCCAGGGACAAAAAGATAAACGTGGGCAAATGAGCACCCCTCCACTCCGACTCTTCAGCAAGGGCCCCTATGTCACCAGGGAAGTAGATCCTACGGTGGCAGAGGTCTCGATTGCAAGCCAAGATAAGATCTTCGGCCAACACTGATGGTTTTTTGGAGCCTTAGCAGAAAGGTTCCCTGGGACGACGGAATGGATGTGGTCGAAGGAGTATGTCTTTGGGCCGAGGTGGCTAGCCCCGTCCCCGGCCCGCAAGCACGGATAACCATGGAAATGAAGAAAAAGAATAAAAAAGAGTTCGTTTCTCTATTCCCTTAGTGTTTGCGGGCCGAGGAGTCAAAAGAAACCCTAGCAGTGTCGCCGACTTGGGAAAGCTATGGCACCACATGGGCAAGAGACGGCCAACACGATGGGATTTAAGTTGAGAACTGACAAAGAACTTACTGGGAACTGCCATGGCAGAAAACAGGGAACCCCCCTACGATGTACCCTAGGGAAAGAAAAGAAAGACCATCGTTCGCTGGCACGGCCCTTAGAAATTGACAGCTAGGGGTCAACTTGGCCCCCCGCTGGGAGCACGCTGGGGAGCATTCGCATCTTGGCCAAGCCGGGCTGGCACTCCGGATAGACACTCTAGCCTGCTGTTTCGTTTTTGTCACGAGATGAAGGGTTTGGCCCGTCTCTATCTGTACTTTGTGTCCCTTACTTCCCCTTGTATACGTGAATCAATAGAATAAGAGCGGCTGCATAAAACACATCTACATGCGTGACCATATATATACATAGATATATACTCGGTGAGATAGAGCTCGTCAACGGCTCAGTCAAAAGCGAACTAATAGTGGAGGGTGAAAAGTCCCACTGGTGTGGCAGCCATAATGAGGCAAAGGCCGGAAACCAAGGCAAGCTCAGGCGCATCAAGGGAGTTACCCATGTCCCAACTGACTCTCTCGGTTGACAGCCGCGTGTCTACTCTATCCACAGCTCCTTGCCATGTGCTGCCATTGATCCACTGCCTTACATTCCATCTTTCTCACCTTTTGCCCCTCTAGCAGCAAACGCTGGGTTGGGCCTAGATTCTTTAGGCAGAGAAGTAGGAGCACTTGGCAGTCACCCAGTGCACAGTCTGTAATTCAATCTGTGCTCCAGCCTCGGATAATGTAGCAAGCATCCCCCCCTCCGTGGAGCTAAGGCAATAATCTGACGCTGTCAACTGAGTTGCCCCGCAAAGTAATCCGCGATTGGCGTGGAACAGGGCCCTGACCGAAGACTGGCTTCATAACGGGCCGTGGCGGGGGTCGCATGAGAAACCTCTCAAACTGCCCGGCCTCCTCTCCGGACCCCCTATCTGACCCAATCATGGGATATTTCACGCTGAGTCATCTGGCGACTTAACCCCAACGTCGACTTCCCGTCATGCATGGGGTAGACGGCTACCTTATCCTTACGGCGCCTTGTCCGCAACCGCCAAGTTGTCTTTGGCCTAGTCACAACTGCCATCTTGCCCAAAATTTTCACACGCTGGTAACATCAGCGTAAGGTTGGATCTGGTATGGGACTCTGTGCCGCTATTCGTTCATTTGCAATGGAAACCACCTCCGTTGGTTTTGTTTTCTTTGCCTGCAAGGTTGGAGTCTGACTGACACGAGAACCAGGTTGTTTGCACCATTAGGAGTGGCCTCCTTGGCTTACAGACCCCAAACGACAGGCCGTATTCTGGCTGCATTTGTGCTCTTTGAACCCGTGTCTCTGGAACCCTTCAATGATTTCACGGTTCGCTATTTATTATTGTTACTCTTCTTTCCCGTCTGGTTACTCCTTAACTTCAGCGCCGCCTTATCTTTCTCCCCTCCCACTTCCCGCCTCAAAGGCCAGGCTCCCCGCTTCTTGTGGTTATTAGACCTCCAAGGGTGAAGACGACCGTCCTGGAATAATTGTCTTTCTTTAAACTCATTTTTTCTTTTCTTCTTCCAGTGCTGTTGTTCGGCAGAACTCTGTATCTACCTTATTTGAGAAGCCTACTCATCCTGCCTTGCCTTCCTTTAACCTTTTAGACGTTCCCTGGAATTGAAAGAGAAGTGGCAAAGCCTTCTCATCCACAAATCTCGACTATAAGCTGGGCACCATGGCAAATTCTATCAAGCTGCGGCCCCTACTACCGCTTACCTCGAATGGACCTCCGGCGCCAATTCCAATCAGTACTGCCCCAAAAAGAAAGAGGCCACAAGTGTCAGCCGCTTGTAATGGTACACCACTCTCTTCACCCAATACCCCAGTGCTCTCTATATTGAACATCTATTGTAACACAACTATTTCCAGGTTGTCGAAAACGAAAAGTCAAGGTTAGATAAGCCCTTCCCGCATGCACTGCCCACAAAACTAGGCTTGTCCTCTTGGAAGGACTAAATGAGAATTAAGGAGTGGAGACTGTGGCTCCAAGTCAAGTTCAGAGCTGAGATGCCGATTCTAGTGTGATGGCGCCCGGCCCTGTTGCTACGCCTGTTCCATATCAAAGATACCATGCGTCTACCCGGTTCCCGAGGGTCTCTCGCAGAGGGAGGCCCAGAAGCTGAAGCTGAACCACATGTCAAAGGCTCACGAGAGTAGCCGCAGAGTGTTGGAGCTGCTCCGCGCTAGCCGGGATGGTGCTTCCACTGAGATATTGCAACAGCTGCAACACTCGGAGCATCTCGACGAGACTATTCAGTCCATAGCAGACGCCAGTCTCCTGTTGCCAAAGTTAGGTGACCAAGGAGGTGAGTCTTTTCGTACACACAATAGAAAGAAATTCCAAAGACCAACTGGAAACTTTTCCGAGAGATAATAGGCCTCACATTACGCACATCCGAACCTCAATCATCTCCGAGTATTACCTCACAACCAAAGAACTCGGTTCCCCAGTCGGAGATTCAAAAGCCCCCAGAAAGGTAAGTTGATCGGCGTCTGTTAATCTAACAGTCCCGGGGATTTGATCCATGGTCTACCAGTATGCTAACTCGTCTTACTCTCCTGGTTACAGCCCCAACACATCCCTGAGATCTCTGCTAGCCGAGACTGCCGATTCTGGTGTCGTCCTCCCTGTGTCCCGCTGGACCCTGGTCTCTCAAGATGATCAGTTTTTGACCCAGCTGCTTGATATCTTCTGGACCTGGGATGCTATCTGTCACGCCTCATCGACCGGCGGCTGTTTATCTCCGAGCTAAAGGCTGCAAGTCAGGGGTCAGGAGAAACTCAACAGCAACAGAGGTTCTGCACGCCGCTTCTGATCAACGCCATGCTGGCCATCTCATCTGTGCGTAACTACTGGTCCCCTTCTCCATTCCTCTGCTAATGCTAGCCGTTCCCTTCCTCGGCCTTGAGCGTGAGTCACTAGCTAACCTCTCTACCACCTGGGCATAGCTGCATATGACGAGAAAGCACACCAACTCCACAATTGACCTTGTCAATCTTTCCCAGAGGTTTGCCAGTCATGCCTTCAGCTTGTTAGACGCCGAAAGAGGAACCAGCTCTCTCACCCTGCTGCAGAGTGCAGCGATACTCTGGGTATACTCTAGAAACGAGGGTTCCCGTATGTCCCTTGCCCAGAGCGCAAACCTCGTGGGTCTTCTCCAGCAGACGTGGGCGGCCTTGGGACTTGAAAGCAATGGTGCCAGCCTGTTCAAATTTTCGGAAGAGGTGACGGATGATGTTGGGGTTTGGCAAGCAATCTCCTCCATTGCATGGGGGTTCTATTGCTTCTTCGCGTGCGTATCTCCTTCTCACTCCCCCGTATAGATACAGTGCTTGCGATGCGTTTGTCGACAGCACAAGAAGCCCAAAGGGATTCGCGGAAGCTGACGTCTTCCCAGGAAAATGGCACTTGTTACCTCGTCGCAGATGCCGATCTCGAGGCCGCTCATTATGAAGATATTTGAGGCTCAGGATGGCCTCGATGCAAGCTCCCAAAGCTCGACCTCCTCCGCCAGCGAGGACCCCTTTGCTGCGCAAGCGGCCTATCAGGTGCAGGTGTTCACCGCCGAGTGCTCCCTGTGCGAGATCATGGACCAGTTGGTCTCCGGGTTTATCAGGGGCGGAAACCGCCGCGTCATCCGCGACGAGGGGCATTGTACGGCCTTGTACAACAAGCTCCTTTGCTGGAAGCTGACGCTCCCGGAGCATCTCACGACGAGTAGGAGCGTTTCTCCATCAGTTTTGATGCTCCAGTAAGTCAAAAATTCTTTTTAACTCCCCTTCTTCTGGCTTGCCACAAAAAGGCTGGGGGGGGAAGGCAAACGGTTCGCCCTCGCTGACAGTTGTGAAACTCGTTAGAAGCACATACGACTTTGTCGCCTTGGAGATGCTCTCCGCCTTCACAAGGCACTCTGGCGTTTCTTTCGACGGCCGCAACGCTACTTCCCTGCAGATTCTGCACGCGAACTCCCTGGTAACCAACCTCTGGATCTACCGCGGCATTTACACTCTGAAACACGAGTACTGGGCCGCCGAGTACTGCTCCTTCACGGCCCACACACTGCTGCCCTTCGTCGAAACGGAAACCGCCGTCCACGATGTCATCGCCAAGGCCTGTTGCATTTTGTACGAGATGGGCGGCAAGAGCGGGGTCTCGAGCCGCGCAACCTCTCTGCTGCGAGAAGTGGAGGAGACGGCGAGGGACAGGAGCATCCGCATCCCGTACTACGGGAAGGGATCGAAGTCGCCCGAAAGCGACGGCGCGCCTATGGTCACTGTACACGGAGCCCGAGTGTTTGGCAGCGCGGGTGGTGGGACGGCGGGTGGCGCAGGTTGGTATCCTGCGTCTGTCACCTTCTCGGGTACCATTTCAGATATTGAACCGGCGCAAGCGGAAGTTTCGGGAGGATGAGGAGGGTAAGGAGCAGGAGGATGATTTGCGCCGAATAGTCATCACTTTCTGGTGTCGGGCTAAAGGGTTACTCATGTAGTGGCGGAACAAATAAAAAAGGCGGCATAGTGGTTTTATGAGCACACTTTGGGGGATTGCAAGAAAGGGGGGGGGGTGTTTAGGTTTAGTGTTCACAGCAACAATGGAGCTTTGTCTTCTTCTTCTTTTTTCAAAATGTTTTTTTTCTTTTCTCCTAACGCCTCAGGAACAAACAGAACTGGGTATAATCCGAGTTGGCTTGCAAAACACGCCTCTGCTATTCCTGCCTAATACAACAAACTGAAAATAGTAGCTTGACGCTCAGATAAAAAGGTATCTTGTGCGCCTCGCTTTGATAGTCTCTCAAAACAAAACCAGAAGAAAAAAAAACCTCATTCCGACGTACTCGGAGGGCCAATATCCTCCCCTTGAATCCAGATCTTCCTAATCTTGCGCGTCGCCGAAATGTCCTCCAGCGGGTTACCCTCGACGAGCAGCAAGTCGGCCCGCAGGCCGCCCCGGACTATTCCCCGGTCGCTCAGCCGGAAAGCCTTGGCCGCGACACAGGTCGCCGAACGCAGCACCTCCAAGTGTGTCATGCCGGTCTCGACGAGCAGCGACAACTCCTCGTGCAGACCCTCGCCGAAGGGGATCTCGGCGCCTGGTATCATGTTTGCCGTTGTCCCCGCGCAGATGGTCACGCCGGCCCCGTGGAGGGTACGGACGCTCGCCACTGCGTGCTCGTAGTTGCCCCCCGACATGGCTCCCGGGTTTTTGTGCCTCTGCGAGCCGATATCTGCGGCAGAGTCGCCGTCGTCACCGCCGCTGCCTTCACTGACCCCTGCAGGTCTGCCCAGAGACGGGACGGGAAAGCCTGGTGGGACCCTCTGGCCACTTTGAGACGAGTCTTGCCTAGAACCCGAGCCGGTCCTTTTTTTCATCATCAGCAGCGTCGGCACGAAAACCTTGTTTTGGGCAGCCATCTCGCGAGCCAGTTCGGTATCCAGAGGCGCGTCGAGAGGTGCATGGGCGAAAATGTCGAAACCCGCACGCATGGCGCGGTTGTAGGACGATTTGCCGACGGTACGAGCGATAGTAAGCTTTCCATGGGCGTGGGCGGTGTCTACGATGGCTTTGAGTAATGCATCGTTGGGCGAGTCTAGGTCTACCACGACCTTGACGAAATCGGCGCGGTCTGGCCCGCTCGCTTTCGCCGCCACGAATGCCACGGCGTCTTCTTTTGTACGTATTGCCGCCTCATCCGGGTTGTCGTAAAGCTGCGGCTGGTGTTCATGCACCGGCGCCGCCTCAGTTCCGCTAGTGAGTACGGTGGGTAGTTTCGTGCGGCCGGCGGTATATACACGCAGGGCCTGGCATTGCTGGGTGCTGCTGCTCAGGTCGATAACTGTGGTTACGCCGTGCACCGCGAATTCGGATAGATAGGCGTTGGCGCCCTTGATATTGGCATAGACGTCAATGAGGCCGGGTACCAATGTACAGCCTCGTCCGTCAACGACAACATCGGACGTCTCAGCTTCAGAGCCTTCGCCCATGGGATCCTGAATGTTACTGGCAGACCGAGTGAAAATGACGTTACTCGAGTCGAGCAACCTCTCACTGTCAAAGACACGGACATTCTGGATGATGATTTTAGTCATTGCTCCCACCTCAGCTGCAACCACTGTGTGTATATGGAAGGCCGCCTGGTGTCGCAATCTTTCAGGGCGGGGATCTTTAGTCCGTGTATGGCTTCAATTCTGATTGGAAAAATATCGGTTCTTGCGGCAGTTGCTGGCTAAGATATGAGTGAATCACAAATTGTTCTGACCTCCGACAATGCAAGGTAGGACCGTCGGTGCGGCACGTGGATGACATGCGCATAAGCTGTCTGGTCCGCCCCTCCTGGACCTTAGTGGTTGATCAAGCGGCCACGGGACAGTGGCCGGCAGCAAGCTTTGGTCCACAGTGACAGGAGTGTGAGGTCATTGGAGGAGGTTATTAGTGGCCAGAATTTTTTGTCAGATTAACCCCAACTGCTCCGAGCATCACATCTTCGTTGTCTCTGAGAGGTGGGCAGAACTTGGCTCGGCCAAGGCAGAGGGGCCTGACAGCCATGGACGCAGGGGTTCCTCTTTCGAAAAATGCCCGGGACCAAGGTCCAATCTGAGTGAAAATTATTCGTATTGAACCCTTTCTCTGGTTTTCCCCCCACTCCCTTGACGTGCGCTGACGGTAGATATCAGTCATGTCCAGCATGGGGTTCCGGTAGCAAGATCAACGAGGGGTTTGAGCCAATGGTAGAGAGGTCTCATCCGGAATGGACTCCTATGAAGGCTGGCCAGTCACATAGCGGTTAACAAGTTGTATAGGGCAAGAGGGTCCTGTGTGCATCTGATTGGATGATTCGGTTTATGCGTGTCATGAGTTCTACTACGTAATATAAATTGTTTCCCCATTTTGTAAAGTGCGACACCTTGTAGCGGACACTGTTGTAAGGGGTGTTTACTCGTACCCGACAGGTATACATACACGTTATTTAACTGAGTTGAACTACGAGCATTTATTAGTTCGGTGAGCAGTCCGGCCGCTGCAAATTGGCTGAATGCAGGTGCATCCTGCATAAGCTGCAAGACTTACGAACTTGGAGTGACGCTAAAGTAACAGGTGCTGCATTTGCTCACATGTCATCATGTCGTCGCTAACAAGCCCCTGCCAAACCATCCCTTGCGCATCTTGGAGAAGCTCTCCGTCTTTTTATGTCTCTCCTTGGACGCGATCTTCAGGATTATGTATTTTATGTGAATCGCGCCCGCCCTCTTCCGTAAGCATCAGAATTCCTTTCAACCATCGTTCCGCCATTTGGCCCCCATGTTATAATCATAATGATTTTCATAGAGCTCAATATGATGTTGACATTCAACATTGGCTGGTCTCTCGTTACTGGCTTTCTATCAAGTTCATAATGAAACCGATGCAGTGGTAGGTCTGTATCACGCAAGCATAGTGTGACCAGCATGCTTGCCCTTCGTTCATTTTATCTTGTTGCTATGTGGAACTGTGAGACCGTAGTGGCACTCACCAAGTACACAAGGCAATGGTACAGCCTGGCAACACGAACTCCAAACAATACTCGTCTAAACTCGCGACATCTAGGCTTATTACAAAGTGACCAGCTAACCCGATCAAATAATGAGGCCTAGCTGGTTCATTCCTCGTTACTAGCATAAAAGTCGACAATCGCGGGTTCCGCCTCTGCGGACGACTTGGGATTAGCGCTGGGAAGTAGGAAGTGTCGGGCGACTTCAACGGGAAATCATAATTGACAGCTACATCAAGGCGAAAGGCTGCGTATATGCCGGCATGCCTCTCGCCGCTTGGAGCTTCCACGTTCCGATGGATGCCCCTATCGGCAACTGCCGCGGGTCAGTTTAATGTACCCATTGAATCCTGCCTCCACCTATGCAGCCAAATTAGCTCACGACATCGTAGTAATCGATACAGAGCGTCGTTGATCCTTGGACTCAGCGGTGCTGGAGGGAGTTGGCGTGGGGTTATTCTGGCAATGCCAAAACCGGTTTAAGGCGAAACAGCAGCTTCCAGGCGCAACTTTTTGTGCAGCACTGGCATATTAGCCGTGTCGACTCTCAAGAGTCAATGATTCACCTTTTCAAACGTCGTCGTCCTCTGCTTCCTCTACCATGACCTTCTTTGGCCCGGAGGGCTCCATCTCCTCCGCAGTGCCTGTCGATTTCAAATAGCCTTCCCTCTCAAGTCTGTCTGCTTCTTCCGGTTCCATCAGACCACCTTGGCCTTTGCCTTTGTCCAACTTCATCCGAACCGCAGTCGGTACAAACGCAGCTACCGCCTCCTTTTGCAAGTTTCGGACCACGGGCTTTGCTTCGTATACGGTCTTGGGTTCCGGCGCTGGGGTCGCTGACTTTTCGTCCTTCTCTTCTGATTTTCTGTTCTCGGCCTGTTCTGCCTGGCGCCGAGCTCGCCTTTTGGCATACCATTTGTCCAATACTTCTTTGGGAATCGGTGGTGGTGTATCGCGCGGCATAGGGATGCGCTTCACATCATCAGGTACGTCTTCATCGCTGGTCAACTCATCGTCGTTCCGTCTACGCTTTCCAAGAACGCCTCCCGAAAAATCGTCGTCCCGGTGGAAGCCGCGACCAAAGGATGGGGCTTTGTCGCCAAGAGCCTCGCGTGCCTTTTTTACAGCACGTAGATCCTTCTCGAGTCCCTCAAGAACCTGTTCTTCATGTCGTGAGAGCTTACCGCCTCCTGTTGTAATGGCTTTGAGGTCGTCGATTTGTTTTTGAAGGCGTTCGGGATTGCGGCGCGCGAGCTTTTCGTTGCGTCTCGATTGAACTTCGGCCTTGCCTGAGTAAATGGTTTAGTGACATCATTGTAAAACGAGGCTGAGGTTGCGTCTCAATCGCAGCATACCCTTCTTAATCGCCTTAGCCTTGTCGGCTTTGCGTTGAGCTTGCACGGGATTAAAATTGCGTTCTTTGGGCATTGTGGGCGATGTACTTGGAGAGGAAGAGATTCTGAGGTGGGTTAGTCGGCGAGCAATCTTGAAGCTTTCCCGTCCAGACAAGCTCGGATTTGCTATATCGGCCTATCTTATCGTGCCACGTGATGCGTCCAATCAACAGGGGCTTGATTGTTGCCCTTGCAACATTGTTGACTTGGACCCCGCAGCACCCAATAACACTGTTGCTTTGTTCCCGCTCCCCCCTAAAATATCGGGTGTCCACCCAGCGATCGACTGTGCAGTGGTCGGTCTCTCTTGGGCAGATCTTGGGCCGACTCCATCCATCACCCTGGACTCCGACCCAAATCAACCCCACGGCGGAGAAAGATAACAACATACGCCTCGCTTTAGCATCTTCTATTGCGAATCCTGAACTTTATCCATACCTTGCAGCGGTATCGATCCTTTCAACCTCAATTCGATTACCCCTCCCCCCGGGTTATTCTTCTATTATCCCCTCTTTCGTCGCCACCCTTCGATTGCTTTCTTGGACATCAACAACGATACAGCAATGTCGGGCTTCATGTCCAACTTCCTTCCAGGAGGAACCAGGGATAAGGATGCTGCCTCGAGGCCGGAAACTCCCACGAGAAACAGCTTCATCAACCCTGCGAGCACGCCTCAAGGCAGTCCCAGCAAGAGGACGATCCCCCCTGGGGCCAACGAGCTGCCCGATGCATTTGAAGGTGCACTTAAGTTGAACACTCCTGTCCTCGAAAGACCTAGACTTGAGCGCCCACTGAGCGTCATCACCACGCCGCTGTCGCCAGGAAAGAGCAATGTGGGCGAGTCGAGCCCGAATGTGGACGAAAGCGTTCTGCACAAGGGAGTCACATCCACCGGCAGCCCGTTGAAGAAGACCCATGGACAGGAAAACACCCCTCCGGTCCCTCGCCTGGGTGGTACCGACTCGCCTTATCAACAAAGCCACGCCGCCATTTCTCGCCACGAGTTGTATCAAACCAGGGAGAAACCTGTGACACCCCGCAACAAATTCAACACGCAAAGGGCCCTCACCCCCGAAGAGTTGGAGATTTTGCAACGTCCTAACGTTCGACGGCTGGTCAACGTCACTCAGCTCTGTACGTAAACTCTAGAGATCTGACCGAGTTCTGCTAACCTGGAAGTAGACTTCCTTGACTACTACTTCGACCTCTTGACCTACGTCGGCTCCAGACAGAACCGCCTGGCTTCCTTCAAATCAGAGGTCCCCCCTCCACCCGAAACTGACGAAGCGACATACAAGCAGGTGTGGTCGAAGTATGCGGGGCGAGAGCGCGCAAACCTGCGTAAGAGGCGTGTCAGACTTCGCCACGGCGATTTCCAGATCCTCACGCAGGTTGGCCAGGGTGGTTACGGTCAGGTCTTCCTGGCCCAGAAGAAAGATACTCGCGAGGTGTGCGCCTTGAAGGTCATGAGCAAGAAATTGTTGTTCAAGCTGGACGAGGTTAGACATGTGTTGACGGAGCGAGACATTCTCACCACAGCCAAGAGTGATTGGCTGGTCCGGCTACTCTACTCCTTCCAAGACGACAAGAATATCTATCTTGCCATGGAGTACGTACCCGGAGGTGATTTCCGTACTCTGCTGAACAACACTGGTGTTTTGAGTAACCGACATGCTCGATTCTACATTGCGGAAATGTTCTGCTCCGTCGACGCCCTTCACCAACTAGGCTACATCCACAGAGACTTGAAGCCGGAAAACTTCCTTGTCGACTCTACTGGCCACGTAAAGCTCACCGACTTCGGCCTGGCTGCTGGTTTCCTTGCGCCCGCAAAGATTGAATCCATGCGAATCCGTCTTGAGAAAGCTTCTGAGACGTCCGTACCATTTGGAAAGCCCATGGATCAAAGAACTGTAGCCGAACGACGAGAGGGATACCAGACGATGCGTGCGAAGGACACGAACTACGCCAAGTCTATTGTGGGTTCGCCTGATTACATGGCACCGGAAGTGCTTCGGGGAGATGAGTATGACTACACTGTAGATTACTGGAGCTTGGGATGTATGCTTTTTGAGGCCTTGACCGGCTTCCCGCCCTTTGCAGGATCCACTCCTGATGAGACTTGGCGGAACTTGAAGCACTGGAGGGAGGTGCTCAAGCGACCCGTGTGGGAGGACCCCAACTACTTTTTGAGCAACCGCACGTGGAACTTTATCACGACGTAAGTCTTACAACCGCGCCGCTGTTTCTGGCAGTTGCTGACCCTATCTCTAGCTGTATCAACTCAAGGTCCAAGCGGTTCTCCAATATTAAGGAAATATACGCGCACCACTACTTTGCCGAGGTTGATTGGGATACCTTGCGAACCACCAAGGCACCCTTCGTGCCCGAGCTCGATTCAGAGACTGATGCAGGCTACTTTGATGACTTCACCAACGAAGCAGACATGGCCAAGTACAAGGAGGTGCATGACAAGCAACAGGCATTGGAGAACATGGCGGACCGTGATGACGAGATGGGCAAGAGTCTCTTCGTCGGCTTCACATTCCGACACCGCAAGACCACGGATGATGGAAGCCCGCGCAAGCCGATTCCGTTCAACAACAGCGGCAGCAACGAGGACGCTTTTGGCACAATGTTGTAGAGTCAGTCTTTGTGGCGAAATGCGCCGTATCGGTGGTGTTCTCGGAGAAGCTTCCGCTAAACTTGGAATCGGCAGATTCCATTGATGATGATGATGAGGCAGACGTCATGGACCAGAAAGATTAGGCGGTGTTGGGGGGCGACGGACTTCTTGTATGAGTTTGGGAGGGCGGCTGTATCCTGCAGTGCAGCAACGGCATGTTTGAGATGAAATATCGGCTTCTTTGCTTTTTGCGTTGGAGTTTGCAGAAGGACAGAATCGGGATGACAGGCTTGCTGCATGAAACAAGGCAGGGACTTTTTTCTGGGGGTCGGGATTAATTAACGGACGGAAACGGCGTTGCAGACGGCCGACATCCGACATATCATGTTGTACTAGAGACGAATGACACACGCAGAAAATATGGCTTTGTTCAGACCAGATCGGTGAAGCAGCGCCGACCTGCCAGTGTGCGTTGATATTCCGCGTCATCTATTGAGGCTGGCGCGAGACACTGTGTGACGTTCCTGCCTTAGCGGAAGCCGAGATGACCAACATGCCAGCCTTGTCTCTCATACAAAGACAGAATGACCAGCGAGCTGCTGCCAATCTGACGGCGGCTGGGCTTGGTCAAGGCAGACGTAGACCTTGATCAGCCCGAACGAAGCAGCAGCATAAGCACATATTCTGAAACATATTTGCCCAGCCTTTTCGGTCGGGCTCTCATTCGAGTCCCACTCCTCGGCACCTGGACGAGACACACACGGCTGACGGCACCACAAAATTCTCCCTTATGGTACTGGCACTTGGTGACGGAGGATAGGAGTACCATCGGAAGTCCAGCGCGAGAAGCCGCAGCACAACGATTCGGACGAATCGGCACAAGTACGTCAGACCCTGCTTTTAGACATTGCACAAGAGATGAGAGCTAATGCAACGACGGCATAGGAAACCCAAGAGAAAATCAAAGAAGCAGGAGGTCCTGTCCAGTCTCCGGGGGGCCGAGCCAACGTGCTGCAAAGGTGGTTGGCTGGCAGGTCGGTACTAGCGCGGCTCTTGACCGACACTAGGGTCCACTAGGGCCGCTTTGGCCGGTGTTCCCCAACCACCATCCCCGGACTACTATCAAATTGTGGCACGACACAGCAAAACGCACAACACCGATGGGCCACTTAGACCCTCGTTTGAACACCGCAGTGGCTTACTCTACTGCAAGCACCGAAACATTGTTTCCTGTGACACCGCGCCCAGAGGTGAGCGCCAAGCTGCCATGCAGGGCCGCGCGGTGACCCTCATCTAGTCATCGAGCGGATGGCAGGGGGATGAGGGAGGACGAGCTGATGAGGGTTACCACTGAAGGGTGGAGGAAGGAACCGGCTGCATGGTAGGATCTGCGGCGGTCCAAAGAGTCCACGCGGTGTCCGTGGCACAGGGCGAGTTGCCCCTAAAGGGACGAACGAAGGTCAAGACGATGTCATTGCTTTTTTGCCATGCGGCATCTCGGGACCGAAGCAAACAATCTGCAGGACGGTGGACCGGTAGAGAAGGAAACGAAGGGGGCGGAATTGTGTGCGTCAGACGAGAGACCTGCCCATTGTAGCAAAGAATTATAAAGGACTGGCTTGATCTTCGGCTCGTTCATTGTTCGGCTTCGTTTTTGAATCATCACATCGGGACTCATCCTTTCTTCACAACACATCCCCCCCCAAAAAAAACAGCTTCTTTTCTTCTTTTATTTGGCCAGGAAGCCACGGTCGATTCTTTGAGAAAAGCCATTAGACATTCTGCTGCGAAGCAACCCCATCCCATAAACAACGCCCTCCGAGGTACATCAAAGTCAACTCAACAACAAAATGAAGACTACCATTATCGCCGTTGCTCTCGTTCAGAGTGCCGCTGCCGTAGCTAACCCTCCTGGCTGGGACAATGGCAACTGGGGAAATGGTAACTGGGGTCCTGGGGGCTTCAACGGCGGCGGCTGGGGCGGCTGGGGTGCTTGGGGAAACAACGGTGCTGCCAAGTGCGCGGTAAGCTTCCTCTTCATGCGTTTCTCTCACACAGATCATCATCTTATCTTTTGTCTCAACTTTTCCCAAACTTTGAAAATTGTTTACATTGGCTGACACGAAATATCATATCACCACAGGCCTCTTGCTTCTCCTCCCACTTCCAGACGGCCACCCCTACTCCCCAGGCTTTCTGCACTGATAACAGCCAATTGAACGACTGCGTCCGTTCTGCCTGCCCTACTGAGACGGCTGCCATTGCCTCTTGGTCCTCTGCTTCCTCCTCCGCCTGCAGCGCTTTCAACGCTTGCTCTAGTAAGAGTACTTTCACGTACTCTGGCGGCTGGTGGGGTGATGCCACCAAGACAGATGCTGCTGTCACTGTTACTGGCTGCCCAGTGGACGGCTGGTGGATTCCTGGAGGTCCTCTTGGCGGCATGCCGGCTGGTTGGAAATGTAAGCCGATCCTCTTTGATATCCTCCACCTCCCCATACTTTGGTGACATTTTGATGCTGATTCCCATCTTAGACCAAACCAACACTTTTACTGTCACCCGTACCGTTACCAACAACGGCCAAGCTGCTGTTACCACTGGCCCCGTTACTGTTGCTGAGGCCTACTCCGGCACCAGCACCATTCGTTCGACGCTCACGGGTGTCTTTGCCGCTCAGCAGACTGATTCTACCACCACCAACGCTGCTGCTGGCGTTGACCGCAGCGTTAAGGTTGCCGGAGTTTGCCTCGGTGCTGCAGTTGCCGTCGTGGGCCTGATGTAATTGTCTCTCATCGGACGTCAGCCGCTTCAGGAAAACCTACCTGTATGCCTTATCCACCCTCTATTCCCTTGGGCACATGCAAATAAATGTGTCAAGGGGGAAGCCAAAGATTACTCGGAGCTGGGAAGAATCTGGCTTCGGGTATCTTGGCGCGGAGGTTCATGTATTTCTTTCTACTCCCTTCCTTAATGACTTGGAGTTTTTTTTTTGGGCGGAGGAATGTTGATAGGGCTGGATACCTTGTAACAAATTAGTGTGATGACATGTCTCCTTGGTTGAGACCGCCACAGTCTTTACAGTATATATAGTAATCACGGCCGGATACGATGAATGGAACAGAAACTTTTCTGCTTTTAAACTGGCTTCTCAGTGACATCTCCCAGCCTCTTTTGCTATTCTGTTGACCTTCTCAATTTATTTGGATGTATACTTGTGTTTCATTTTCCCCAATCCAAGCAAACAAATTTGCTAGACTATTAACTATCGTAAAGAGTTAAATGGTAGGTTTATCAACAGCCCGAAATAGCCAACGTCATGAGACTAAGTTGACCAAACAATGCAGTGGTGGTCATGGCCCCTGACTTTGCCCCCACACCATCTAGTGTGATGAACAACGTAAAAGTATTAATCATCGATTTAGGAAACGACCGCGATAAGCATGACAGTGGAATCAATTAACTTGTCCTCTTGTGTAAATGGGTAGGGTAAATCGTCTCTCGGTGAGCGGCCGGCTTCTCCGGTGCCGTTGTCCCGATAGCCATTGTACGTACTGCCGGCCCCGATGCGGGGCGACCGTTCCGTTTCTTGCCGGTGACAGTCCGGCCACCACTTGCCGTATTCGGCATCAGGTACCGGACTACACAAAAACAAAACTCTAGGGGACAGTCCATGTGCTGCCCTTGACTCTGTGATATCCTCCCTGGTTCATGATATATGTTGAAATACAGTCACGAAATGCTACAGTTATCAATCGGCGGTCTCTTGTCGTCCCTGGTGAGAAATTTGACGGCCTCCGAATATATATATTTTTTTAACATCCCCCCCTTTCACATTTTACCTGCGGCATGCACACGAGGTAACATATAAAGAGCTGCTGTTAAACAAGAAACAGCTGTTTCTTCTGTGGCAATTGCCGTGTAAAAGCTGGCCGGCTCGCGGATACGTATCGATCCCGTCTTCATCTCTCATCCCGGTCACCGCTGGCGAACGCACGAGGTGATGGGCCGAAAGGGCTATGAGCATACTCGAGACGTAGGCCTCACGAGAATAAGGGGGATGTCATTCGAGTGACACTCGCACAAACACAACCGCATGCTTTTGTCTTACTTGGAGAGATGTACGTTGGGAAGCATACAACAGAAGCACTGAACGCCGTATCGTTTACCGACTAAGAAACACGCCTTCTTCCTAGACGCGGTCCTTGATCGACGAATTCTAAACTCGAAGGTTCATCTTGGAGGGCCAGCTCAAGAATTGGTCTTAATGCTAAAGCTTGAATCTGGCTGGAAAATGGTGCAAAGAGGTAATGGCAGCTTCTATGAAAACAATATCAAAGTTTATGAAACGGGAGCCACGTAGGTAGACCATATGAGTGAACCAGAGGGCCATCATCAATGCACGGAGGCCAAACAGTTGGGCGGATGAATTGAACGGTGTGTATGGCGGGCAATCCCATCCCATCAAGTGACTTCAAATAACATGTTCTAAAATGCAACAATTTGACAGCCCCAGTATGCTTAATGTTTCGGCCGGGTCAGCGCCCAATTGTATTATAACACATCAAAATGGCATAAGTGTAAGCACCGACGAGAACTCGCCAAACCTAATACGCCCACTTACCTTGGCTGCTTCTCCCTTCGACAGAACGCTTAGAAGACAAAATTCCAAACCCATATCAGCCTGAAAATGAACAACACCGTAAACCCATATGAGAAGCCAGACAAAACACTGGACCTCGGGAAGGCACAACCATGTACGGAACACGACAGCCCATTTCTCGTAACCTAACATAGCCATTTGCCGTGTTCCGGGTTCCGCTTCCATCAACTCTCGGTTCGGCTGAATGTCTCTACTGCAATCGATGGAAACATCCTATTCCTCTAGCCGCCCAGCTGTTCAAGAACCTTGTTATGCCATGCCGGAGCCTTCGTCAAAATTTCCCAACAACAAGCACTTCCCCATCAGCGCTAACAGAGACCTAGCACAAGAGGGCAATGTCCGAGATATGACACTGGGCAACATATCGAGACGGATGGCGAGTCGATGACATGTGGGCTTTCAGGGTATTCTCGTTCGGTACGACAACTGGGGTTGACCGATAATTCGAGGGTCGAGTGAGGAAGAAGTTATCGACGAGAGGCATCAAGGCTCGGAGGCTGTTAAAGAATTGCGTGGCGGCAATTGTTCGGCGAGTTATGTTCGATCCTGTTGTTCGGTTGTATAAGTCGACGCTGTGTCTACTAGGTCCTGAGCCGTGTGGACCAAGTCATCTTGCTAGTTGATAGGAGTTCGACCCAATGCCACCTTCGGAAATCTTGAGTAGCATCTCGGGGGCGATCAATACGTGCGGTCCTCGGCTGGCATCTCCATGCGGTTGGCGACATGCGGCATATGAGTGGATGTTCGAGGAGTAGTGACATCCATCCCAACACGCCATCATTCTCTTTGATATGAACTCTTCTGGGACCGTCCAACTCGTTCCTCCAATAATCTGTTCGAGGTGTAATTCGAGAAGAAGGCATTCGCTTCGAAGCTGGTAGTCTGGCTCTATGGCCACCGCCTGTCTGGCAGCAGGTTGCCGGAAGTCCTCGTATGCGCAGTCTCCATGTCCTTTGACCCCTGACTGCCCATCACCGTATGATCCTGCTTCGACATTGTGACTCGGAATTCGCTTAGACGATGTACGTAAAGACACGGGATGTAGCTAAGCCAAGCCAACCCCTTGAAGGCGTTCAGGTGACTAACATAACCCAACCAAAGGCTAAAAGAACACCTACATCGCCAAGTAGAGGGGAGGAAAAATTGGCCGAGGAAGGATGTGCTGCGCTTTACTTATACCAAGGGAGCGTCACTCTAGTTGGCGGCCTTATCCTGGGGAAGTCTGGGGAAAGAGATAAAGAGGCTCTCGCCTGCCCAGACCGCCCATCACCAGATAAGCAGGTAGTCTTGAAACACGCACACGATCTCACGCGCAGGTAGATAGAGGTAGCCTGCAGCAATGGCCAACGTGCATATCCATATCGCTGCAAGCACCGAGATCTCCGGAGACGATCGTCTTGATAGCTGAACCCTTGATGCAGCAAAACAGTGACAGCGGTCAGTAAGGTTTGCATGAAGCAGCAGCGACAGGAGGAGGAGCCATTGATAAGACAATGTTGTTGCGGTGGCCCAGGCACACAAAACGATTGAGTGCGAGAATTGGCCAATTAAGCCTTTGGCCCTCAGTCCATTTCTATATGTTCACTGGCGGATAGGGCAGGTCCGAGGAGAAAGATAGACAAGAGATAGGGAGATAGCGGCAGTATCGACAGGGAGACGATTGCGCGTGGGAGCTGATCTCTGGCGGCATCACATTGCTAATTTACTGAGAAAATGGTGCAAAGAATCAGCTGCCTCATTTGACCAAGTTTTTGGCTAAGGGCTTGTCTTGGAAAAATTGGCTCTGCAGATAAGAATTAACTTATAAAATGAGCTACTTCCCAATTGTTATTATTTTTTTTTTTTCGTAGGACGCCTGTCTACAGGAAAGATTCGACGGCAAACACGACATACTCGGCACAAGTTTGTGCCCTGCAGCAACCGTTTGGAATGATGGGAGGAGCACACGACACGGTATGAGAGTCCAGCCACCAAACTGGAAAATTTCCCGAGGTATCGAGCCGCTGCAGGAGGTCACGAGACCATTATTGGCCTTTTTACGGCGAGGTTGGCTGGCGTCTCAATCGTATGAAGGCCATGACTTCATCTTTGTTTTGGACATGATGAACTGGCGATGTGGTATCCATCATTCGACACCCGCCACCCCAGAAAGGGTCGAGGTGGCATGCTAGCATGCTCCCTGGCCGAGTAGGCGCAGCCCAAATGAACACAGAATTGAACGGGACCCCCACGCGGGGCACGTTCATGCCTGATTATTGCAGGTGAGAGTTTCACGGCGGAAGAAGCCCTTTTCAGGTGTGATCGACCGCCCGCCCTCGCCCTGCGTTGCTCCGAACCCACGGCGGTTTATATCCGACCGCTTGATAACCGGTCGTTCGACAAGTCAACCGCCTTAGGTCCAAAGGAAACTGAGTGATGGCAAAGACTATCTTGTGTTGAACGAGAGGTGGAGATGGATAAAACCTTATAAGTGAAAGCTCGAAATATCCTGAAATGGCAGCAGAAGCGGTCTTCGGCCGAAAACCGCGAACCTTCGGATGACCATTTCAAGGCCCTTGGTTGGTACCAGTATCGGAGGGGCAGTGGGGGGCCACACACATACAATGTAATTTGGCCGAGATTGCCGGGGAGGGACGCGATAAGGGACAACCCTGACCAATGAGCGACAACTGACTTGTCCATGTCCGAAACGCCCATCTCTTTTCTCTCGAGGAGAAAGGTGCCGGGAAGCAAGTCATGGAGCTGTTGTCATCCTAGCGCATGCCGATTCTCCAGGATGGCTAATGTCTAACAAGAAGTGGTGGCGTCGCCGGGGACTTTGGAGCCCACTTCCGACTCACCGCCAATAAATTCACAAAGTAGCAGAAGCAGCTGGTTTTAACAGAGGGGCATCAGTCAACTCCAGCTTCCATCGAGCAGGCTGACAAGACTCGACCGGCCTGGACTCATGCTCGCATACGGGAGCCTGCTGGTAGAGATGCGGTTTTTTTTCTTCCACATCTCTCATTTTGTTGCGATACCGGCCAGATGTAAATGCGGTACAACAGGGGCACATTTACAGCTTCCATATTTGTACTCGGTCCGTGAAGCGCTTCTGCTAGCCTGCGTTATAAACGAGACCTTGTTTGCGTCGCTTGTTGCGAATAGCCAGAAAAGAAAGGCAAGGCTATCCACATTGGATCTGACTGACAGCGCGATGCCTGCCATGTGTGCGCCATGTGTCTATGGTGTTGCAGCCGTGGGTCTCCCAGGAGACAAAAGGTGTTGAGACCATTAATGCATATCATCAACCTCGAACTCTTGAGGTGCAAAACGGGCGTTTGCTTTGGAGAAGCCACATTATAACTGTCAAAATGTTCTAGACCACACCGTCAGTCGCAACACCGTTGGCAAGCTGAATGCATCAATTGTTGGTTGGTTCCCTGCTGCTGTGACAGAATCACATGTCATATAGGCGCCTGTAGAAGTAACGCGCTATCAGTAGCCTGAGATTAGCGGTGGACAAAGCTCTCCTGGACCCTTCAAATGCATGTCAAGGCTGGCAGCAGGACCAAGGTGGGTGCGATTCAGAACGTCAAGAGGTTTTCCTGGAACGGTGTGGTGGCTCCGTAAGCCACCAGGTATCGAGGTAAGTCCGACGCTGGGCAAGTCTTGCAGGCTCCGATCATGGAGGTTGGGAGGCCATCTTCTGTTCCGCTCTATTTTCGTCCGACCCTAGACTCTTGAGAAAGACGCAACGGGTCGGCCGCTGCGGCTGGACGTGCGCGCAATGAGCGGGTATGGATATCGATAGTTCGCAGGGGCAGCCGGGGCACCGGGATCCGTCAAGAGGAGCAGAATCGATCTCAGCGTCTAGCCCAGGGCATCGCAATATCCTGCCGCCGCGTCGAAATGGTTTCCATCAACTCTTTCGGTCGCATCATGACCTAGCAGTTCCACTGTTGATGCGAGTTGAACCGTGTCCAGAATAGAACCTGCGTAGTCGGATGTACATGCCCCCCTGTGCGCCGCAGCCGCAGTCGTGGAGATCGGTCGATGGGAGACGGGACCGAACTACGCACCCTGCATAGAGAACAAGCCCTCTGAATGGTCCATTGTGGCCGGGAGTTCAAGGTGGACAAACAAAATTTCGTCACAACTTTGCTTGATCTCAATATCGCAAAGTTGGAGGCTTCGAAAAGGAACTTTCGCTCAGAAAGAAAAGTTCGCTCATGTACTACCACCAGTAGCACAGAGGAGTGTGCATCTCATGAGTTGCGTATGGGGCCGGGCATATAAAGCGAGCCTACCACGAAGCTTAAGGTCCGGAGTAATAGAAGCGACGAGCCCCCGCTGCTGACGTTTTCATGCCTGTACTCCATCACCTATTGGGGCTATCAACTAGGGCACGTCCTGCTACCGAGGTTGATCAATACGGAGATGGGTTCCATTCGACCAGACCAGTTGTTGGGAGGACACAAGAGGCCTGGCCAAGAAGATGTGCAATCAAGTGTGACGACAATTGCGGCACCTTGCCGCGTAAGCGATTTAAGAAATTTGACTATGATAGAGCGGCCTATGGCTACCAACTGGAAATGCCACTGAGGGACAAAAAATCATTTTGACGAGCTACTAGCATGTATTGCGAACATTGTCTCGGCATAGCAATGTTCAACAGCTCGAGTCGTGACGTGGTAGTCCACAATGGCAACCCTGGTCGCAAGAAGCCCGCCAGGCTTTCGTTAAAGGCCAGGAAGATGCTTGCTAACAGACCCTCCGCCACGAGGCAACGGATAAGTTCTCGCTGTTTGGTCCATGTTAGCCCAGGCAGAAAGTCACGATCAGCTTCGTAATGACTCGCAACCGTAGAAAAAGACCGGCCGCGCCATTGGTTTTTTCTCGTGATATATCGACTGTGAGCCGGGCAGTGGTTGGCCATCGTATGAACAACATGGCAGGTATGGGCACTCGTCATCCAAGACGCAAGGTTGTTTGAAGTACTACATAGTACGTGTCTGGAATGCCTTGCCTTGGGCGGGGAGCCGCTCCGTTCGGGTTTAGGCGGTAATACCGAACTGAATATCAGTATGTAGTACGTCTTAAGGCGAAGGCGTAAGGCAGATAGATCTTTTCCCTCTCAATTGAAACGAGATCCTTTTACCCCGCGAGAGGGGTGATAGGGTGTTTAGTTTATAGTGGGGAGGCTCGCTATTGAGGAAACCCCCCCCCCCCCCCCCCCGATATCGACGTCGCATAGGTGTGATGGTGGCCAAGAATGAACGGCGGGAAACCAGAAAGATGACAAGATAGATTTCAGTAACAGAGACAAGGAAGTCTGCGCTTGTCAAGCAGGTTTCGGACGAAGTGAAGCTTGACGACGGGTTGCTGGTTGCTACTACCTAGAGCAAGAGGCCCTGGACCCGTTGGGCGGAGGAAACAGAGAAGACAGCGAATGGAAATGGACTGGGTCTGGAGAATGCAACGAAGGAGCGCCGAGATCCACAGTGGATGATGTTCATCGCTGGAGAAAGAAAAGAGGGCCGTGGCCGGGCTGGTGGTGATGGTGGTAGTGACACTACAGAATAATTATTCCGTAGTCACTTTTGGATAGAGTGGGATAAGGTAAGCACGTAAGGTAAGGTAGATAGAAAGCATGGTGCGGTAGTATACCCGTAGTGTCGTAGTTGATGGTACCGGTAATGAGCTATTGCGTATCCATGGGTGGAAACAGACAGCCAGCAAGCACTTGACTTCCTCCGTACTTGCCCGTGCCTGCCCAGTCGACCTACTACCCTGCCCTGCTGTTTCCCTTCCTCGTCGTATCCGCCGCTGTCATTTGTGGTCTCGTGTGGGGGTCTCCAACATGGCTTCCCTGTCGCTTCCTTGTGGCTTCCTGCAAGTGCTCAACCGCCCCTGCCAATTCGGTTCGTTTTGGGGGTACTTCCACATTGCCTGTCTACCCCTCCTGTCTGGAAGTATCCTGCACCATTCTAAATGAAGCACATCTAACTCGCCCAACGCCTGTCAACCCAACTTCCAGCCGTGTCTTGCTGCGACTACTGAGGGTGGTGCAGGCTCATTGATGCATCTCGTTCCGTCCGCTGCATGCTGATGCTCATTCCTTGTCCCTTGATGCCGGTTGAGTGTTGCGAGCTGCATCAACCTGCATCGGATGGCCACCGACACGGCTTCGCAGCTCGACGCACTTCATTTACCTCAGGCTAAGCTACCCCGTCCCTCTCTACCGATACGGACTATCAGGTACTCTTAGTTCCACTGAGACCAATGCGGCCTTCGCTTTCTTCTACCCATCAACATTCTAGAGGAGGCTGAATGTTGGTCCTTCTCCTGCCGCCTTTCACTGCGGGACTTCACCTCCTGATCTTTCTCAACCACAAAGTTCAGTCCCCAGGTTGGCAGCATGCTTGAGAACTTTCAACATGATGGTGCTCTTTCCTGGATGAAGTAGGCAGACTCGAGCTGGCTTGTCATTGGAATACCAGACAGCTCGCGCGGTTCTTTCAGGCTAAAACTGTTACTGCTCGTTCGGATAGACTCTCATTCACCCTCCACCGCTGCCGCCCTAAAGTCAATTGCCTTCCCCTTCCATCGGATGATCACCGCACAGCCCTCAGACGTTGTCGCGTGGGGGAACAGACCCGGCTGGAAGCTGGGCCGGCAGCCGTGTACTTACGGATACTCACAACTCAAAGTCAGCCACTGGCTGAAAATATCTCCTGCCTGCTACAAGTCTAAGGCTGGTGACCAGCCCCATTGTCGACGTCTCCATCCACATAGCATGTTCCATCAGTCTATCCGCCGAGGCTTTGAGTGATGAGGGCAACAAAAGGCTGGTGGTCCGTCCGCCACACATGTCGGGCCCCACCCAAGCCTTGATCATCATGGAATCGATGGGCTTCCTTCTTCCAGGGTCTTACTTGTACACACTCTAACAACGAATGACTTCACTTCGCTACGGCCCAGCACCTGGCACACACTGGATTATTCCAGTTGAGGGGCATTTACTGGCCAGACCTGCAGCGTGGGGTGTCTCTTCGGGGTCTCTGTTGTGAACTCACAGTACAGCTTACAGCTCCAAGTCGGCTTCCGGAGCGTTACCTACCCAGAAACACTACCAATCATGACACTGGGCGTGTGCGACTCTCTGATTGGCGGCGCCAGTTTCGGCGCTTTGAGCAAGAAGCAGGTGAAAGCCGGTGGGGTAAGAGACAGTCGCAAGCCACCGACCCGAATTCCCGCTTGTTTCTTGGTGCGTGCTAAAGGATCAATCAAGCAACAGATCCGTAATGAGGAGGAAGCCTTCAGCCTGCAGTTCCTTGAACCCGTCATGTCGGCACATTAAGACCAGAAAAGCTACGCATTCGAGCGGGCGCACCTTTCGTCACTCATCACCGACAAAATCTAGGATCAGCTTGCTCCATCTGGGCCACAAACTCTTACTGTTTTAGGGGAACCCACAACAAGTAGTTATTTGGAAAAAAGCCCCCAATGACAGTTCGAAGCTCAAGCCGTTCACGCATACAGACTCCACGTTTTCCTCCTGAACAGCGCCAGCCAGATAAGAGCGCCGGGGGTCTAAGCCAATGGTTTCCAGCAACGAGTAGCTCTGTTCCGCCTGTGGAGCCCCGAGTGGTGGACGGGTACAGCAGCCTACGAAGATCTCTGTTGAAGAGAAATTGCCTAGCCTCTAGAATGTGCATTCACAATGCGGAAGAAGGGGCAATTGCCACGTCTTCCTAAATGAACCAAAAAATAAAAGGGAGGATTGATGCGGGTATCGCTGAGAGGGGCGACTGAAGACGCAAACGGATGGAGAAAGGTTTGATGAAACCAAGGCCGGATTTAGCTGCTATGGCCGCAGCCTTGGAGCAAGATGTCTTCCATCGACCTCTCCAGTGCCTCAACTAACCGAGACTGGGGACAACGATGGCTGAGCTTGTTCCTGGAGTCAGAGCCAGTCCCACAACCGACGTCGTTGGACACGCGGGCAGGCGCTGCCGCGGCCATTCTCACCACCAGGGACCGTCGCTTGGCGCGACTGGAACAGCTCTGCCATATTTCCCTAGTATAAAGTTGAAGTCGACGTAAGTGGAGTTCCGCCGAGATGGGACTCTGAGGGGCGGGCTTTTGCCCGTGCCTTTCGGCGGACTAGGTCTTGCAAGTTTCCTCCCATGTCCCCGACAGGACCCTGAAATCTGACCTGACGGCGGAATCATGTAAGGTAGCTGCTGCCATGGGTTCTGGACCAGCGGCGCAGAGCCGACCTTGTGCGACAGTTTTTTTTTTTTTTTCTATCTTCTCCCCATGTTTTTCCCCTACAAGTGAGCAAGTGGTCGCATCGGTCTCGACCACCCGAGGAGGGCTAGGCGCATAGGGGGCTCATGATGTGTGCTGTTCGATTTACCAAAACAGTTGACGCAAAGACGAATGTTAGCTGATGCCCAGGAGTTGGCCAGGACTCCCTCATCGGCCAACATGTACTACGTACTAGGGCAGTGCTGCTGATGACGCTTGTCCTCCTTTAGGCTTGGGGGTTTCCATGGGTTCCAATCTTCCAGGAGACGAGGGTGGCACTGACAAGGAAGCAAAGACTTGGAATGCCGGCCGGGCACAATCCGAACGGCAGTACTGCGTTCCATTCGTCTCTGGCTGCCGCCTCTTTACTTTTAGTGGTCTCCACCTCTTCTAATTCAGTTCAACGTCCGCTGCCCGGCGCACTGGTTCAGAGACCACTTCGATTTGGTGCAACCCTCTCGCAAGGGGCATCGTACGGTTGAGCGGCATTTTTACCTGCTCTCGCCGGCTTAGAGCGTGCCATCGTCAGCTTGACAAATGTGTTTTATTTTGTGTTCGCACTCGTTCGAACACGCCGTGGCGCAGGGTGTTCTTCGGGGGAACGAGCGGAGCCCTTCCTGTCACTGATTAGTACGCTGTCACAAACGGCTTAGCACAGCATTGAAACGGGCGCGAATTTGATTCGGGTCATATGTCAGCCCCTCGCTCCCCATCATGACGGAACGATGGGCTGGCCATGTTACCAGCCCAACCGCTCGGGAAAACCGTCCGGCAGGAATCAACATGAAGGAAGCGGTATGAAATTGCTCTGGAGGAGGGATATTCCCGGTTGCAGGCGACTCACCGACAACGGGGATGCAGACTACTTTCTTCACCAGCGATTCGTGAGGCGGCTAAGCAGTCTTCCATTTGATGCTGGCAAGCCGGGAAGACCAGCCCGCCGTTGTCGCTCCAAGCTGGGATCTGCCTGTGCTTGTCCCCCTTAGCGGGCTAGCCCTCCCTGCGAGGTAGTGGTCCCTGTGGCTCCAGTGGTCCCCAAGAGGAGGTGCCCGACTACTGCCCGCTCATGGTGCAGCTTGCAGACTGCAGTGCGGTGCAGACTTGCCCGCCACTAAAGCTGACCGTCCAGTGCCCTTCAGTGTGCATCTGCAAACCCAGATGAGGGAAAAGCTGCTACAGAGACACCCCCGGTCACTCCTCTTGCTCTCTCTCTCTCACTCTCCTCCCCCCCACCTAACTGATAGTTACAACAGCACCTTAATAATTTCGGTGCGAGATCCACCGTTTGCTTCGATGCATATGAATGAGCGCAGATTGACCAGTTAAGAGTGTGGTTACCCTCGACAGTGCGTGAGAGTGCAGGAGCCGAATGAACTATGCTAAATGAGACGAGGAGGCTCGGAGTGAAATCGATAGGGCTCCACACCCACCTCCCGCATTTACATCCATAGTACTATGATAGCGCCTTGGGTACACCACGTCCCACACCCACCCGCCCACTTTGACTCCCCCTCCGACTCCAACTCCCACTCACCCACCACGCTGACTTTCCCCCTCCCCCTCCCCCTCCCCTTGTATGAGGCACACCACACCCACCCACTCGCTACTTGTACCTCACCTCGTTCCTCCCAGCACAAGCGGCACCACTCGAGACTGCTGCTAGCCGTTCATCCTCTAACATCATACAGAACGCCGCCCACTATTCCACCCGGCTTTCGCTGCAACAAGAGATCCCTCCCGCAGCCGAAAGTTGACTTCTGGTTCCGTTCTCCCCTCGACGCCTGCAGCAGCAAAACCCAACGACGTCGAGTCGATAATCCAGCCATCAAAACCTTCCTTCACATCTAAACTCTTTCTTGACCCTTTTTTAGGCCACTCTGAAAAGATCAAAGACACACCACTCGCCAGCAGGAGACGGGGTTTTGCCCACAGAGTGTACCTTACACCACCTCGCTCGTGGCGTGCCAGGTACCTACTTATCTACCTTACCTTACATACCATACCTGCCGGCCCCAGCGAGAGCGAGTCGGACACAAGCCACCCAGTCACAGAAGACCATTACCAGTTGGTGTGAGAGTTACAGCCAAGCGAGCGTGGGGAAATTCCTTTCTTGTGACTCTCGACTCGCCGAAACCGAAACCTTGGATTTTCTTCCCAAGGAAGCTTTTTCCCCTTCCTCTCCCCCAGTGCACAACCTTTCACATGGCTGCCAGCATCTCATCACCAATCTCGACTTTAAGTCCCTTCACCTCAATGAACCCCACGACAACAGAACACGACTTTCGCTTTCCGCGGCGGCCTGACGAACGTTCCGCTCTTGCGTCGCAGTTCCAGGCGCATTCGAAAGGCAGCCCTAGTGAATTGCCCGCCGGCCTTCGCGATCTCACACTTGACCTTTCAGCTGCGCTGCATCCGACCGCGCAGGACGAGTTCTTACGAAACTCAGCTTTTCCTCCCTTCCAGAAAGCAGCCATGGAGTCTAACCAGACACTCGAAGAAATGCAGAAGGAGGATCCGTTGGCGACCCAAGTATGGAAGTTCTTCAGCAAGTCGAAGCAAATGCTTCCCAACCAGCAGCGCATGGAGAACTTGACTTGGAGAATGATGGCCTACAACCTGCGCAAGAAACAATTAGAGGAGGAGAAGGCAAGGTTAGTGCACCACGTTTTGGTTACCTGGTGTTTTATTCTGGCGGCGTCCTGTCGTATGCCGCGGCTGACGAACCTGGCTGACTTGTGTGGGATGATGCAGACTCGCTCGATCTGCGCCGGCACCTGCACCACCATCTTCTGCGCCCGCTCCGTTCCATGCCAACCCGCCCAGCGGCATTGCTCAATTGCGCAAGTCTTCGGAGCAGAACGTCAACCACCCAGAACCCATGAACCTCGACGACTTCATCTTTTCCGATAACATTGCCACGCCTATGACGAACCACTCCCCTCAACCACAAAAGCAACCAGAAGAGCGTGGCCAGATGCACTCGTCCTTCACCTCCGCCATTCCCATCAAATCGCGCAAGGACTCTGCCGCTCAGCAGCACTTTGTCCCACAATCGGTCCCTTTTCCTCCTCATCACCAGAGGATCCAAGACGAATTTAACTATGTTACTCGGCATCACCGAAAAACAAGTATTGATGATCGACGGGTGAGCCAAATTTCCATGCTTATGTTACAAGCCAGCCAAACCATAGACATCGTCTTGGGCCAGTTAATACTCCTTACAACTTGGTTTTCCTCTCTTGCACACACCCCCTTCAGCACCAATCGTCACTGTTTCTCCCGTTTAGTGTTTGCGCCCTACCTAGCTTCGCTGACCCGTTCGGACTTAGACGCGTAAACGTCCGGCCGATTTCTCTCCTCAGGTGCCCGCTGTGAACAGCAGCACAGCAGCCACCAATGACTTGGATGCGGATTCAGAGCTTCACGAATATTCACTCGATAATGCCAATCAGGCCAACATGACGCAGAACCCGCAACAATCAGGAGTTCCGTTTCCTCTGGATACTTACAACATTGAAAACGATCCTATCATCACATCCGCCGGCCCGTTCCAGCAGAACTTCTCCTTCTCCCCTTCCTCCTCCCCCATGGTGTCACACGGCCCGTTTTCCAATGTCTACAACGGCTCTGCGGTGCAACCCTCTTCGTTAAACCCTTCGGATTTTTACTCGCCCCCGGGATCAGCCTATCACTCCACTGTGTCGACGCCGCATCCTCTGCCCGACAATGACGGCTTCTATTTTGGGTCGATGGACATTCGCGGCCAAAGATCTCAGAATTTCCGCCCGGGTTCCCAGAACATGGGGAGCCAAATGAACCAGCAGTTCATGTACAACAACGCGAACGGAAACCCCATGTTCTCAGCATCAGCCCCCACCACGGAATCAGTATCCGCCTTCAGCACCGCGCCGAGTCCTTTCGGGCATATTGATCCAACGCAAGTTTTCCAACCAGACCACCCTGTTCGCTCTCCTGGCATGACTATGTCCAACGAGGGAATGTTTTCCTTTGGCGCCGATTCAGATGACGAAGATGGTGGTGCATTTGCAGACCGCAATCTCGTCATGACTCAGGACTTTTCGCCTGGTCCGATGGACGATGGCAGCTCACTTGGGTGGGACCCGTCACTACCCGGCCAGTACAGCACGCAGGCGGCACGGTATCCTGGAGGGCCACCTCGCAAACAAGTCACTATTGGCGGAACTACTACGGACTACGTTGAAAATAACGACTGGGAGGGCGGCAACTTGCCACGATCGCAGTCACAGTCCTTCCGCCAGGGATCCGAAAGAAGAGGCGGTAAGGTGCCTCGCACGGCGTCAACTCCGGCGGGACACCTGGGGAGGAATGGAAATCCTTTTGACCGAATGGCTCAATCAACCCCCAACTCACCGCCCGAAAACAACGGGACCGTTTCTGGCTACTCTTCGGTAGCCCCGAGCCGACCTTCATCACCGCCTGGCTCAAAGCATGGCTCTACAACCAATCTGCAAGCGGCGGCAGGCAACCAAGGAGAGGGAAACACGCCGACGACGTGTACAAACTGCTTCACGCAGACGACGCCGTTGTGGCGCAGAAACCCTGAAGGCCAGCCACTCTGCAACGCCTGCGGTCTATTCCTGAAGCTTCACGGTGTTGTGCGACCTTTGAGTTTGAAAACAGATGTGATTAAGAAGAGAAACCGCGGCTCAGGAGCGAGCTTGCCCGTTGGCGGCACTAGCACGAGATCAAAGAAGAACGCTTCTGGTGTCGCTGGAGTGGGCTCGCGCAAGAACTCGACTCTTGCCATCTCGTCTACTCCTGTCAACGCCACGACCCCGCCTGCCGCTGCTCGAGCCGGCAGTGCAAACGACGTTGAGAGTCCTGCAAGCGGAGCTGCATCCGGTGGCAACACTGCTGGCAACACGCCGACTAGCTACGGAACGGGCTCATCTACAGGTGCAGCTGCTGGCGGGAAAGGTGTTGTCCCGATTGCTGCCGCACCTCCGAAGAACACCCCTGGTCCTGGCGCTGCGTCCCTCCCCCGGAACGTTACCACTTCATCATCTTCCAGCTCATCGAAACGCCAACGTCGCCACAGCAAGAGCGCTGGCAGCGAAAGTCTCACGGGTATGGAAGTTGATAGTCCTGAGAACTCGACTGGCTCCAACGAGGCAGCGAAGACACTTAGCACTACCGGTTTCACAAGTATGCCCACGACTGGTTCTCTGGGTCTGGCCAACGGGCTCGGCATGACCCAACGCCCCATGATGAGCTCGGGCATGATGGGCATGCCCGGTGGTCAAAACGGCCAAATGATGAACCCGGGAGGGCCAGCATCTGGCCCTCAAGAATGGGAATGGCTTACGATGAGTTTGTAAAGACTCTCCAAGTTGCTGCGGGCAACTCGACGCAGTATCAGTGCATGACATCGAGCCAGGCTGCGCTAGTTATGAATTTGGGCGTTTTTCTTTCGACATTAGAATCAGATGGAAGGTTTTCTCATTTCTTTTTGGCCTAAATTCGACTAGGAGAACTGGGCACGGCGAACAATACTTTCTACGTTGTTTCACGAATTCTGTTTGATACCAGACCTTGATATCGGTCCTTGCGCGGCGGTCGTCTGAATTTTTTGTCAGCTATACATGGAAACATAATTGGGTTGGAGGGCTTTGTTGCACGGTTTATTCCTCACGGGGTCGGATGCGTTCAGCGACTTCTCGACAAAGGCTGTTATGCCTAAGAGCGATATATGGCTATTACGCTGATTAATGAAGGCTTCCGCGTCAAGTTGCTAACGCTGAAGAGTTATGATGTTTTTACGGAGGAGAAATGGCTGCCGACTTACGGACATGACTTTTGCTGTTTGGTGCTTATCAGCGTGCAGTTACTATATGGGCAAGTCTAGACTATTTCGGTGGGGCGGACTTTCTATTTCTAAGTGTTCTAGAATGGTGTCTTTGAGAGACCCAGATGGATGCCGGAATATACCGGGTCCATCATACTCGACGACAAACTCGTCACCTTTTTGATGTTTTTATACCTAGAGCCATGCATGAATGATATATACTGAGATCCCTCTTTATGCTCGTTTCCCAAAAAGTGCTCTCGCGGTAAACATTGGAGATTGTTGCCTAGATTGGATGGTTGAAAAATGGTGTCGGGGACCTGTGTAGTCTCATAGGATGCACACTTAGTGATGCTTTGGATGAGTGGTTGTCTCTTGGTGTCCCCACCCGGTGCTCCGGAGAAACTGCCCGGTCGAGTTCGGAGACGGGATCCGCTCCGTGGGTTGGGCTTGCCAAGATTGTCGTCTGAAGACATGATAGGTCGGCCGGAACCCCTTTGCTGCCTCCCCCACATGCTTCAATCCGACGGGAAAGGGCTGACAGTGGACGATGTTGGCCGTTGAGTTTTGTGGCTGGATCATTATTGGTATGCATGTTTCACTTGGGGATACCGTGTAGAGAGACAAGGAGGGTTGCAGTTAGATAGATATCTACTTCCTCCATGGATGAATACTTTTTATACCCTCCTGTTCTCTTTCTTGTCCGCAGTGAAATCCAATTCTGGCTTAAAATCGTTGAAGCTCTTTACAACAAAAGTTGCTCGTACATCGTTCGGGGGGGTAGTCCAGTTGTATGCGCGTCATACAACCGGAATGCTGTCAGTAAAACTTCATACGCATGAACTTCAGGGTACCAAGTTGACGGCAGATGAAAATTAACCCCCTCGGTTGGGTCTGCGAAATTGTTATTCCTGCGTGATACATTTTCAAAAACCACAACAGCCTGCCTTCACGGCCGAATCTCTAAGTTTACAATCTGGCCAACAGTCTGGAAAGGCTTCAAGACACTAGCTATCACAAATGTTGATGCTCGTCGCCGGCCGGCCCGGCCCAACGACCCTTGATGTCGTCCGTGAAAGAGGCCTCGCAGAGATACAGAAGACAGAAACACTAGATCCGCTGTATACAATTCCCAGAGGCGTCAGCTACTCTCTCACAACCCCTCCAAACCCACGTCCCCGCCTCACGAACAGATCTCTCATCGCCGCCCTCCCGCCACCTGTGCGCAAAAGCTTGCGGTCCTGGGAACAGGCGGCGGCCAGACAGCGGCAGCGGCACACAAAGACGCATGCTAACGCGACGTACATCCGTCTCTCAACTCTTTCGCCGGTCGAAGCCGACTCCGGGGATATACGCCTGAGGACGAAGTCGAAGCAGACGCAATTCAGCAGCGGCGTAACCGCGACTACGGCGCCTCGTGCGTCCCTTTCCTCGTTGTCGTTGTCATCCCCGCCTGTTTCACACCGCTCATCGTCACCGACCCCAGCACGCACATTGCGGAGATGGTTTCGTAGGTCAGGGTACATGTCAAGGAGCCCGAGCTCCAGTTCGTGGACGTTGCCATTCCCCCGCCGCATGTTTGCGAACCCTTGCCGGGCTGCGTGACTGGCGTTCGCCGGGCTCTACAAGGACGCGCGTAGGCTTGGGGACTTCAAGTGTCCAGGAATACCATCCAGAAGCAAGGGAGGTAAATCAGAGAGCAGGGCTTCGATTCGTTTATACTGGCAAAGCTGGTACAGAGGGCATGGGCAGGGTTTGGGCGAGAGTATGCACAGCGAAAGAGGAGGAGGATTGGGTGAACATTGCTTGTGATTTTGATTCCACGATAGCAAGTTCTGTATAACTGAACTACTTTCAGCAGATATCTCTGAATAAGACAGTTGTTCTTTCACTATATATGTTTTGAAAGCTAGGAAGACATTCTAACGTGTCTAGTATGCTCAGATATAAGGTGACTAATATTTTGCCCTAAACATCTCTCTGGCACGCCAACCGCAGCCCCTTATAGTTTCTCTGGTCTAGGATACGTAGAAATCATCCTTAGAGTTGTCCCCTAGGGATGCTGCGAGATCTGCGGCTGCCCATCCTTGGAGGAGGGATCGTCTTCTATTTGAGATGATCCCCACCGACTGAGTGTCGTAGAGCAAAAGCCTGCCAGTGTTTGCTACGGAAAGGGTGACAGAAAAGGAAAATTTGCACGAACCTCAATAAATTCCCGTCCCTACCTTAGTTAGTGGCTTTGCTAGCTTGTGTACAGGATGGGTAGGAAATATAAGACCAGACGAATGACGATGGTGAAATCGTCCTAGATAGTGATAAAGACAATTGAGTCTGCAGTACTTGCGCACCAAGAATTACATTGGCAATGCAGAATGAAAGCACGCATTATAGCTTAAAGACATGGGGCAGTATCAAGTCAAAACATAGTGTGGTATATGGTTGAACAAAATGTATTCCTCAACTAGAAAATAAGCAACCTCTCCCACATGGTACAGAGAAGAAAGAAACTAGATCCAACCAAGCCCAGTGTTCTTCCAAACCGAAACCCTCTGCAGCATTTCCATGTTTCCATGAGAACCAGGCGGGTTGTTATCATACCGTGATGGCCGGCCAACGGCAAGGCTTCATCGACGGTGATGGGTTTGAGTTTACCCAAGCCATGGCGTGTTATCAGAGATCCATATAGGAAAAGGGAAGAGTCGGTAACATGCCCATACAATCTCTCATAAGTGTAAATTGACTGCAGTAGCCACGAAACATGTCGGGGGTACCACACCCTGAGATCCAGAAAGAATTATAAATGGCGAAGGCATCTTTTCCCTACAGATTATCGCCTCTTCTTTGACCCAACAGCAACCCACGATCCGGACTTTTGTCACAACGCGCAAGTTTATATCAAAAATCATCGTTCAAGCACAAATCAAAGCTCAATGAACATGCGCTCATTTACAAACATTGCCGTTGTCGCCTTCCTGACCTCCGTGGTCTCCGCGGCGCCTGCGGCCCATCCCAACAAACCTATCACCACTGCCACCAGCATCACCAAGGATAATAACAGCTCGTTAGTTCGCGATCCTCTAACGAATGAAGCCCTGGTGAAATACCAGAAGAGCTGGATGAACTATTGCTATGGCGCCGAGAAGATAGAGATGACCGGGTGCATGGACTTGATGTACGATACATATCCCAACTTCCCTCCGGAACATACAAACAACTCGGACGACGTTTCCATCCACCCACCCAAGCCCACCGACTGGGTACTCCACAGTCACGCTACAAACGGCGAAAACAACAAAGATGTTAAAGCCAACGAGAGGCTGGTGGAAAGATCTGAACCCAACGTCGCCGCCGCCGCCGCCGCCGCCGCCCGTATCACCGAGGCCGACAACAACGCGATGAACTACGACGAGATATTGGAGTACGAAATCGGCAAGAGGCAGAAGTGCTACTGCGACGGCGAGCCCAAGTTCACGGCCGACAAGTTCGCCGCGTGCCTTGAGAAGCTGTATCACGCTTACCCAGGCTTCCCGGCGGACTTCCCGCACGACGTGAATGGGAAACCTGACGGGTGTGGCAGCAGCTTCGATGCCAAGGGAGACCCCCTTACTGTCTCCGACGGTATTCCCCAAATGACACCCATTTCACTTGCCATGCCTGAGACCAGCGACAGCGACAGCGGCGTTGTAGTCGAGCGTCATGGGTAGAGCGGCCACCCGATAGCCTTCGTTGCACTCGTTTCGGATGATAGGTGGTGCGATAGTCTTTGACAGATCCTTCCGACTATGGGACGGCGGCGGACTAGTAACCGATCAGTGCCGGGGACCTGAGATCGCCGCTTCTTCGTGACAGGGCTGAAAATAAATCGACGGCTGGGGTAAGAAAATTGTGGTGATATACCATCGGCATTCATCGAGTGCTTGCTCGACTTAGCGTTCATGAGTCAAATTAAATACTGAATGTAAAGTAGTTGGCACAAAATGATGCTGTACTCCCTAGAGGCAGAGACAATCAGCGGGGTTATGATTTCCTATGCAGTTGGATATTTTTTACGATTGCAGTAATACGCAAAGCAGAGCCAGGTTAGGTCGGATACGCATCGTATTCTATTCTCTTTGAATGTTTATCGGTTTCTGGTAGTGCTTCAATTATAAAAGCGTCGTCTAACGTGAGGAACAGCCATGAATGATTCCACGTGGTCTGCCACTACACTCGTCAACATGTTTGTAGCCAAAGTGACTCACTCCGGATCACTGGGAGACGGGGCGCGGGAGGGTTGGTAAACTCGCCACCCTCAGCAGCATCGGCATGCTCTGGACGAAGCAATGCGGTATCTCCATTACAAACAGCATCACAGAGAAACATACGCAGCAAAGCAAGCATGTAGACGGTAGAAGAAACATTCGTAGATTTCTCCTCGAGCGGTGGCGACTTGTCCAGCCCGCGTCTGTATCCGGAGGCGTGTGGACTCATCAAGTTCTTGTGACAAAAATAGGACAGTTGAAAGAATTTCCCCATTTCCGATTTGAATGCCAAAAAACCGAAATGATTTTACGTATTCTGCGGTACGCATTCGTGTCTCTTTGCCTCGTCGAGTCGAAAACCTGCCCAAAGCAACCCATGCCTCACGCAGAGGGGGGCATTTGGAAAAGGCCCGACGCCGAACGGGCGTGTTTCCCAAAAAGATTTCACCATTTTCGCCAACCACCCTTCAACATCGTCCCGTCGATTCCACCCTCATGCCGGTGGTCCCAGACGTTCCTCGAGTCGTATCGAATGCATAGGGAAGAGAGGAGAGAGGTCGCTTAAGAGCCGGGGTTGGGGTTCATCTAGAGCAGCGTTAGCATTTCCGCTTTCCGAAAAAACCTAGGAAGAGGTTGGATCCTCATGAGAAATCGTACCTTGCGCTTGCCGCCGGTGAGGGTGACGTTGACGAAGCGGCGGGTGTATGTGAGACGCTTCTTCGCGCGGCCCTTGGGGGTCTTCTTCTTCTCCTGGGGCTCAACCTTGGGGCTATTGAGGATGTCAGCGTCAGTCACTTCAATTTCCATCGATAAATAAGCCATCCTAGCGGGATTCGATCGGTCGTAAACGTTTTTCCATCATCTCTCCATCGTCTTCGCTTGACGATGAAGCCCAGAAGGGCGATGCAAAAGCTTCCTCCTCTTGCCGAACGAGCAGCGATTTCCCCTCATCCTTCGTGATGACCAAATAATCGCCTCCCCCCAAGAAAAGTAAAAATTCGGGCAAGACTTACGTCTGAGACTTGACCTTTCCGGCACGCGCCAACGATCCGTGAACCTTTCCCATGTTGTCGGTTTGAGGGGGTTATCCTGTGGTTGATTTTTCGGTAAGTTGGTTGTCGAAACTCGCGGGCGATGGGCGTCGATTCGTGCGGTGGGAATTGGGATGGGAGGGCGGATTGTGCTGCTGAATTCTGCCGTTGTGGGCGTGGACCCTGGTCACGTGAGAGGTTTAGGTGGGGCAAACCAGACTTTGGCGAGCAAGTGAGGGCGGGCTTTTTTTGTCTTTATTTTCTGTTTTGGAAACCTTTCGCCTCCGCCACTATTGCGGCCGGAATGAATGGCCCGGGGAATATTCGGACTTAGGAGTTAGGACCTTCCGCATTGAGCCTTTTGAGTGTCTTTGGTGGCGCGGCGAATGAATGAATCATCGGCGAGCTTAGGTATACCTGCATACTTTGCTCTCAGGCAGAACTACTGGTTCATAGTTTCTTAATAGTGAGGAAAATACAAGAAGTTATCAGTCTGCCAGTCGTCCGTTTGAATTATGCATCAATGCCATTCCGTCCAGGCGCGTGCCAGGGTATCTAATCATGTACTCATGCAGAATATACAACAAGCTCACGCATCCGCCTCCGTACTTTGATCTCCAAATGTAACCCACGGCTGCCAATCCTCCTCCTTGCCCGTCTTTGGATGTGCGCAGAACCCGTTGCAGGCCTTGCACTTATCCATCTTTTTTGATAGCATGTCTTCCAGCGATACTGGATGCAAGACCAGGTCCTTTGACTTGAGATTTTCGCTGATGAAGACGAATGGCCCCCTATACTCGCCCAACAAAATCTCCGGAAGGAAAACAAGCTCGTGGGCGGTGTTTTTACGAGCCACATCGCCCCAGATGTTCTTAACACGCTGTTCCAAGCGGAATTCCCATGTGCTCTCCCAGCTCGCCGTTGTGGACATTGTATCGACGCTGTAACGGAAGACAGCGGCACCAAACTGGTCCACCTTGTACAGCTCTAGCATCTCTAGCGCAGGCATGTGCTTTGCAGCGCTGCCCGTCAGATGGAGAACACTGTTAATGTTCTCCGAATCGACGCCGGATATCATCGTGTGCGATGTCAAGGTAAGCCTGCGTAAGTTTGTCCAGGTAGGCGGCGTGTATGGGACCGCTTTGCGTGCGAAGATGCCGCCGAAGAAATCAAAAGTGTCAGCCACGTTTGAGACGGCCATCTCTTCTGCTTGCAAGCTCAGCCAGCCTAGATTTTGCCCCAGGCTAGGGCATGCTGTTCTTGGGACGTCTTGAATGTCTTGGGGGTCGTTCACGGCATTGCTCTCTTCGCCGTTGGCCCCCGCTTCGTCCTCGTCAGACTCTGCATCCTCCCACTCACTACCTACACCGTCGTTAAAGGCGTCAAAATGCTCAAAAATGCTGATTCGTTTTATGTAAGATGGCCAGAAAGGCAGAGTTCGGGCATGATCTGTAAAGCTTAGCATAGGCTCTCACGGAATGAGACATCCTATAATCAAAAGATAAGACATACCTGAGTCGACCTCCAACTGCGCCTCCATGTCAACTTGGTGCCATGGCTCATAACGGACCTCCCGTAGTTGAGGCAAACTCGAGAATATGGTGAGTAGAGATCGAGACGAGAAGTTACGGTGATTTCGCCGTAGAACTTGACAACTGGAAACAACAGAGACCTCAGGCAGGCCATGGCGGCCAATCTGCTCACAGCCGGCGGTGATGAAGGAAAAGTCGAGATCGTGATCAAAAAAACGCGAGTTGCCGTCCTGATCCAACCCCGTCTCTCCAAAGTACTTGTTCTTGTCGCTGGGCGATGCGGCACTCAACTCCAACTCGATCCCTGAAGTACCCTGGGGCGTCCACTTGCTGAGGATGTCAAAGAGGTTCCAGAGAGCCTGGGTGAAGGCGATTTCATTGGCGTTTTGTTCGGCATCCGTTTCGGGTATCTTGGCCAACTTGTTGGCGTAGCGGGGCAATTCGATGCGCAGCGAAAGGCGGCGCAGCAGCGAGCGGCGGCGGGGGTCCTGGGTGAGCTCGTCGAAGCGCGAAAGATCCTTGGCGGAGTTGATATCGAGCGAGCTGAAGTTTATTTTTTCGATGAAGCCCTGCCACTGTCGACACACGACGGCGTAGCTGCCCATATCATGGCGGCTGCCCTTGGCCCGCCAGACCTTTGACCGTCGCTCGACCACAGCGCTGAGGGCAAGGTGTTCGAGGATGAGACCCCTGAGCTCAACGGGGAGACCGTTCCATGTTGCCATTTCGGTCTTCGTTTCGGACATTGCAGTCTGATATAAAGCGGCTTGTGTCGAGTCCTGCTCTTGTGAGAGCGTGCGCGCGTAGATGAGTTTGTTGACCCTTTGCTGAAAGGCAACCCAAGGACTGTGACGAGAAGTGAATTTTCGGTGGGGAGCCCGGAGTGAGACAACCAAACGGGTGCAGCCGAGCCGTCCCTACTTTTTCTAATTATTCCCAACACCTAGTTTCCTCCCAGGGAAAATGAGTGTTGAGAGTATGACTAGCTGGTATGTGGTCTTCTGGAATATCTGGTTTCTTTGGGCGTAAAGGCGCGCCTTCTAGGTGGTTTCTCTCATAAGGCGTCGTCAATCAAAGGGCGGCTTGAGTCTTCCCAGCGTCGCATTCTTTGTGTAAACGCCTTTGTGTTGGTGAGATGCGCCTTTGGCCCCACTGTAAAATGGAAAAAAAAAAATAGAATAAAAAAAGGACAAGACTGTCCATCCAATCGATAACGAGGAACAGCAAAACCCTTCTTGTAGCAGTACTTCCGGTCTGGGGGATCTCCCAGCATGGGAGTCCCTTTTTGCATCTAATCAGGTTCTCGGGTACCGATCGACTCCACCCCTGAAAAATGCAGCACACAGTTCATCAGTTGCCCCAAAAGCAGGAAACCTACTGTAAAGAGGCACTGTGTCTTCCTATGGGGGGGGAGTGTGAGGAAGCAACATGCAGCAGGCCAGGCTGGTTCATCCAGTCATTCTTCAGTCCGTCACCCTTCCATCGAACCATTTCTTCAAAGGCCCAGCGGAAATGAGCATGCAACTGCTTCCCTGCAAGGCACACCACACGCCTACCCTTCCTGTCTAACCAAGCCATGGCGTTGGAAGGGACCCGGAAAGAAAGAGAAATCAATACCTGCAAAAATCCTCGCATATGGCGCCTGGATGCCCTGCCCTTGCCCGCATGAGCTCCTCCAGTGGAGCAAAACAACGGCGCTAGGCGCCCTTTAGGCTTATCAGATCTAAACACCCCCAGCCCGCTTCCAAGCGTCTCAACCCAGGCATCACATGCCCTCCTCTCACTGCGGAGTTTGTTAAACCATCCTGAAGTAATCACTGCCCGAACCCCCATCCCATCCGTTACTGAACCCGACTCGCTGCGCTGCACTACCCGTCCTGCTCTTCCCATATTCTTCCAAGAGTCCTTGTTTGCGAGATCCTCTTTTCGTATTCCCAGCGGATCCCAGGAAAAAAAACGAGGAGCCCCCCTCGTTGTCTCGCAAAGCCGCCGCCGCTGCGACCGAGAAAGTCGTCCCCAAAGTAGCCATCATCCCCGCCTTATTTGTACTCAATAGTCTATTTATCACGCAGTCTCAAATATCTTGGCTCTCCTAGCCTTTCCGAAGTCGCCATCTATCCTCGTACGATCGATCCCGACCGACCGACCGACCGACCGGTTTCTTCAAGTGAGGACCGCTTGCTACAAAACCTCCCACACAACCCCCTCCCCCCCCCCTCCGACGCTTTCACCCTCGTCCTCCTCCTCCCCCTACCCCCTAACAGCAAACTTCTCTCTGGTCCTTCACAACCTTCGTCACCGTCAAAATGAAGACCGCTTCCCTTTTCTCAGCCCTCGCGGCCGCCAGCGGCGTCGCCGCTCTCCTCGAGCCAGGCATGCCCAAGCACCTCGTCCAAAACCCAGACGATGCTGCCGACGCCGTTGCTAGGATTCCAACCTCGTACGAGTCTGCCGTAATGGGTCGCCGCATCCTTGCCCTCACGAAGCTCGCCGAGCTCGCTACCGTTTTCCCGGCCGGCGCCCACTCCGCCTCCGGTGGGGACCTCTCCGGCATGCCCATCGGCCTGATGGACTACGTCGCCGACTGCGAGGATAAGGGCAACCCCACCATCCTGGCCATCACCATCGCGACCTCGTTTAAGAACGTCGCCGCCGGCTCCAACATTTCCCTCTCCATGCACTGGGTACCCCCCTTCCCGCCCGTGAAGCGCATCTCTCTGCTCTCGTCCCTCAAGAACAGAATCTTCGGCAGCAGCACCGAGGAACAAAACGTCATGGCCTCGCCTGACACCGTCCCCTACTCCGCCGCCAACCTCCCCCGCTTCTCCCTCATGGGCTACCTCGAGAAGATCCCCGCTGACCCTGTCAACTCTCTTCGCCTTGCCAACTGCTTCGTCAAGAAGCACCCTGACTCCAAGTACTGGCTTCCCGGTAGCCCCGTCCACGAGTCTGAGTGGGTCCGCTTCGTCGTCACCTCCGTCTACTGGATCGGCGGCTTCGGCGACCGCGCATACATCGGTTGGATCCCCCTCGACGAGTGGCAGAAGGTCACCCGCGAGGAGTACGAGGCCATCAAGCTTCCCGGCGAGGAGCGCGGATGGAAGGAGTGGAGCGTCAACAGCTGGTTCGACAGCAATGATCTTTGAAGTTGATGCCGTCCAACTGGCTGGGAGGGGGCGTAGGTTGGGTTGATGATGTAAAGGGCGTGAGAGATAAGAGGAGGGAACGTCTGATTTTGGGATGATACCAATATGAAAGCCCAGATTACATGAGGCTCTTGAAGGGACACCCCCCCACCCGAGAGTGCCAAATGCAGTACTTACTTATGATGGTCATTCTCGCGCGAAGTTATTGGTGCGGTTGTTTAGAAGTGTATATTCTTTGGGTGTATATGGTTTTTTTTTTTTTTTTATCACATGTAACTCTCTGGCATTCCGCGCCACTCGATGCACCCTCGTTAATATGCAAGACGGGTTTTTTTGTTTTTTTTTTTAACCTTCCATAACGGCCAAGCCACGAATAACCGCTCTTTCATGCCTACTACGTTCCATGTGATGTCTCAGTCCAAGACCCGTCAACAGTTACACAAGCAACGGTGTGAGGAGGGAGTATCTTCATTATAACATATATGTGTATATATATATATCAACGGGGGTATCTCGCACTGCCGCTTTTACTTAACTATGCACGCGCCTTGCTCTGTCTTCTCTTCCTCGGTTCATTTCGTAAAAGCAACGCTGTGAATGCCTCTCGTATGTGCGTGCGTGTGCGTACGTGTACCCCTAGTAGTATCCTTCCAGAAACTAATTACGCCCAACACATCTACATCGTCCACGATTCCTAAATGTATAAATGTACAGAATAATTAAACTCATAATCTAGTCAACACGAATGATGACCTTCCACGCCAGTGCCCCGGCCTCTCTGATAGCGCAGGCAAGGCAGCCCCGCCGGCGTCGCGAGATGATGGCATTCCAGCCCTTCTCAGCGCAAAATGCCCGGACGAGAATCTCCATATCGCTACCGAACTGACGACGTCGCGACTCCAGATGCATCTTAGCAGCCGCGAGACTAGCGCCATTAGCGGTGCGCTCCAGAATAGGTGACGTAGGGGTCTCCTGCGTTGGCGGCTGTCGCGTGAAGTTCGTGATGCAGTCGATGACTAGTACCCGAGGTGTTGTGTTAGTCGTAGGGGTGAGGGATGGGCGTCGGATGGATGTCGTATTGAGCAGAAGATCCTCCAGCGAGACGTTTGGTTTCTCAAGAAGCTCCGAAAGGTGAATGACGGTATATGTAAAGAACTTGTGCAGGGGGTGTCCTGAAAACGATCAGTATACGCGGCTGTGCTGGGTGAGATAGGGTGATTTACCTGTGATAGTGGTAGGACTGGAGCTCTTGCCACCGATGCTGGTACCATCCACATCAATCTGCTGAATTGTGGGGCTCGACGGCGACCTCATCACCTTGACACGAGATGAGGGAGCACAGGGATGTGCTGTGACGAATTGGATGTCATTAGACAAGGCGTAGTTGTACTCTTTGGCTTCGCCGCCAAGGGGTCCAACGGAAAACGAAACAGAGGCCGGATACGTGTGAAGCTCTGGGGCTCTAGTTACATCAGAGAGCGGAGTCAACACTTCCTCGGTTGGAGTAGACTGAACCGAGTCTACAGGAGCAAACAGGTTAAGGGATATCAGCCCAATGCTCAAGCTCGGGGGCGGCTCGGAATAGTTGTTTTCGTAAGGAATGATGAAGTCGGCAGGGAGCACTGATTTAGGGTCTGCGTCCCCTAGGACGCAGGACTCACGCTCGACGTGAGTCTTTCCCCAAAGTCTGGCTTGTCGGCCAGTCTTCTTCATATCGGCTGCCAAGGCTGTAAGCATGATTGTTTAAAAAAGAAATCAGCAGTAGGGCTTTAAACTCACCGGAAACTTCGGCAACATCGATGTTAACCCATCCGTCGGCATGGCCGTGGGGAGTAATATCGCTTGAAATCCAGCCCATGCATTGGGCAGATCCATTACCAGCTGCCAGAACCCGACCAACGATGCAAGCGGTGCTCCAGAAACTCTTTCCTCTGTATACGAAACCGCCACACAGGTTGGCCATTGGGCCCAGTTTCGCCATGGCCTCTTTGTCGTTCTCCAACAAAGTTGACATGATCAAATGATAGAGTCCTTCACCTGGGAGCATCAGACCTGATACGTAGGACTTTGAAAGCCAGCCGGAAGGATGAAGAGCCGCTGAAATCTTGCGTTTTCCTGACGGGTGCCGTGTGACGCTTGCCTCAGCCCGGCCGCCCCCAAAGTAAGATGATCTCCGCGTGTCAATGCTCAGCGGAGTTTCGGCGGGTGTGTGAATAGGGGTCGCCTCAGAGACTTTGTTGACGGTCTCTGAGATGTGTTCAGCATAGGTATCCGACTCGATGTCGGGCCACCGAAGCTTTCTCGCAAAGTGTGTCAGACCGCTGACTTGCCGCTCGATGTATCGTCCTTGAATGGTGTATATAGAAACGCTGTCTCCTGTGGTGGCATGGTTGTGATGATGCAAACTCATCTTGCCGGTCAATGAAGCCAACCAGCCGCCAGAGTTGCGCTTCTGTCCAACGCTCGTAGGATCAACCTTGGCCTCTACAATCTCGATGTTCTCAAGCCAAGCCCGTGCAAGGTGCAGTGACCACTTAACTGACTGGTTGGCATCCTTCTCAAAACGATGGATTTCGGCGGGCCTGATACTTTCGATACCCAATTCTTCGCCCTCAATTATGGCGTCTAGTCTTATTAGAAGTTCACAAGCGAGGAGGATTTGCAGCAGCAACCAATATCTCTCCTCTTTACGCTCCTCATTGGTTTCGGCGTCATCAATCTCAACTTCAGTCTCGAGCTCGTCACCCTCGAACGAGCCCCACAATATTTGCCCGAGACGGATCCTCCATTCAACATGAGAAAAATCGATCCAGACGTTCGGCGCAGCGAGCACCTTGACAAGCGCTTGGATTTGAACTGAAAGGCTGTAGGGGTCGTGGTGGTCGATGACGCGAGTTGGCGGGTAGAGGATGCCGAGGAACAGTTCGTTGTATAGGGTGTGGGAAATCTTCCTGTGAACTCTGTTCTCTTTGTATCTCGCCCCATTCTTAATGAGCTGGTCCAGGATAGCCGACTCCTCCAGGCGGCGAAGACCGTCCTTGGAGGCCAGCAACTTTTGCCGCTGCTCGATAATGGCATTGGCCTTGGTCCCGAGACTGTCGAAACCAAACTGCTCTTCCTGTAGGGCGTCACCAACAGGCATCTCGAGCGCCGCCTGATATCCCATTGTGCCCTTCTCCAGACCTTGCATGCTCAGCATATTAGGCCGCTCTCGACATCGCGGGTGGAAGTGGGCGCGCTTCCTCTCTCTAGCACACCTGATGGCAGCCGGATTGCTGTTCATGTCTCTCGTGATATGAGGCCATGCTGTGATGCAGCTCCAGGCGGCGTCTTCAATTTGTACATGGTCTGTCAAGTCGCGGATTTCGAGGGATTCGTCCCAAGGAAAGGCGACGGAGGGGTGTGGGGCGCCGGTGTAATGGCCCTCGGAGCGAGCAAAGTATTGAGGAGCTCCGGAGAAGAGCTTCTCGATATCATCGTCGCTGAGGGTTGCCATGATTTTGGTCAGTTTCAAGACAGGTTTGGCCGGAGGGCCATTGGCTTCCTCGATGTCGACAGGAGGCGGGGAAGGGAGTGGCTTGTTGGGGTTAAGAGGGGGCGGCGATCGAGAAGAACGGGACTCGGCACTGCTTTGCGGAGGGGAAACCTGGGGTTTGCTGGTGAGACACAATGGCTTATTTTTACAACGGCTGAACGAGGATGATCCAATTGGAGAAAATCGAGTCAGAATGGAGGCTGGGAATACTGTCTACGTCCACTTGGGAAGGCGGACGGAGATGTTTCTTTGTTCCGAATAGCTTGAACACGCTTGTCCCAGCCAACGTTGGTGTTGTAGACAGACGTAGCTTCTCACAATGCAAAAGAAGAAGAGAAGAAAATGAAAAAGACAAGCTATGTTTTACAAAAGCAAAATGGTTGCAAGGCTGGGCAATTGGAAACCCCGAAGCTGATCACGCGGCAAAGGAGAATATGCAAGGGAGCCACGGGTAGAGATCGTCAGAGCACCTCGGACGAGGAAGAGAAGGACAAAGGGGGAAAAAAAAAAGGAGTAGGAGACGAGCAAAGTGTCTCTGAAGACGTCACGGCAGGTACGATTATCCGTCGAGTGGACTTCCAAGGACGGTATTTGATGCAAGAGGTGGGCGAAGAAAAGACAGACAGGGTGACGAAAGTGGCCTGATGCAGCTCCCATTTAATGGATTGGATGAGATGATGGCGGGGAAGTGACATGGTGGAGGGGGGAATTGGCAATGACGACTCGGGGTCTGCAGCAGCAGTAGCAGCAGCTGCACCACCACCACCAGCCAGCCCCAAGGAGGTCCAGGGCCCATCCGCGTCCAGCCCGGTGGAGGAGGAGGAGCGAGCGAGCATCAGCTGGGTCATCTGGGCTGGGCGGGACCGACCAGGTGCCAGGACCCGTCACCAAAGGCCCCAGGGCTCCCAGGGTGGGAAGAGGTATCCACGTCGCACATCGGTGCTTGGGAGGAGCCCACGCCGTCCAACGGTAACCGTGGGCTTAGCGCACGGAATATCCAGTCTAAGGCAGAACCCACTGACGCCGACCGGACCGGACCTGGTCTAGTTCTGGCCTTGAGAGGAGGGGAGGGGAGGAGAGGGGATGCGGGCGGGGTGAGCTGAGGTGTGGGTGGTAACCAAACATGCGTATATCTGCTGCAGCATACAAACATACAAACATACAATATCCTGCACAGCTCTGCGAGCAAGTACTATGTAATGTGTATGTGTGCATGCACGCATGCGTTGCGCGCATCTTCCCAGCACACTTGTTGCTATTCTGAGGGATTCCTCATTTCCAGCATTGACCGGGGCTACCGAAGCGTCGGGGAACGAGAGACATTTGTGCTTCCAGCACAATATATGCTATTCAGGGACCTTGCCTGGTGGGGGGAGGAGACCAACAGAACCACAAAAAGGTGGGAAATAGAACGACAGGCTCGTGAACGGTGGGAATACGGAGAGCAGACAATAAATAGTCTGAATGGAACGACAGGGACAGGAACAAGCCTCGAGTAAGAGAACAAGCGGAATGGGCACTTACAGGAAGCTTGGTGGGTGACTCCGCACCGGTCCCGCGTCCAGAGGTGGCCGGCGACGACGTCGTGGTGCGGCCTCTGCTACGACCCAGTAGCCCGCCAAAGAAATCCCGTTTGGACGACTTGCGCTCCCGTTCGCCCGTTCCTGATCCTGATCCCGATCCTGCGAGTGTTTCGGTGCCGGTGCCCGCACTCAGCTGCAACCCGCTTCCATCTTCCTTTCGTGGACTTGTTTGTGGCCGTTGGACCGCTAACGGTTGTTGGTCGTGTTGTTTGGACCCCCGTCTAAGGAGGGATAGCGATGGCATCTTTGTCGTCTCTGATAAGATGGGATGAAAGATGGTCGTCGTGTTCGTGTCATTCGCCTCGACCCTTTTGGGTTTCTAGATTCAGCTCACTTTTTCCTCCCCTTGATGCCGTCTTTCTGGTCCGATCCTCCTGCAATACTGTCGAGTCCTGTTCCCTGGACGTAACTTTTCGATAGCTTCTCTACCTGCCTTGTTGTCGGTGGCTGGTCTCCGTGGCGTATGAGGGGCTGACGTATTGTCTCCAATGAACAAGGCAGGACGACTCCAACTTTTCTGCAAGGTGACCTTGGAGTTACAACTGAGGGGACAAACGCGGGACGGCCTCGAACCAAGTATGGCTGCAGAAAAGGCGCAGACTGAGTGACGATGATAGTGGGGGGAGGGACGGAAAACGGAGAGAAAATCGAGATGGAGGGGGGCAGTAAAGTAAGAGTGTGCCAGCAAAAAGAGAAAGACGAGAGAAAAAGTGAGAAGGAGAGCAAGGCGGCGGGATGTTAAAACAAGAAATTCGAATCAACTCAGAGCGAGAGAGAGACAGGCACACACACACACTCACTCATGGCCGATAGCTGCCAAGGCAGGGGACATGCTCCTGGTATCGTCCACTCTTCCTTACCTGTCACTCTTTGGGCAGCATCTGCTGGTGTCTGGCTGGACTGGGCCTGGGCCTTTTTTCCCCTGTGAAGGGCCTCCTCTGACTGGATGGCGACAAACAGGACAGCATAAGACAGGCACAGGATAGGACAGCCGACACAGAGAGATGTCCACTTCGTTGGTGCACCCCTCGTCCTAGCCGCAGGTGCACGCGCAGGCTCATGGGTATGGGGGATGGGCTGGCTTTGGTGTCACGCAGGCTACATAGCACAAGAGTCCTTGAATTATTATTTACGTACTTGAATATAGCATCCCGGAGCTGGGGAGGTGCATCACAGCGGGACGACGAAGAGGGTTTGGGGAAGGATGGCGACGGGGAGACTGGAGCGACTAGGATCAGGAGGGGGACGAAGCCCGGCAGTCTCAGATCCAAGATTGTACGATTAAACAGAAAGGCTCATCTTGCAAGGTGTTCCAAGGATGATAGAAAGGACCGGGCAGAGTGCGAGTGGACTGGGGGAGGGAAAAGAGAGAGGGAAAAAAAAAACTAAAAAAAACAAATATAGAGTACAAATCAAGAGCATCAGAAGCTGTTCGTCATCTCCCCCCAGATGAATCGGGACTGTAGGCGTTACAGGCATGGCATGGACTTCCTCTTCTCTCTCTCTCTCTCTCTCCATTACGAGCGCGCCACCAGTCAGTCATTTGCCTCTTATTTCCTCCACTGATTTCATAGCTGTAGGAGGAATTAAAAAAAAAAAAAAAAACAAGAGCCCAGTTCCATGTTCCCTGTCCCGCCTTGCGTCGCGCTGCCTTACCGTGGGAATCCGAGCTAGCATGAAAGCGACACAAAAAGCGACAGTATCTTGTCATGGGCTGTCACTCTGATTGGCAGGGATGCCCATCGCTCATTTCTCATTTCGCGGTACGAATATGGTAGCAGTAGTACGTACAGCAAGAAGCATCGTTGGACACCTTTACCTTTGCCTTTTTATTGATGTCAGACTACATACATTGTGCTGCGTCCTGCTGCGCCGCCTTGCATCCAAACATATCCCGGCAAGGGTTAGTTCCAACACAACAGCAACGACAACAGCAACAGAAGCAGAGACAGGTACAGAGAGACGGAGAGACGTCAACACAATGACAGTTAGACAGCAAGACAAGACAGAACGGGTACACTGACACATAGCACGGAGGCCGCGAGTAGGTAGGGGATCCATGATCACGACCGCAACCACACACCATTTTCGGACCCCCTGCTGCTTTGCCTCTGTGGACTTTTATTTTCTTTTTTTCTTTCCTTTTCTTCTGGAGATGGGGCAGAAAAAAAGAAGGATGAAGAAGGATTTGTGGAAGTAATGGAGCACAGCTGGATCCGATATCCGCGAAAACTGCACAGGCAGCATCCTGCAAGACGCCGGAACGAGAACGATGAGCAAAAGCGCATGTGAATTATAACGACTAGGGCTGTTTGGGAGATCTCTGATTAGGTGGTTTCGGGATCCGCAGCACCATGTTCTCTCCACCTGCGCAGGAGATGGGTGCGGTGAGCCGCTCCGGTTTCTATCTGTTGCCCCCAGTGGATGGTGAGCTGAACGGAGATTCCGCATGACTGAGTGTGGGCTTTTTTTTATGTGCGTGCCATTTGCTCCTCTTGGTCTCCAAGTCCTTGGTTCAAGACTCACCGGAATAGTTGGATCTGAGTTGACCCTCAATTGGTAATATGGCTGTGCAAAAGAAGTACAAAAGAAAGCAGGTCACTGTATCATGCAGCGTACTAAAAGCTCGGCAAAGCTTGGAACCCAGCCAGCCCTGGAAACGCTCACGGCGCGGAATCATTAAGACTGGGACTGAAGGGGGGGAATCGGCATGGCTGTGTACCATCCATACGCATACGATCTTGCAGAATGAAGAAGAAAAGCGCCACCATCGTCAAGAGCCCATCGGGCCGTCGCATCTTTTTCTGCCAATCCTCGGTTACACCGACATAATAAGGATGTGGCTTGACGTTTCTCCTCCTTCCTCCTTCCTCCGTGTGCTTCAGATCTTTTTTCAAACAGAAAGGCCCACCTCAACAGCCGATGATCTATTGTTTTTTTCCTGTCCTTCTGGAAGGCCGTTCAACGTTCGATATGGGGTAAAGTTTCTCGACCAGGTTCGATGTCCGTGGAGGCCCAGCCATGGCGATCCCGCATGCTGTATCTGGAACTATTTCAAGACTTTTGAAACGTCAACCACGGGTGCTTTCGTCGCGCGCAGTCACGGGAGACTTTCTTTCTGCTTAGATTCCTTCTCAGCCACCAATGGACCCCTAGCTTCAGAAGCTCCAAGGGGGGGATGGGTATCCGCAAGAGAAGAAGCATTGGGCAGCTGTGGGCCCTGATCTGCCCCGACATGAGACGACGTGCCATGGGTAAGGAGCATCATTCCGCGAGGGCGTTCAGTATCATATCCATTGTTCTCGAACATCGCCGTCTCATGACATTGGGGAAGGGGAATGGAGACGGAGGCAGAAAAAAAAAAGGGGGGGAGGGGGGTTGAAAGGTGCTTAGCTTGGCCCATATTCCAACACCTCTCATAGACAACGCAGAGAAGAAGCTCGAGCCCATCAATTTTTGATGACAGCAGGTGCAACTAGGCTTCCCTGGCAACTAACGCAAACACAGTCTAACAAAGTTCAATAAACGAACCCATCAGCCCATTTCAAAACGGAAGGTTACACTGCAAGAGACTCTGTAAAACCAAGAATAGATAGACACACGTCGGAGCAAGACAAAGCTACTACGTATAGACAAGGAGGTTAAAAAAGTCTAAAGGGTTTCAATCTCTCTTTTTTTTTTTTTTAATACCTTTTCCCTACGAGCAACTTTACACGAGTGCTATTGTGACGGCAAGCTAGCCAAGTCCCGGCAGCACCTCGCCGTAACTTGCTGAAATAGAACCTGGACTTTTTTTTTTTTTTTTTTTTTTTTTTTTTTTGCAGAATCTCAAACGTCGCCCTATTGTGGGCATGTCCACTTTCCCACCCGTTTTGTGTGCTCGAAGATTTGAGGCGAGGTTACAAAGATTTGTCTGCCGACTGGCCAGAACCAGGGACAAAGTGGCTCACAAAGGCTGAAGGGAGGCGCCCTTAATTTAATCTCAGGCTTGTTACGGCACACTTCCGCCCCCCCAGTCCGCCCAAGCGAATGGGGGTGTTTGTGGTCGTGGCCTGTCGGCAAACCACTTGTCTACCTACTTTAGCAGCCAAACCCACTTCCCGTTGGCATGTTGTCGCGCCACGTTGCTTGGGTTTGGAATATGACGTCCAATCGAACATATCAAACAGCTATGGTCGTGCTGTCCGAGGGTCACACCAAGAAGGGGAGCAAAACAGGGTTGACAGATGGTTCACCTCGAAGCAAGGAACAGACAGCCCAGGGTGTCTCGGAGCTGAGCCGGTGGCATTGATTCACGAGCCGCCATGAGATGAACATTGACTTTTGACCTTTCCCTTTTCAACGATTATATATCCTCGCTGCCCAACGACACAGTACTGAGGTAGCTAAGCTAGCGGTCCGGACGTTGTCACGACGAAGCAGCAGCCGCACCGGTTTAATTCCGGCTCTAATGCTACGGTAGTGGATGGGAAATTTCAGGGTATCATTCGTGCCTCGTGCCTCGCGCCTTGCGCAGCCCTCGACAATTTACGTCGATTCGACTGCCCGTAATCTTATGTGGCGTGCATACTCCGAGCTTATGGCCTAATCTCCAACCTTCTGCCGACTAACTATCTGGGAGATGCCCTCATTTTACGTTCGGCCAATGGGTTCGCCGGTTCCAGCCCTCCGCCTGCTGATACGCATGTATGCATGAACGACACTTTGCTCGATGAGGAGGACAAGTGCATGAGACTTGTGAAACAAAAGTCGACTTTATTCGTAATGACTTGGTATCTCTCTTCAAGCAGGCGGTGTGTCGTGGACCACGATAAGGAGGTATTTTGGATCCGGTACAATGACCAGTTCTTGCTTCTTCGTTCGTAGCCTCAGCAGCTTGAGTTCGTCCTGCCCATACGTGTCAGCTAGTCAGGTTCTATCCAGGGTCAAGAGTTTCCCAGCATCGTGTTTTGTACGAGTGTACGCAGCATATTTACCTCTGTATCCAGGTCCAGCACCAGCGTGCCTGACGCATTAACCCAGTTCCACACCTTAGCCGCAAAGTCCTCAAGACCCTGCGGTTGTTCGCTGCCACCTTCGCCGTTCTGCTGTTGCTGTTGTGCGGCAGCCCCTTCGCCTGAGAAGGAGCCCGAGCTCGGTAGCGCCGAGGCATTGAAGGACAGCTGTCCGGTGGTGCGGAGTATCGCGCCTGTGACTCGGTCGAGGATGACAACGGCTTTTACGCCGGGCTTCTTGGAGAGTCGATTGAGGGTCTCATCAAGCGCATCGGGTCCGTTGGTCTTTATTGTTGCGCGCGCGCGAAGGCGCTTCTTGTCAGCTATGACGACATCGCCAGAGGGGTCTCGAGAGGTCGCTCACGGATACGGGGTCGGCCATGTTGCTTGCTGTTTACAAAAAGAGTAGTTACTGGGTTGATCTGCGTGTTTCGTCGACGATAGAACTCCAGAGCGTAAGATAGAGGCCAAAAAGGAGTGTGTGGTATTATTCGTCTCGTGGAGACAGGTTCCGTAAAGCTCAGGTGTTTGGTCCGTAAGGCTGGCTGATCAGCTTAAGCTCAGATGGTGGTGCTATTGTACTAGTACTAGGATTCACTGGGTAACAGCGTATCAACCGTTTAGTGGGGCCAAAGCGTACAATTCTGCCGTGTCTGACCGCTAAAATTTTCTGGTTCCTGGTTCCAGCAGGGGTGTCTGACTTGAGTTGTGACCATCTATCTCATGTGAATATCTCACTGAAAAGTTGAGAATTCTTTTTAAAAAAGAAAAGACAAATTCACGATTAGAACACAGTCCAGTTGTGGAGTTGTATTGAAAGCGATCGTGTGTTTATATACATCAACCAGAGCCAGCCGTCACTATGGGTTCAAGTACGAGGAAAAAGAATCAAAAGGCCAAGGACTTTGCGGTATGAGAGAACTCCAGTGAGGCGTGGATGAACCACCTCAAAGCAACTCTCTCACATGTCCCTGAAATACTGACTGTCTCACACAGAAACCAAAGTTCAAGGTTGGAAAGGCCAAGGTCAAGCCATCCAACTTCACAGACACGAGCTTCCAGACAAAGTCCATTGTGATGGGCAAGCAATCCCTCTCAACAGAAGCCCCTGACGTCGGAATCCAATTCAAGCACCAACTTTCCCTTGCTTCGACCTCGAGGTCGGACAAGCAGCGTAAAGAGGCCCTTGCACATCTGACAAGCCAAGTAGACTCCGACAACAATCCAGTTGGAACCGCAACCATTCTGAACAAGCTGCTGCCCCTCATCTCCGATTCCTCGGGCCCTGTCCGCAGCCAGCTTCTCAAGCTCTTCCGTGCCCTGCCTGAATCCGAGGTCAGTCACCACGCCGAGAAGTGCATAATGTACATCCGCGCTGGAATGACGCATCTATCCGCCGATATTAGCAACGATTCTTTGTCTGTGCTTGAGTGGCTTCTCGATGTGGCCGAGGACGAGACTGTAAGCTGCCCCGGAGGTTGGGTCAAAACGCTCAACAGCTTTTGCGCGCTGATGGGATGGTCTGTGAAGTCGAGCACAGGGTGGACAAGCGCACCCAAAACAGGGTTGAGATCCAAAGACTCACAGTCGCACGCGAGGCAGATTGGTGTGTTGACTAGGTTCCTGAAGGCGGGACTTAAACCTGAGGTTGCTATCCCAAGCAATCCAAACGCTTATTACGACAACATGTGCCGTGTGCCAAGGGCGCCGAATCCGTTTGCGTATCTCAACCTTTTCGGCACACGCCGCGATGAGGATGCTGAGATGTATAACGACCGCGAGTCTCGGCAGCGTGTCTTCCACAAAAGGTTTTTGGAATCATTCAACCGCGGCGTGGACCAGGCCAAAAAGGAGGGCGGCGCTACTGGGCGATCTGCGGTTGCGTTAGATCAAGCTCTGAAAGAGGATATAGGTGGATATGAGCCAACTTCGGCCGTCGACCCCCAGGATCTTCTCGACTTGTGGTGAAGGATGTGCTTTAGCCTTTCCTAGACGCATCACAGACTTCAACTACTTTCCGTGAGTTTACGAAAAGCCACGAGGGCACAGATAGACGGCGACTGTCATCAACAACCAAGTGATTATAGTCGTACTGGCGTCACGGCTATTTTCTGTTTTCGTAGTCGGCCCAACCGGAGCGACTGGGCTGCAGAAGGGCTAGTCCGGACGGAAGTCGCTGCACCAAATTCCCCGTAAAACGACTGACGGCCATGAGGAAGGGATCAATTATGTTGAAAACAGAAGCGCATCAGTATTGAAAGGGTCGTAAGAGGACTATTAGGGTCGATGTCGACCAAGAATAGACACGCAGAAATGGGGCTTAGCGTCGGCGTACACAAGATATCCAAGAGGGGTCCGTAATAGCAAGCAATCTGTAAATAATATATGTAGATTGATACATCAATGATACCCCCTCTCACCTTGGTGAGACTCCTATTTCTGCAAAGGCTTTCATTTGGAAATGCCGTTGAGCGTGGTGCGATGCCCTGTTCAATTTTTCAGGGGCTGGCTGCTAAACAAAGCCGGTTCGCTCTATTCCATGTTCAAACAAAAACTCGGCCAGATATGGACAGGCGACGACGTCTTAGCACCATCATCATGAAGCTTTTTGCTATAAGGGCGCTTCCTAGGACACCGCCTCGAAGACCTTGCTCAGATTACTCTGACGCCGGCAAATTACGGCCTCTAGAAAGATCCAGATAATTTTGTATATAAAATACAACTTTCATCGATAGCTCACATGACCTGGCTTGTGATAAAATTCTTTCATGGCAGTCACCTCCCTATTGCCCCCGATATTTCGACCCATTACAGGCAGGAAGCCGTCGTTCTTTCCTGCTTCTATCAAGGGGAAAAAAATACCTTAGGCATGGCTCTCCTGCCTCCCGGTCTTTCATCTTGATTTGAAGGATCAAGTGACTGTCACGTCTACTTCAGTTCTGTCAGATTCTACCACATCCACTTCTCGTCTTTTCTGCTCTCGTAGTAGCCTACTTTCATCTTGTCCATTGTGCAGCCTTTCCAAAAAGATCTCCAGGCGATAAGATTTCTTCCATGCGCTATCGGGCCTGCTGGGAGAGGTAAACTTCACTTCCATCTTTTGTCTTTTCTTATTTCTCCTTTGGCATCCCTCTTTATCCCTCTCAGATTCATATTCTTCAGAGATTGTCTGTGGGATTTCCCGTTGTTCAGTGGGAAGTGCTTCGCAAACCAGTCTTCCACTTCTCAGATAAGAGGTATCAGTTCGACGCGTCACTTGACCGATATCACCTCCTTCCAGTCTCCTTCCTTCCACTTTCAAGGGCCTTCCTTCTCAAGTTTGGGAAGAAACGCCAGCGTACGCGTCTTCTCCCCATTCTACCCTCTTCTCTCCCAGAGACCGTTGGTTGAAATTTCCCTCGTCTTTGTGTGTTGTCACCACTTTCCACAACAAAACAGAAGCCATCAAGATCATACCCAGGGATCTTCTGCTTCGATCGAAAATTCCGTCTATTCCTATCTTTCGGAGCCAGGCTGAATTTTCGCATCACGGGGTGTGGTGGCTTTCCTTCCATTTCATATAATTGTCTCTACCCTTCGCACGTTGCCTGGCTCTTAGCTTCTTTCACTAACTTGAGACTTTCTAGTCAGATAACCTCAAGCTGTCAGTCTTTCTTGCGCCTGTCAAAAATCATCAGTCAATCATATATCAGCTGGTAAGACTGCACGAATAGTGGATAAATCTCTTAACGCTTCTAACGTTGAAATTTAATAGACCGCCTCACAAAATGTCCTTTCCGGATATCACTGAGATCCAGTCAGCCCTGCCTTCCGCCAACGCTGGCCAGAATCTTCCAGTCGTTGCTATTGATGGCGAGGGTAAGGAGTGGACAAAGCCTCTGAATTACAACTATGACGAGCTCGCTCAGCAAGGTCCAATTGAGAGCAGCAACTGGGAGGGCAACAACGTCATTTACGAGTGGAATGATGAATATGGCGATGTTGGTCCGAAGCATCCAGAGCTAGAGATCATGCTTTTCGGTGACCCTGAATCTCGTCGTGATCACAGTGGACTTGATTTCACTTCGTATGTCCAAACTCGTCCCATGACCACAAGATTTTGCTTACATTTCTAGTATCGCTGAGATTGAGGTCTCCCAAGTGGGTGAAATTCGCGTTAAACCCATCCAGGCATACAAGGATGGCGGTCTTCACCCTGTGATGCTGGAGAACATTGAGCTTTCTGGTTATGATGCTCCTACCCCTATCCAGAAGTACACTATCCCAGCTATTCACATGGGATTGGATGTTGTCGCCGTTGCCCAAACCGGTAGGTGCTCCCCAATTGGAAGCCGCTTATAGATGCTCACTCTGTTCTCAGGCTCTGGCAAGACTGCTGCCTATCTGATTCCCATTTTGAATAAGCTAATGGGCAAGGCGAAGAAATTGGCAGCTCCACGTCCTAACCCTGCCGTGGTCCAGCTTGGCGAAGCTCCTGTCAGAGCTGAGCCCTTGGTTGTCGTGGTCTGCCCTACCCGTGAGCTCGCGATTCAGATCTTCAACGAGGCTCGCAAGTTCTGCTACCGTACTATGCTTCGCCCTTGCGTCGCCTATGGCGGTGGTCCTATTCGTGACCAGATCCAACAGCTAGGTAAGGGCTGCGACATTCTCATCGCTTCCCCTGGTCGTCTTTGCGACTTCATTCAGCGACCTGACGTCTTATCACTTCGTCGTCTCCGCTACATGGTCTTTGATGAGGCTGATGAGATGCTCCATGATGACTGGCGTGACGAGTTCGATGTGATCATGACTGGTGGTGGTAAGTTTTGCCATTATTTTCTTCAGGAGCTGTTGCTAACATTTGCCTCCAGAGCAACAAGAGGGCAACATCAAATACATGCTTTTCTCAGCCACCTTCCCAAAGCCCCTCCGTGATCTGGCCAAGGAACATCTTGCCATATCCAGCGTCCGTATCAATGTCGGCCGCATTGGAAGCACCCACACCAACATCCTCCAACGCGTTTTCGAGGTCGCACCCTTTGACAAAAAGAGCGCTCTCAAGGAGCACATTAACTCACTGGCCGCCTGCCGAACGATCATCTTCGTCAACAGCAAGCGCACTGCAGATGAAGTTGACGACTTTTTGTTCAATATGGGGTTCCCCTGTACCTCCATGCATAGCGATCGTACTCAGCTTGAGCGAGAGGCTTCCATGCGTGCTTTCCGTGCCGGCAAGGCCCCCATTCTGATCGCCACTGGCATTAGTGCCCGCGGCATTGACGTGAAGAATGTCAAGCATGTCATCAACTACGACCTTCCCAGTATGGAGCACGGCGGTATTGAGGAATATACCCATCGCATCGGTAAGGTCTTCCTGAAATGCCTCTCAAGGTGCAACTTTTGCTTATCCCCTATTCTTCTAGGTCGTACTGGTCGCATGGGTCAACGTGGCATCGCCACCTCGTTTTACACGGAGCGCGATGAGCCTATCGCCAGTGTTCTGGTTCGCACTCTTCTTGAGACCGGGCAGACAGTCCCTGAATTCCTTGCGCCCTACAAGCCCACTGGAAAGGGCCTGGAGAACTTGAAGTTCGAGACCGAGTCAGATTTCGATCCTGAGGAAGCTGGTATCGCTCATCTTGGCGTTACTTCTGGCGGCAACGAGGACTGGAGCGGAGAAGGCAACGAAGGCAAGACTGCTGGCGATACCGATACCTGGGGCGCTTCTGCTGGCTCCGTTACTGGTAACAAGGCCGGTAATGATGACCAGGAGTGTGAGCAGCCTGCCGCTTGGGGCATTGCTCCTGCTGGTGATTCTGGGTAATTGGGTTGCCGTTCACCTTCTCCCCGTAGAAGGGATTGGGTTAGTTTCGCGACTTTGGACGAAAATCGGGGATAGGTTCATGAAAGAGGTTACGTTACCACGGTCTATTCGTCATGCTTTGGCGGGGTTAGATAGCCAACGTGGAACAGAAACTGCCGGTAGACTAAATGGGACCATTCCCGGGCATTTGTTCCCGAAATATCGCGCCATGATGCTTGATGAAGGGGTCTTGTGTGTAGCGATTTCAGACCTGGTTGGTGGAATTCTCATATCATGATAGACGTGAGGTGTCCCAGGTGAGGCATACGTATTCATAGCGATCAAATAATAGGCCGTGAAAGAAGCTTTTCCATCATTCGCGTGAGCACTAGCACGAAAACGATGTTGACCCTGGGAACATACCCTTACAAATCTTTTTTTAAAAACTTGCTCATACACTTAAAAGTCACTGAAAAGAAAAAAAAAGTAAGAGCTTTTGATTACCAGATTACATATCTATGCTTACCACAGCGCCTCCTCTGATTAATTTACGTGCCGTGCCCACCTAAACCCGTCTATACAACGCCATTCAAAAAGGTCCTTGCATATCAAGCATTCTTCATAATATCAGGAAGGGCTTTGAGCTTACCGCCCAGGCCCAGGGCATAGCCAACACCAACCACGCCTCTTGTGAATCTCCAGCTTCGCTCCTGGTCGGGAACGGGATACTTGACGGGCGGGGGGATGGAGGTGCGGATGCCCAACCAGCCGAAACGATCAGCGCAGATACTCTTGACATTGCAGAGACCCCTAAGACCCTCCTCGCCCGCGAAACGGCCATATCCAGAGCCGCCAACGCCGCCGAAGGGCAGCTGAACGGCGTAGGTTGTGCCAAAGTCGTTGACTGCGACCATTCCCGTCTTCAGCCCATCGACCACGGCGCGTAGTACGGGGTCGTTGTCGCCGCCGAAGATGGAGGCCCCGAGACCGAAGTCTGCAGCATTAGCGATGGAAAGAACGGAGTTCGCATCATGACCGAGGGTACGCATGATAGTCATGATGGGACCGAAGCATTCTTCCTTGGCGATCTCCATATCGGGGGTGACGTCCACAAGGAGGGTCGGGGTAAAGTAGTGGCCTTTTGGGTGGTCGGGGTGGGTATATCGCTTGCCACCTGCGAGTAGTCGGGCGCCTTGCTTCACGGCCCTTTCGACAAGAGACTCGAGGCGGTCAAAAGAGGCGTCGGAAATCATAGCACCAACGTCTGCCATAGGGCCGAGGCGGAGAGCTTGAACTTTAGGAGCAAGGGTGGCAACTAGGGTCTCGTAGAGTTTTGGGGTTACGATGATACGTTCGATGCCAATGCAGTTCTGTCCGGAGGCTTGGAAGGTTCCGCGCATGAGAATCTCAACGATACGCTTCAAATCCTTGGCAGCAGAGTCGAGAACAATGGAAGGGTCCTTACCACCCAGCTCAGCGATCAACGGAGTTAGGGTTTTGGCGGCTGATTCGGCAACCTTGAGACACACAGGGCGGGAGCCGATGAAGGTTAAGTGGGAGATTTTGGGATGGGCAGTGATATGGTTCGCAGTTTGCGGCCAGCACACGACCGTCTGGATCAAGGCAGGATCATGCCCGTGAGCAATAAGCGCACCCCTTGCGATGTCGGTAAAATACTGAGAACTCCAAGCCGTCTGCTCAGAGACTTTAACCAGAACTCCATTGCCAGCGAAAATGCTCGAAATGATGGGCCCGATAAGGTTATGAAAAGGGTAGTTCCAGCTGACAAGCGCGCCAACAACACCAAGCGGCTCGTACCGCACCTCGTTACGCTTGTACACCATTAAGAGGTTCGTAGGCCTCTTCTCTGGTGTAAGTGCCTTCTCGCCATGGTTTAGGGTCCAAGTAAGCTTCTCAACGGTAACCAGGATCTCGCCCAGCTGGGCGTCGACCATAGTCTTGCCAGAGTCGAGACAAGCAGCGCGGCAAATGGCTTCCTGATTATCGATTACGTGGCGAAGCATAGAGCGTAGGACGCGCCGACGCTCGCGGAAGGAAGTGTTTTTCCATTTAATCTGAGCAGCATGGGCAGCATCAACAGCACGATCGATCGATGCGGGCGTCGAGGGGTTGACGAAACCGAGGAATTGACCCGTCGCTGGGGCATAGCATTGGATCGCGGTAGTACCGGAGATCTGAAATAGCGGTATTAGCAATGCCGTCAACGCAGCGTGTCCAATAAGTCTACTTCAGAAGCTCTTTCCTACCTTGACATTGGTCTTTTCTACGATCGAAAACTCCACTGGGGTCTTGGGAGGGGGGACGGTGTAGGTAATAGCCTTATCCTCTTTCCATGCATAGGCTAACCGGAAGAACCAAATACTGAAGGCAATGGCAATTGCAGCGAAAACATACTGAAAGACGTCGGCCCTGTCCCCAGACTTTTGAATTAGCAGGTAGTCTTTGAGTAGAGAATGGCGCCATATGGCGTGTGGTAGCGTACGGGATGGCTTCGATGTACCCATTGAGCCTTCCGGCAACTTCGTCCCGAAGTTGTTTGTCCATACTGACATCGACCTCGGCCCAATTGGCGGCCAATGGAGAGTGTGTTGGCGAGGTAATCGAGGTGGCCGCTTGTGTGATGTTGAGGTCGTGAATGTGTGCCTCGCCCAGAGTACAGACAGATAGAGGAGTTTTGGTCCACAGCAGACCCTAGGGGACCGCATCGGATGTTCCTGGCCAAAAATCAGCAGAGCTCGGGAGAGCTTTCCCCGGCCGTGGGGCTCCACATTTATGGACATAGATTGGCAGGGGGTCCACGGAACCGTCATTACAAGGGTATATCGAATCTTGTAAGGATCGTACCTGCGTTGTGCGGGGAACCATTCTTTTTGGATCACGGGAGATAGACTGGAAGAATGAAGGCGTAATAACGACTTTGATCTATCAAAAACCCGCCATTTCCAAGAGAAAGTAAGTAAGCAAGCCAGCACGTAGTCCGCGCTGGGGAAATTTCTGTCTGTCAGATGTTGACCTTCTGCAACAGAAACTAAACAGCACAGCACTTGATGATTTGTGGCGTTGGAAAGCTATTAAGGCGGGCAACAAGGTTGGAAACTGTGCTTGCCGCTGGTTAATCACTATGGAGCGGGGAACTTGTATTTGGGAATATCTTGTTCAACAGTTTAAATAGCAGTTGGTTTCTGTCTCACCTGCTCGTCTCCAAGCGGCCCCTATTATGTTTTTTTCATCCCCTTTTCCTCCCTTCTGTTCGCGTGTGTATGTACAAAATGCGCTAGCTGCTCGAGAGCCTCGCGCCATCACTTTCTTGGGTCCGTCCAGACAAAACGCCCTGGGCCAGCCTAAGGAGAGATTCCAGCACCTTTGAATGGACTGGTTCCTAGCGCCCCTTCTCAAAAATCTAGGATGCACAACAAACTCATACAAAAATATGCCGCCCGAGTCTTCCTTTCCTTTGCCCTCCTTTAAACGCCGTCGCAATAGGAACCCCTATACGATGAAAAGGAAAAAAAAAAAGGAAAAAAAAGGAACAAGAAACATGTAAAAGTCAGGGAACAAAAAACAATAAAAGGCAGAGGCTGAGAGTGGGTGACAAAGCATCGGGGTGTCGCTGGTACGCGAGGGTGGGAACGTCGTAGATCGCTCATGCAGATCGTGATGCATTGGGGGATATCAACAAAGCAGCAAAGAAACAAGACAGTGTGTCGCAAGTTATGATGGATATAATACAAGGAGAGTCGGTCGCAGTGGTTCGAGGGTTGTTTAGTTGTTGGCGCTCTTGGTCAACGACAAGCCTCTTAACCGCCGCGGATGGAATCGGTCACTGTATGATTGGCTGGACTCTATTCTGGAGAGACGAGCAGCCGAAGTGAAGTCGCTGCTTGCCTCGAAACTGGCCCGCGTGCGATCCATCGAAGCTCGAATTCGGTCGTAGGACGGTCGTGCTCGATCGTATGAGGGGCGTGCGCGGTCGAAGGAGGGACGCATCGGTGGCGTCATATCAAGGGATTGCGTATGCACCATATCCATCGACTGGCGATGGCCCGTGTAGTTGGTGCCATCACTGCCGTTTTGGCTACGTGGGTTGTGCGTCGTGTGGGTCGCAACTGAAGGTGGATAGATTGGCCTCCTGTCTTCATCGACACTGGCGTAGTGTATGTGCTTACCCTTACGCGAGCTAACCGACGAGTTTGATGGCGTCTTGCTCGCTGCGTCTTCCCCAACAACCGTCGCCTCGTCGCCCTGAGTGAGCCGAGAAAACTTGCCTTGGCGCTCTTGTTCGCGGATAATGTCGACGTCGTAAGGGAAGTAGACTTTTTGGACAGCCTTGATTGCGAATCGAGGGAACATACTGATAACAGGTACGATAAAGAAGACGGCCCAGAATGATGCTTGAGCGTAGACCTGCGGAGCGGCCTGGTAATAAAACACTGATGACTCCATTGACGTGTAGATGCCAGTCACAATGAAGATCATCAAGTCACTCAAGACAACAACCAATATCATTACCCAATCCCACCTGTAGGTGTTCATGATGGTGTAAGCGTTGATGGTGATAACGGCGGGGTGTACGATGTAGGCTCCGAGTCTTGTCCTGTCTTCGATGTTTAAACCATTCTTGCTAACGAAGCTGGTGCTCACAACTGTAAGGTAGGGAATGTAGAAGACCATGACGGATTGATAAACACCGTCGAGCATGTACAGCCTACCGACCAGTTAGCATTCGCACTAAGCTGAATAATCATGGGTCAACTTACCAGAATTTGGTTTGCGTCCATTCCAGACGCTCAATGCCACGGCGGTACAGTTGGGGCACCTCCAAAGAGACCTTGTCTGAGACATCCTGATCCAACACACCCATGACGATGACCGGAACGGACGTGAAGAGCAGACTGAACAACAAAATGTAGGTGTACTCGAAGATGTAAGTGACGTCAAAGTCGCAGTAAATTTGGTACCAGAAGATACCAAACACCCAGACCACGTTCTTGTAGAAGAAGTTGGCAACTGTCTCTCCAAGACGGCGATACGACCACCGGCCGTGAACAAGAACCAAGCGCTGAAGGAAACGGAACTGCGCGATAGCGTAGTCTGATGACATGACGGCTTGCCGACCTTCCTCGCCAGCAATACCAACTCCAACGTCGGCTTCTTGAATCATAGCAACGTCGTTGGCACCATCTCCGATGGAAAGCGTCATGACATTGAGGCCATGCTTCACCATGGACACCACCGCGGCCTTCTGAGCCGGACTCACACGACAGCACAGAACTGACTTGCATTGCTTGCAGAGAAGCAAGAATTTCTGCTTCAAGGCGTCGTGAAGAACCCACTTCAATGTGAAACCGTCGATGACCAGGCCGTGAGTTGGGCCGGGAGGTTCGTGATTTTTTATGGCCTTTGCGAGATCCTCATCATCGCCCTTCATGTTAAAAGTGTGCAGGTACTTGTCAAGTTCTTGCTCAAGTTTGTTGAGAAATTCGTGATCAGGGATTTCGCCGGTCTCGTCTTCGTCTACTTTCAGATGGATCAGTTCCATATCATTGTTCAATAGGTTGCAGGAGAACCCGATGTTGATGGCGGTTTCAACTTTGTCACCTGTGAGAACCCAGAGCTTGATACCGGCGTCACCGAGCAGAGCAATGGTGTCAGGGACACCGTCTTGCAGCCTGTCCTCGATAGCGGTACCTCCAAGCAAGGTCAGCTCGCGTTCGATTTGGTCGGCGACCTCCTCCATCTTCTCCTCTCGGTTCTCCAAGGCCGAGGCGGCAGCGTTGTACTCCTTTTGCCAAGATTGGTATTGCTCCTCATTAAGCTCCCGTTGTGCGATGCAGAGTGTTCTCAAACCTTCGCGAGCAAACATCTCAAGATGCTCAGCGGTGATCTTTCGAAGCTCTTGTTGTTCACCCCGCTTAAGGCGCGAGTAGATGATACTGTCTGCTCCCTTGCAAATGAGAAGGATCCTGTTGTCAGGCATGCGCACGATTGCGCTCATGCGCTTTCTGCTCGAATTAAATTCGATTGTGTTCAGGATGGGATAATGGCGATCAACACCCATGACGTTCAATTTAATGCCATCCGAAGTACTTCCAATCACTGTAAATCCCATGTCGCGAGCTGTTGCAACAAGAGCAGCCTCGTCAGGAGATTGAGCCTTGAAAATCATCTTGGGTGGTGAACCGGGGACCTTTTCGGCAATAACAGTGTGGCATAAGGCGAGGCAGAGCATGAAATGTTCGTTGGCAGCTTGCTGCTCAGGGCCAGAGTCGCCCGCCAAGTCGGACACGTAATCAGGGGCAATGAAAGTCACGTCGTCGTCATGAAGGTAAGGATTGTCGTGAAGGTTTCTGAGGCCTTCGACGGCTCGCACTTTCGCTTCCGCAATCTCGGCTCTGGCTTCGGCAGCCTCCTTCTCAACGTCTACACCGAGTCGCTTCTGCATTCCGGCCTGGGCCTCGGTGTAAGCCTCTCCATACGGTTGACCGTTGATAGTTGCTTTCTTGAATTCCATCACGTTTTGTGTCAAGGTGCCGGTCTTGTCAGAGAAGATGTATTCAATCTGGCCCACGTCGTCGGAGATGTTCCAAGATTTCGGAATGCATGGTTGGTCCAGCTTGTCGTAATACATTTCGATATCGCTGTAGATAAAGATGGCTTGGAGAAGACGAACAATTTCGAGAGTGATGTACAGAGCGATGGGAATCAAGTTCTGGAATACGATCATGGCGGCGAAAAAGCTGATGAAGCCGGACATGGGCGCACTACCTCCCGTGGGTCCGAAGTCGAAAAAGTGCAAGGACGCATCTGTTTTCGCCCAAGCGACACCGTTGATAATAGCCGTCAGGAAACAAAGAAGGAACAGAATGCCGAAGTTGCAGATGACATTGAAGTTCATCTCTCGCGCAATTCTAGGGCGCTTGCTAGGCGTAATGCCAGAGTTGATCATGATCTTGGTGTCATGTCCCGTAAAGACAACAACGCCCAGCGCCCATTCCGTGTTTCTCAAATTGCAGCCTCGAAGAAGCATGTTGTCGATTGTAATGGGCTCTGTCATTAACTCTGGTTCGGCCTCGTCATTGAATGTCTGATGCCATCTGATAGCACCATTATATTTGTAAAGGTTGGGTTGCGGGGCTTCGCTCTCGATCCAGAAGCGGGCTCGTTCGCAGTCTCGCGCGTGCTTTAGAGACTTTCCGCAGCGAAGAGCTTGTCGCACTTTGAGATTAGTCTCGCCGTCAAGGTTCTTCGTTTCAACGTAGCAGGCCCCATCAGGATCTGAGGTGGATAGGACAATGATGTCTGCCGGAAGTTCATCATCGTTGTAAATTCGCACAAAATCTCCAACCCTCAAGTCCTTCCAGTGTTCCTTCTGGAAGCGCGCTTCACCCTTGGTTGGCAAGGTTCGATCCAGAACATCGCCCTTACGTTGCATCATCTCCTTCGCCCGTGCATGGTCGGTAGGGTCCGGCACCTCGAGGTTTTGTCGCGGCAATGGGGAAGGGATCGGGGTCATCTGGATGTCTTCTCTGGCAGAAACGAACGAGTCTCGGGCAGATCTAGGAGAATGGTGGGAGTCACGGGGTTCAACATGGGTTTCGATCGAAGGCCGCGGCGCGTCTGCCAATCCTTGAGGAGGTTTTCGTCTTGCCAACTCTTCTCTTGCCTTCTTGGACCAAATACTCTCGATTGTGTGCCAGATCAGACCAAAGAAGCGAGAGTTGGCCTTCTTGATGCGTCTCCATGTGGAAACATTGTCCTCTTCGACATTGACATTGTCCCACCCCCGCAGTCGGTGGACGGGGGCGTTGTTAAGTTCAATGTCCAGGACCGTTCGCCGGTAATCCTCGACGGCGTCCTTAATAGCCGTAACGGTAACAATGAAGATCAGGGGGACGGCGCTGAGCCCAGGGTTTACACCACCAAAGATGGGGAAAAACTATAAATGGTTGGGAATGGCTCAGCAAACAGTAAGAGATATGATGGGAGTTGACTTACGCCCAATATGACGAGAAATAGGAAGAACACATTGGCAATGTTTTGAAATTGAAACCACAGATTCTTGGGTACGAAACTCAGTGGCGTATATTTGGCTGTCCGAATCTTGTTTCTCGTGAAGTGATGCTTCGGGTGTCCCTCCTCATCCTTGAGTTCCGGAGGCAAAGGAAGGTTGAAGAATAGTTTCCGGCCGCCTTGGGCTTCATCGGGTTCATTTGCGGTGTTGTCAGTCTGTAAGGATTCGCCGCCTCCAGAGCTGCGGCTCTTTTCGCTGTTTTTCTTCTTATGGGCGGCGCGATTCATCAGGGAGAGCCTCTTCTTGCTACTACTTTTTATCGTCATCTTGCGAGTGGCCCATCTCGTGCGCAGTGTAGGATTCTCGGGATCGGGCGGCGGCGGTCCCGCTTCGTTGTTTGCGGACGCCATCGTGGTCATCTCGTCGTCTGCGGGCAAGCAGCCCGATCAACCCGAGTTGTCCTCCAGGATGGCCTCGTCCGGCCGCAACAGTGGTCCCTAATAGGGAGGGGACTCGGTAGTCGTCTCGCAGACCAGGGTTGGCGGAATGCAAGTCGAAAGTCGGTTTAACGCCAGGAAATATCGTTGAGCAGGACGTGAAACAGAAAACGAGTGGCGGCGTACGATGGTAATGAAATCACCCGTCGTGGTCGTCGTCTTGGCCGTTGTCCGTCCGAGGTTGTGTTGTGGTGTTGGTTGAAGAGAGCGTGGTTCGTGCGAGGGAGTAACAGGATTGAAAGGGAGTGGTCGGAAGGGGGCAAGAATTATTTTGCCAGAAGGGGCCGGGAGGCGCTGTCGCGGGTGTTTGATGACAGCGTTACCCAAAAACCCGCTGAGAGGGGGTGGTGCTGGGTTCTGGGTGCTGTGCTACTGGGGGGAGGGGGGTGGGCAGGTATGTACCTCCAGTCACCATTCTTTCTGAGTGAAAGTGCTTGGGTGAATTCGTGCAATGTGCAGCACCTGAGCGGTGCTTGTGCTGTAGGGGGTTGTGAGTTATCCAAGGCTGGATAAAGTACCTCGCGTACCACAGAGCATGTCAGTATTGAGGAACGGCGCAAGGGGGCGGAGACGGCAGGCGCGGTACGTAGCGGAGGTACCTCGAGGATGTGTGGCGGCGGAGGTAGCTCGCCCTGCCGTTGGAGTGGGGGACTGTAGCAGAAACAGCCTAACCAGGTACGGACCTTGGACGCGGTAGAACAGGTACTATGTCCTGTAAATTGGTTTTGCTGTGCTTTTTCCTCACTCTCACCTTTCTACTTGGGACTTGCTCGTCACCCACTTTTATTTCTTAGCACAAGTCTTACGGGTAAAGGAGAAACAAGAAGCAAATTTGGTAGAGAGCGATGGCGAAGATGGAGTGCCAAAAAAAAAAAAAAAAAAAAAAAGGATGGAGTAAGGGAGGAAGGGTCGGCGGAGGACGGAGATCGGGTGAGCTGGAAGGGCGAGGCCGAGAAGGCCAAAAATGAGGAAAAGGAATTGAGAATACTGGAGACAGAAAGAAGCGCGTGCTGGCTGTCGTGCCGTGTCGGCCGGACGAGTCCCACCCCTCTCACACTTTTTTTTCCTGCAATAGAGTGGTGCTGTAAATGCACCTCAGAAAAAGAGGTTCCATGAGGCATGAGGGTAATGGTAGCAGTAGTAGTAGCAATAAGCAGCAGCAGCGACGACGGCGGCGGCATCGGCAAAAGCTGTAGCGTTCCTGCTTCTCCGAAGGGAAACATGTCCCAGATGGGACGGAGAGGGGGGATGATGACAAGTCTCTATCTGTCACTCTGCTCACGGTGACCCCCTTTCAGCGAGGTAATGGCTCGCCGCAGGTACATCGGAGGTACACATTAAGTGGTGGCCGCCCGCCCGGATGGCCCGGGGACTAGCAAGACTCCACGCCCGACCCTATGCAGTCCTTCCCCCCCTTAAGGGAAGGTCAAGATGGTGCTTACGTGGTAGGGTAGCGCAGTTTTGGTGGTTGCGAACAAATTTGACCCTCTGCTTGACAAGCCTAGTGTAGACAGACGTGCCAGCCTAGAACCACTTCAACCCACCCTGGCAATCGCCTGCAGGACGTGGAGCGCTAGCTCGGCTGGCGGGTACTACCACTTGCGGTCAGAGGTGGATGCCGGATGGTGCGTAATTGGTAATCAGCGGCTTACTTCATTTTCGCTACCGTGGTGACAACAGACAGAGCCTAGTCGACACTCACCTATACCTCATGCTAACTATGTTGTACACCACCAATCTCCCCTTCTCTTTCTGACAAAGCAAGCACACTAGCATCGGCTCCAAAGATTCTCATCCCCCACGCGACCTCCATCTCGTTGTTATCGTCGTCGCCCTCTACACCCCTGGACCCGGGCACAAACAGATTGATCCCTTGCCTCTCAAACTGTCGCAGTCACTTGATAAAACTGAGTTGTGCATGAGAAACAAGAAAAGCAAAGCGGTCCCCGATACCCCTTACTACCCGGTCATCGTCCAAATTCCAGCCGCAACATCCAATCAGAGTTTCTAAATGCCTGACTTCTTCATCTCGTGCTGACAATCCCTGGCCAAAGTTGGCTTACCTTCCCCAGGCCCCTAGCTACTTGCTTGCTGCGTGAATGCTGCTTTAGCTGATGACGGCCGATGGCTCATCAGCTATAACCAAAATACCAGAGCAAAGACCAGACCAAACCTGCACCGAGCGGACCGTGGCCGCGGCCATGGCCCCCAGGTTTGCAATGCAAGGTCTCACTTACCAAACCAGTGAGCACAGTCCGATGCATCGTCAGTCAAGTCCCCAAGCCAAACATGAGCACGGGAGGCACACGCAGTCAAACCTCTCTGCCCTGTGTCAGGTGCCTCAATGTCAGCACCCCAGGTATTGCGGCGTTACAGCTGTCGACTTTTGGTCGCTACCTTTGCCTCAGCACTCTAACAAACTTCCCATCACGCCGAGTCAATGGAGAAATTCAGGTCCGGTACGGATACGTCCTGTAGAACGGCTTGAAGAGCGAATTATCAACAACGTACTACTCCAGCCGATCCGGATCCGGCTCAGTCTAGTGATCTAAGAAGGACCCCGAAGCCGAGAGTACAGATCTCTGCTATAGGCTCCGTAGTAAGCGCACCAAAGCCGCCCTCGAATCATTGCTCCCGAATCCGTCTGCACGCTGCCACTCCTGCGCAGCGCTTCCCTGCATAGCACAACTTTCATTTCCCGTGCTTCTCCCTTTCCGGTCGCCGCTTCCTCAGCGCCTGATCAAAGTGGGTGGGCGGGCGGTAGGCAGTTGAGGCACAGAGGTAACAACTTGCATGGATGGGAGGGATGCACAGCCCAGCCACTGCTTGGTGACCCGGCCCAACCGTGTGCTGGCAATACAGCCAACTACCTTTCGCAGACAGATCAGAAGAGCAACGACACCCCCAAACTGGCCCTCTTCGGATGGGGTCTAGCCTTCATTCCTTGTCATGACCAGGCGAATCCCAACCTCAAGACCGCAATTCGACCGTCACCATGGCCCGCGATGGGCCAGCGGTCTGGGATGACCCAAATTCAACCTGCTGCGTTAAAGTGATGCTGCCCACTATTGCGTTGCACGCCATGTTGCTACTTGGAGGCTGAGCAACTTGACCTTGTCTATCCCGGGAAGCAATCGTCGTCATCCTGACCCCTTCAATGCCCATCTTATTCCGTCCCAGCATGACCATTCAAGGGGACAATGGTTCCAGACACAGGCCCAGGCGCACACGCAGGCCCTCGCTGCTCGTCAAACTTGGAGAAGTTGATGTTAAATAACGACCCATACTTGGCCCCCCCGAAAGAGAAATTGGCCAAGCATATGTCAGCCAGGGGCAACCGCAAGAAAGTCCCTCCAAGAGGGGCGGCCCAAGTCTTGTCTTGATGACCGGCGGAGCTCGAAACCCGGCGCTTTTGATGAGCAGCCGATGGGCCAACTGCAAGCTCGCAACAAAGTCACTGCGAGCCCCGCTCCGTTTCTTGAAATTCGATTGAACCTCAAATAGTAAGCGAGGTGGCTCCATCTGTCGGTCCCTTGAACTTCAAAGTGGGAGAGAGAACAAGTCTCAGGGTCGCATCGTACCCACGGCGCCCGGACGGATCGCGAATCTTTGCACTTGTGGCATGAAGGCCTGTTGAGCCTGCTGGATTGAGCTACGCATTCAAGTTAGCCTGCTCCTTGTCTGAGCCAAGCCTTTTTCTGGTCTGTCATGTTCAGTCACAGACATAATGCTTACCGGTCAAACCTTTTACCAAGCTGATGGGGAAAGCCACCAGAAATGCACCATGCGATGAGAAGCCAAGCATAACAGCATAACAGACACAAAAAAAGTCACACATACACACACACACTCACTCACTCACACACACACCCCCACGACGCACACACAGTTAACTGCTCCCCCTGTTGGCGCAATCTGAGGCTGGAGAGATTAGAGAAGTGACCCGCGATGAGGCGATCTTATTCAGATCCCTCCACCCAGCCATTCTAACCACACGGGAAGCACAGCTTGAAACAAATCTACAGCCACTAAGGAGATATATAGCAGTCGCTCAATACTCTTCTCCAGGGCCAACCCTTTTTGCGCTTGCTCTTGGCGGTCTCTTCTGGGATGGCCTCTTCTCACAGATCCGTCTGTGTTCTCCTTTTCGTGGCGGTCAGAGTGTATTGCTTGACTGAACTGTTCACCGCAACCAGGGAACATCGACGTCGTTGACCCCAGCAACGGTTGTCACTTCCAAGGGGTGTCCCCTGTGTTCTTTTCCCACTTACCACCAAAAAAAAAAAAAAAACACAGATAGGAGGATGGACGCCGCGTAAATACGGGTGCTGCATGAGTCCGGACACTGCGCCGTAAAAACCACCTGCTTTCATGGGCCATTCCAACCCTGGGCTGGCTAGATTCAATCTCCCCTCTGCTCGCCAATCCATCAAACTAGCCAGTCAGTCAAGCCATTTTACGAGGGAGGGTCCACTGGAAGACTTGTCAAGCCTCAAGTGTCAAGGGGCGCCCACTAACAATCAGCATACTACATAACATACAGTACATCGCAATTGGAAATATGGAGGAACAGTGGAGGGATGTGCAGTCGGGCAGTCGGGGCTTACGACAAGCCCATTCGGAGGTAGGACGGGGAACGGCGGGCCTTTGCAGGGGTTCAAGCCACTTCTTCTTTTTTGCTACATCTATTCTGTGAATCTGCGAATCTACGTATGCACCCAAAGCCTAGCTGGTGCTCATTTGACGCCGAGTACGAAGGTGAGGGGGAAGAGGTGAGACCCTCATGCGCCTGGATGTGTAGTCACCCTACAATGTGATTATCAGGCTACGACGCACACAGCACACGGCATATGGCAGACCAGACGCCTATGCTACTTTTGACAGGTGGCTTCTTGGACACTCGTTCTGCTCGCGGCTGGTGTTCCTCATGGTCGCTCTGGAATGGAGTTTGTCCTAGTCGCGTCTGGTTACATGAAATTCGCCTCCAGGTCGTTGTACGACTCATGCAGAAAGGAAATGATCCAACGTTCACATTCTCAACGTCAGCCAGACTGGTCTCATCCAATCCAAAGATCCAGTTCAAACTTATGCCATGTCCATCCCGCATGGAAACGGACGGATGACTACAGATGGGAGGCGGGAAGACAGGATGTAGCCCTGAGCTGGGACATCCATTTCCGTCTTACCCTCCTGTAAGAGGTGTACCTTGCCTTGAGTGAAGCCAGCCATACCGAAAGACGGCGGACGGCACATAGAAGGCTGGTCGGCATGTACGGGACACACGGGTCGAATTAACCTTCTGAGATGATCGCTTTGATCGCGGTCCATGGACCTGGAACAGGTTCATCGATGCACCTCTCACCCCGACCGCCGTATCTGTGAAAGGGTTCCTTGAGCAGAATTAGTCTGACGACAAGCTTGGTGTGGCTTCCAGAGCGTCCCAAGCGCCTGGGCAGCATTCTACAGGCCATGACCTTCCCTCGTTATGTGCGAGAAGGCGTGCGGAGATAAGAGCGAGAACTACTCCTACTTTGCCCTGCCTAGGCACTCCAAACCAGGCCGTCATGCAGCCCAACTCGTTCAACTACGATGTCCCCCTTTCCGGACTCCTGTCCGACCCCTGAAACCGAAAAATTCGAGAACGGTTCATGGTCACTGGTGTGGTTTTCGGGGCTGGTTCTTAGCCACTCTTTTGATAGGCCGGGGGTGTGGACATCTTGGCAGTCCGCTGCCCGTTTGTGCCGCCGCCACATGCGATGATGATCAATCTATTCCTTCCACGCCTGCGGTTTTTTTTTTTCCCCTAACTGAAGCGAATCCCGTCATTCCGCAATCACAGAGTCGCTTTCTAAGAGGACCCCGCGCCGCGGACACCGAATAGCTGTTCGTCCGACAACAACCCGAATCGACTCACCATCGTAATCAATATTCCCTATGGACAGAACTAGGTTATGCTGATGTATCTGAAAGTAATCAGCATGTTGGCCATTGTGCACCTTGATGCCTGCTATCCAAATGTCAGAAACGGCTGTCGGGTGTTCACATTAATCGCCATGTGCCACTGTCCTTGTCCCCCTCCTCATTGCTGGCGTTGACTTGTGCCATGTCTGTCACTGGGAAACTCAAGTAATCATGAGCATGTTTCTTCCAGCCTGGCATGGATGTTATCCCCCTCTAGTCATTCCAACACCCACATACCACCCATTTCAGAGACATTAACATTGAACTATTCCCATGTTGCTGGCACCACCCCCAGGTGATGACATAAGCCGCGATAAGATAAGGCTGCGCAACTTTAAGTGATTCTCCACTTTTGTTCGCCATTTTGGCGACTGACGCGAAACTGGCCTTCAACGCGTCGGGCTCGTTCATTCCATCTACACTGGCTCTATACGCAATCATGTGACAGGCTTCGGCCACCAGCTATTCATCATATAATATTTACCTTAGCTGTGACCTCGATGATCTACGGCTGAGCTGTGTAAGCGAGGGTATCTTTCAGCCACGCAGGCCTCCGTTATGGCTCGTACAAAGAGTGGTAGCGGTCAACCTACCGGCCCCATCGGTAACCGAGATATCAGGAGCTTTTTCGGCGGGCGCTCGACTGCCAAAGAAACTCAGAATACTGTGATATCCTCACGAGCTACCAGGAGCCTTGGGGCCTCCTCCACTTCGCCATCGTCTATTGCAGTTGCTGAATCTCCGAGCGATGGCGCACTTGCCCACACCCAGGTCCGGGATGTGAAGGCAACCAGGCAACCGCAAGGCAAGAGGAAACGCTCGTTCACAGTACAAGACGAGAATTCTAAGCCAGGAACTGAGGACTTGGAGCACTCAAATGTTTCCAGCACGCCCCCTCCGCACTTCGTCCTGCCTGCATCAGGCTTCTTAAACACATCAACGTCATTATCTGAAATAAACACCACTCCCACCCTGCCATCCTCTACAAGACAGCTTCTTCTCAGTACACCTGGGCATAAACCCTCAAAAGAAAAGATAGTCAACGACGACTCAGCAGATTTATTCATGTCAGCCTCGGGCCGGACCCCGGCCTCGGCGCGCAAAGTCCGCTTCAACTCAGCGCCTTCTACACCGGGACATTCTTCTGAGCCAGATACCACTCCAGTACGCCTTCTATTCACGGGGGAAAAGAAGATGTTCCGCGAAAGTCCTTCCCAAGCTCCGGCTCGAAAGCTCCTTTCCCCGTCTAACTTACCATGCTCAAGGAGAAACGGACCCCTTCGCACACCTAAACGGGACCAAACAGGGCAAACATCAGGCAATGACACGCCAAACAGCCTGTCACCTTTACCGGATCTACCCAGCTCTCCAAGCATACCGCCGTCTCCATCGACAGCGAAGAAGCGTACTATATTAACCAGGGATGCAGTCATCAAGGGCTCAGATGAAGAAGAGGACGACTCATTCTCCGACTGTTCCCTTCCAGATCTTGACATGTTGGGTCCTAGAAAGCCAAGAGCAGATCCCTGTGGCACTCCGCAGGCCAAGAGAAGAGCGATCATAGTACACAAATCACCGCTCACCATCCAGCCAAAACACAAGTTTGACTTCAAGACGCTAGACGCACACTCAAAGAGGCACGACGTCATGTTTGACAGTCCCAAGCGGCCAAAAAATGTGGTTATTGAGGACGAAATGACGGTAGAGGTAAGCCCTAGCAAATCGCGCCAGAAGCTGATCGAAATTGCTGGCGTCAAAACTGAGGAGGATGCGGACAAAGCACTCAGGGCGATGGAGCGAACCCATACCTCCAGCTCGAAGAATAGATGGTACTTCTTCACCAAGGATGCGGATGTCTCGCATACTTCTATTCCCTTTCCAAAGAAGAGATCAAAGGGGCCTTGGTCATTTCTCGAGAAGCCTGGAACTCGTGACCGGCACATCATGTCTGGAATGCCTACCACTTTGGCGGCTTCATTGGAGCTCCCAGACGAGTTGTATTTTTGGGTTCTAAACATGGCAAGCGTCGAAAGGCTCGATGGTCTTCGGGAGGAGTATTGTAGGCTGGCTGCCGCGAATAAGAGACAGGTCAAGCGCCTCATTACCCCTGAACGGCTATTGGAGATCTTTCGCCAGCTGGGCGCTGCGAATCACGTGGGAGACGAGACATTGCAGCCAGTTCAGGAGGTTCGAGATATGTATGTGGATCGAGATTGGAGGCCCCTTCAATCGTGTTTGCATTGGCTTCGTAACATAGCGCAGCACCTCGAGTATGATGCCGTCGCGTACGGTGTCAAGATGCTTCTGCGTATGGCGGCTGATAAGGTTGTGCTCGAAAATGCGGATATGCTCATGGCTCAACAGCTTGCGTTGGGAGCTCTTGTTAACAACGTGGAAGGCAGTGTTTGGGATGATTTTGTAAGTGGGCTCCTGGAGACTGAGAGTTTCTATACTGACTGTTCAGTGTACTGAGGTTTGCTCGTCCCTCTATCATGGGTTCGACAAAAGCTCACTAAGGATTCTGCCCCTTACCTGCATGCCAGTCACGTCGCCAAAGCTACATGAGCTGCGGAGACGGTTGGCGGTTGCATTTTTCCTCCGAGACGCTGCGTTGTCAAGTAGGCATCCTGACAATGCTATGTCCCTTCGCCTTGTCATTGCCCGGATGAAGGATAGCGACTTCCAGGTCAACCGCAAGACCGATTATGCCGATCTCAAAGCACAAGTCCTGCTTCTTGACATGGCCGTAGACGACGGCTCGTTTGTGCCGGACAAAGACGATCGAGAACATGAGAAGAACTTTAATGCAGAAATTGATGACCTTGCCAAGCGTCTGAAGGCCATCTGGCGTGGCATTAACGACACGGGCGCTGCAAACCTTACTCGCACAGAAGCAAAAAGCGTCCTGGAATGGGTCGGACAGCGTTTGGCTTATTCTGTTCGCACAAGACCACCACCTACACAGAGCATTTTCGGAGACCAGGGACCATCATCGGCCAAGAAGAAGAGACAGCAGGACTTTATGCAGAAGTTTGTCCACTCTCGAAAAGCCAAGCAAACACCAGACGATTCAAAGGAGGAGGAGGCGTCTTCGGACGAGGATGCCACATTCGTAACTGCAATTGGGTAATGATAATGGACTTGTAGTATAACGACAACTACCTGATAAGCCAATGGTTGGCCACGATCATACAGCATCTAAGATACACCACAGGGGAAGGGTTTCAAAAAAAAAAAAGGGCGGCGTCAGGAGTCCTTCTAGCAGCAATAGTTTGTGTCCAGCCTCGAATAAAGGCTAAAATGGGGGTTGCAGAGCTCATTTCGGGAAAGGGGATGTTTAGTCGGTGAATCTGCGGTTGGGGTTCTTTCCAAACAGAGTCTCTCGCACGGCCGGCAGACCGGTATCCTGAAGGAGGTTTAGGCGCTCCTCAAATGTGTTGTTGATCTCAATCTTTCCGTTCCCGCCGAGGATAAAGATACCACCGGCACTATGCTTGCATTAGCGAAAGTAATTTTTAAAGAAAAACAGATGCCCATGCTGCATATGACACTTACCTCTCCGCAGGCAAGGGGTTCGCCTCATCAACCTTGGCCGTGCTGTCCTTTCCAGTCGTCTTCTTGTACTCCTTAGTTGCGTCTTCAATAGCCTTCTTAACAGCGTCGAAGTCGGCTTTCCGCGCGCGGACCTGAACCTCAGGCTCGTTGAGGGCGTAGAGGCCCTCGAGAACAAGGTTCTTGAGAATTGTCTGGTACTTGCCCTTATCCTTGGTGCCGTTGGTGAGCTTCTTGCGGGCCTCCTCGAAGATGTCGTCCAGCAGCTCCTGGCGGGCGCCGAGAACCTTGAGCCGGGTCTTGTTGGTCACGGTGGAGCGGGTGATCTGGAGCGACATTTGTGCCTGCTTAAACTTCTTCTCGTATTGGGTATCGATGGCGTCCGTCTCCTGGCGGACGAGCTTGGACTTTTCGATTGCGAATTCCTCGTTGGCCTTGATCTCGATCTCGCGGGCCTTTTCCATCGCCTCCTGCTTGATGAAGGCAGTCATCTTGCGGAGCTCTTGACCGACCTGTTGGCCATGCCGTCAGTATCTATATCCGCATACCGTTGGAGGTAATCGGCGTCGATGGGGGCGAGCTGGAGCGCGAGTGATGCATGCGGCGGGGGAGCTTACTTGGTCGTCGGTCAACGGTTGGTGCGACATGTTGGCGGTTTGGGGTTGAGCGACTTTCTCGATCAATTAGGTTATAGGAAAAGAGGATGTAGTCGAGATCGCAATGAGATCGAGATGAAGCTGGCAAGCTCGTCGTCGTAGGAGGTGGGGCGGATGGAGTTGGATTGGAAGGGTCGTGGTTGAATGAAGCTGTTGTTGACGAATCTCGATACTCCAAGCCGCAGCAGCAAGCATCACTGGACGTTCCGCCCAGCTGCTAGAACCGCTCCACGCACGCCGCCAGGCAGGCAGGCATGGAACAGCCACATTACTTGGAGCGCAGCAAATGCGGGCCCAGTTGTGATGCCCCACACTGCCACAGATGCTCTGTGCGTAGATCCCTCCCACCAGCACCAGCCTCACCTTCCTCTTTCCCTCTGGGCCAGTGACATCACGCAGCGCGCTTCTGACTGGGCACTTTCTGTAAGTATTCCATAGCAGCCCCCAAAGCAGCGTGGAGTAATTGGATTATCCGGCATCCGGCTGCCAGGTGACGCCGGCCCGTAGGACACTCGCACCGCCACATACGTACTGAATAATGCAGGAGTGAGCAAAGAGGGTCCCTTACTGTGGTCTAGTTCTGCGTGCATTACGGTGTTCCTTGGGTCGCTCACTGGGGGTGTGGGTTCCCCCCTTCGCAGCAGCAGCACCTTTGGGCCAGACCGACGGGACAGTGGGCGGCCATTGCGTCGTGCATAGTCAACGTACGTCTGTCTGGTGTTTCGAGCTGAGCCATGAACTAACAAAGTGTTCACCGACTCCGGCGATGTGGAAACTCCGTATTTTGTAACGCGCATTAAACTGCACACGCAAACATCTTCAATAAATCTCCCCACACCCTTATCTCTTTTCTATCCGTGTTCGATCGACAGCGAAAAGCGCAACACCCCGATTACCTACATCATCCTCAAAGCTTTGGCTTGGCGGGTAGAGATCATCCTTCTGGAGAGGAGCACACCTCTCCAAGTGGCGGGCTCTCGGGCAAACCTTTGTCACCTTTACGTCCTGCAACGTTCTTTATTTGGGTGATTCCGAAGGGTTCTTCCGCCCATCACAGCGTCTGACCACTCCCCGATATCGACTTCATCCGGTCCGGTTGACGACACACACATAACTCGAGCACAACAATAGGAGGGAGGATACGTTTACAAGGGTGGACTAAATAAATCCATGAGACCGAGGGCCTTCCGCCGCCACTTCATACACGACCACCGCCGCCAGATGACCGACAGCTAGCCTGCGCGCGCAATGGGGTCCCTTGGCGGAATCTCCCCCGGAGGGACAATCGCCGTACGCTCTTCCTCTTTGTCTGACAAGCGCCTTCGCCTGCTAACAGTAGTTTCTTACAGATCGGAATCATCGTCGGTCTTTTATCCACCAGTGTCCAGAGTCTGGGCCTGACCCTACAACGAAAATCGCACATCCTCGAAGACGAAAAGGGACCTCATGAAGTACGAAGGCCGCCTTACCGGAGGGGTAGATGGCAGTTGGGCATGGGCATGTTCATCGCCGCCAATCTGCTCGGCAGCTCCGTCCAGATTTCGACCCTCCCACTCCCCGTCCTTTCGACACTACAGGCCTCCGGGCTCGTTTTTAACTCGATATGCGCTACCTTGATACTCAGCGAGCCCTTCACGCGATGGTCGCTCTGGGGCACTTTGCTGGTTTGCGCCGGCGCCGTGCTCATTGCAATCTTTGGCGCCATTCCCGCGCCCGCGCATAACCTCCAGGAGCTCCTCGAGCTGCTCGGCCGCCGGCCTTTCATAGTGTGGATGATCATGCAGGCCCTGCTTGTGCTATCGATCGCCATCACCGTCGACTGCCTGGACGCCTTCACAAGCATGTCGCTCAACTCGCGGTTCCGCTTCGCCCGCGGTCTCGCCTACGGGTGCATAAGCGGCATCCTATCCGCGCACTCTTTGCTGGTCGCCAAGTCTGCCGTCGAACTCATCATTAAGACGATCGCCGACGGCAACAACCAGTTCGTTCACTGGCAGGCTTGGGTCCTTGTTCTGGCACTGATCACGCTCGCCCTGAGCCAGCTGTACTACCTCCACCGCGGTTTAAAGCTTGTCTCGACCTCGGTCTTGTATCCCTTGGTCTTTTGCATATATAACATCATTGCGATCCTGGATGGCTTGATTTACTTCAAGCAGACCGATCTCATCAGCCCTCTACGTGGCGGTCTTATCGCACTCGGAACCGTCATCCTATTATCAGGTGTGTTGGCGCTGTCATGGCGCCTCAGCGACGAACAACATACTCCCGGCGTTGGTCAGTCATCCCTGGCTCCCGGCCTGGGTCTCGTGGAGGACACGGAAGATGAGGAGGAGTCTCTTCTGGGCGGCGACGACTTGTACAGCCTCCACGAGGAAGACGACCCCCTCCCCGCATCGTACTCAACGTTCAACGTGACAAGCGGCGAAACCACACCGCTCACGCCCAACCGCAAGAAGACGGGCAGGAGGTGGCAAGAACGCGCCGAGATCTGGGGCGAGCTAGAGGACCGCGATACACCCAGCACGCCCATCTCCCGCAGACGCTCCAGCACGATGCCGGACATCACAGAATCCACCTCCCTCCTCGGCCACCGCCGCACCAGCGGCACACAACTGCAGGCACCGTCGTCAGCAGAGGCAGGCCCAAGCGGCGAGTCCCCCTCGCAACGCAGACCCGTGGGGCGAAGAAGGCGTAAGTCCACGGGGTTCCCCGGTTTCACAGCCCGCCGCCGCCGCAAGAGCCAGAGCAGCCAGCCCTCACTGCAGGACGCGCTGGGCGGTTTCTGGAAGCTCAAGTGGTGGCGGTCCGGTAGGGAGGGGGAAGATGGCGCACCTCCGTCGAGCAGCGGGAGCGGCAGTATATGGCCCGTGTTCCGTGACGATCCACGGCCCGACAGCAGTAGCAGCGCGCAAGGGGGACGGAGAGAAAATGGCGGCGGCGACGATGAGCCTCAGCATGATAGGGGGCGGGGCGGCCGGCCGAGTGATGATTCGCCTGTATGAGTATTGGAAGGCATATCCGTCACGTCCTGACTTGTTTCTACTACTTTTTTCTTTTTCCCTTTTCTTCCATCTCATCATACGTGGGTGTATGTGTGTGTGTCATTATTCCTTCCCGCAATTTTGGTCTTCTGCCCTCACTCCCATGTTTATGTGTAAATCCCTGATGGAGGGCGGAGGAAGTACCGGGAAGGGGGGTTATCAGCGAGTTTTTTACTCTAGATATATATATATATATGTGGGCATTGACATCGGGTAGAATAGCTAAACCCGGAACTTTTCGAAAGTATGATATTTTATTTGCTCCATCGTCCGTTCGTATTGAGTACGTGCAATTCGCAGGAAGTCATCAGGTATGATGTCCAGTTAAGTTTGAATTAGCTTGGTGTTTACTCATGCCGGGATTTCGTTGACAAGACACAAGATGACCACGTCTCGGGGTCCTCTCAGAATCGAACTTTACTCGTCGTTACGTCGTCACCTAATTGGAGAGATTACCTGCGTAGGTTTTAGCATTTATAAATGTTTGTCGGCAACGACGGCAATTAGCTGGTTTCGGGGAGATTCTTTTTAGACTTTTGAGTAACCGGTCACAAATACCATTGTCTCTTTTCCTTTTGGATAACCCCCCCAGCAGCAATTAATTCTAGCGGTTACAATCGACCTGCGGCTCTCAAGCTCGTCGGTCGTGGACGAGGGGAGGGGAAAGCGGGAGAGCGACGCGGCGTTACGGAAAGTTTATCTCAGCAATGACCTGGGGGGGCGTACACTGACTCGCCACTTCAATGAGACCGTGGTTTGCTCATATATTTCGCACATGGGGGGACATTTTGGGTATGGACTGTGTGATGGGGACGTGAATGTGTCGCTCAAGAAGTAGCGACTTTATCATCCCGGGTTTCCTTTTAATGACGACGGATGAGATGATACAGGTTTACGGTGTGTAAACCCTTCCGAACTCCCATTTCTTGCTTTATTTTCCTTTGATTCTTCATTTCTTCATTCCGTGACAGCGCCTGGTTCATAAATAGAGTCTATATTCGGTAGAATGCTGGAGCAGTAGTAGAAGGCAGTGGCGGTCTGGGGCACCAGGATGTCTTCGGCCTCCCTTCCACTGGCCGCCCGCCAAATATAGATGAGAGCAAGAACGCGTACAACAACATGTCGATGCATCAATAAAAGTAGTACTTGCCACCGGTCTAGCCCCGCTCATCGACGTCGGCAGCCTGCCATCTCATCTAATCGAGCAACGCTTGTGCTCGTCCATCTCCCGTTTGTATGCCGGACCCACGCCGAAGATCGTGTTGTTTATCTCACGCACCAATTTACGGGGGAAGTTATCCTTCATTGGTGGATGTCCGTCTGTCAGACTCCGCTAAAGTTTACTTGGCGTGTTTAACCTATACGTGAAGCATTCTATTTCAAGCACTGGCATACACTGCCAGATGATGAATGGTGATCGTTTCCCCTTGGATTGTTCACGTAGAACTGGTGAGAATTGGGCTGGGGGACCATTTGCAGATAGATTAAATTGGCATCTTGGCCATCTACGTCTTTCACAACGCATCGTTACAGATAGACGTGCTGTAGCATATCCTAAATTAAGGATTGAAATTGGGTATATATGCAGAGCTTCTTCCAAAGCCTACCTAGATTGTCGAACGGTAGATCATCTTGAAGACGCACCGCCACCTCACAAGCCTCCGAGCATACTTGTACAGTCACAATCACGCCGCATCAAGGAGAACATGGTAAAGGTTTAGTAACATGATTGCTTTCAGGGCACTTCCCCCCTTTCACAGAACAGAGATAAATCGACACTAAAAATCTATATATGATGTCCAGACACAAAAAGAGGTGTTAGGACAGGTAAGTAAGAGAGTGGAAGAGAGACAAGTGGCCGTCACAGAAACAGACTTTCGCTCGAATATCTCCGTCCAGGGGTCGTTCCATGCGTCAAGATTCGTAGCCATGTCATTCGACGGAGTGACAGGCTCAAAAGATGCAAAAAAAGGGGGAGAAGGTTTGATTTCTGCCTGTCCACTTTGTCTAAGGGTGTGGTTGAACATTAAGGCCAGTCAATGGCCGCGGGCGGAGAGGTAAGGCGACTTCAATCTTTTCCAACCGAAAAAAAAGGAAAGGGGGCGCATAACGCTTCCCAGTTTCCACAGCAAAAAAAGGGTCGTCCAAGGAGAGACAAGAAAAACTGGTTGCCGTTCATTTGACCTGCGGCTGTGCCCCGAAAGAAAAAGCAGGGGTGAAGCATGCCTGCCTTAGAATCCACGGTATCCCGACTTCTCATCGATGTGGCGATAGCGCTCGCGCTCCTTGCGGTCCTTGACGAGCATGGCAGTGCAAACGACAAGGAGGGCGTCGATACCGACCATGCCAAATACGGCGGTGAAGATGTTGTCGACGAAGACGTTGGCGAAACTCGTAATCGGGGCGGCACACCCACGCTGGAGAGCAGCAGCAGCGGGGCTGGGGCACTGAATGTCGGTGATGAAGGCGGGAGAGGTGCTGTTAAAGTATCCACAGCATTTGAACTGACAGAAATGTTAGTCGATCCCTGCTATTCAAACCAATCAATGTTGAGGAATTGGCTTACGGCAGTTTGCATGAGCTCCTGGACATTGGGGTCGGCAGTAACCCAGAGCTTGCCAAAGTCTGCCTTGGTAGTAAGGGTCAAAACCCAGAGGTAGGTACCAAGAACCAGACTGAAGAGGCCGCAGAAAGTGACGAGGTATCCCGAGACCTTGAGCCAGCCACGGGTTGGGGTGATGATGCCCGGAATGGTGAAGAGAAAGGTGACGAAGATGAAGACGGCGTTAACGATACCAGCTGGCCGCAGTTAGCATTTCTTGGCCCCGTTTGAAGCATTTTCATGGTCCTCCAGTGCATGCATACCGGTCAGAGGGAATTGCTTCGTGAGCAACTTGATGGCGGCATCCACCCCTTCCTTCGGTGCCTCATTGATGGCGTTCTGGTTGATAAGAGAATATCCGATAAGAATGGCTCCAGTGATTAAGAAGACCATATCAGCGGCCACGTAGGCCAGAAGCACCTTGTTCGCCATGGCTGTTTGGTGTTGTGAATCTGAGCAGCCACGAGGTCCGATCGAAGAACGTCGCCCGGAGAGACTTGGCTGCCCGTCGACTGATCGTCAGATAATCCTCCTCTTGCTAGTTTCCACCTCTTGTGAACAAATTTGCAATTTGCGGATTTTAGATGTTGTGACGACCGGCGTCTTTTTCTTTTTTCGATTTATACGAGAGTTTAGAGATCGGTTTGCGGTTGCGGTATCGTCGGCTTCGCTGTCGTGTGGTAAGGACTGTCTTCGACCAGCAAAAATAAAAGGAACTTCCACCACCCAGCGGGGGACGATCGCAACTACGAAAAGGGAGAAAGAGGGAAGGGCGACGAAGGTATCGTCAACGAAGAGAATAATGTCGATTTGAACGATTGTACAGAAGAACGTGAAATTGGCCAAAGTCGCACTCCAAAAGAAACCCGGCTACGCGGAGAATTGGAAGAAGGAGAGGAGTCAAAGTCGCAACAGCAAGTCTGAGAAGGTGTGGAACGGGAGAGCGGCCGGTATCCACAATACTGTCTCGGACGAGACTTGAACTGGCCAGGGAGACCCCAGGGAGAATCGCCAGATTCAATCAACTGTGGGGGGTGACCAGAATGGAGAAGGAAATGTCAAGAGAGCGTGGGTGGGAGAAACTGTGAGTGGTCGGCAGAGGGAAGCGGCTTGGTGTGCTGGGGCTCTTGGCCGCTGGGTTACGTATTGGGGCGCGGTGGCAGGACCGCCCCTCTCTCGTCACTTTTGATGGCTCGAACAGCAGATGGGAGAATGAGAAACGCACCAGAAACAGCTGGGACCGGCCCATACAATGTCACACTGTGTCTCAGACGGCTTGAAAGAAAGAGTAAATGGTGCGGTTAGTGTCGTGGACGCAACATTAAGACGGTGCGAAAAGGCCGAGCTTAGAGGAGACGACGGACTGTGAGAGGAGGAAAAGGGAGGTCGTGATGATTCGAGTTCCCTGACGAGACGTGTTTCAGGATCGAGGGGCGACCTCATGCAGGCGGCAGGCACGCACCAAAACCAGAGCCGTGCAGCCACAACGCCGGGGTTTGTGGCCAATCACAGTATCCAAAACGTCCAAGAGTCGCCTGATTGGGGTGGTCGTCCGTTTTGGCCCAGTTGGTTAGGGCTGCCGCTGGCTGGCTTGGTCCCTGCCAGTCCTCACAGGGGCACGGTTGTTCCCTTCCTACCTACGTACGATTAGGGCAGTGCAAGTCATTTTGAACCGAAAATCCATGGGCTAGAGACTTCTCTTTTCTTCACTTGACGTGGTGATCCATGGCACATTGCCAGCCACACTGGCGCTTACTTCAGCGGCCAACCATCGTAACAACTTTCTCCTCCCCTAGCCTTACATCATCGTAAGGACAAAAAAAGGAACAGGAGACGAGGTCAGGGTTGTGCAGGATCCGGCAAAGCCTCCCTAGAACCCTTAGCACGTCGAATAAGCACTCCGGCACTTGAAGAGGGGGAAGTACGCGGCACATCGCGAGACATGTCGCAACAGCTTTCTACATACCACTCTGCCATATAGTATTAGTCCACGCGGCTAGACAATCAAAATCAATTTGTTCCTCATTTTACATTCCACGGCTGTCTCCGATCTTTACGTGCCCGGCTGTTCCACTCGTATGAATTTGCGTCGGAGCAACTCTACAAATCGAGTTCAAGTCTTGATTGCAAGGCCCCTCATCGCACGATCTAGGCCAACGGTGTCGCCTTCTTCAGCCGCGGTGGGACGACGTTGTTGCCGCCTGCGCCCAATTTCCAAGTTCTTGGCTCCCCTGTGAACCATATTGGGCTTCCCCACTACCTTACTCTCATCAAGGTGTGCCGGAGATAGGCAACTAAAAAAGGTACTGTGGACTACGGTGGTGTTCGGGAAGCTGCCAGGGATCAGGGCGCTAGAACCAATTTCAGGCCCTCCTTTTTTTTCTTTCTTTTTTCCTCCCCTGCAGCCAATGTTCAGTTCTCTTCCCTCCCTCTGCTGCCCACCGTGCAGCCGAGGATCTTGAAGTGAGGCTCTGGTGAGATCTTTGACATTTCATTGCCTACTTGTTGGGACGCCCAGACCTGCCAGCTAATCACTCGCCTCTGCTCCGTGCTACGAAGTACCACAATTGTCATTCACGCCTGCTCTTCCTTCTAAGCTGATGCAGCGCCCAGTGGCATAAGATGCACAGCCTTTGCTAACGCCAGAAGGCCCTGCATCTGTTTCGCCCGTCTTGCGTTCCCGCTTCCGTTCCGCGTGTCCCCGTTTTGTTCGACAATGAGACCATAGGAAACGAGCGCGCGAGCCTCAAGGAAGACCCAACTCCCCGGGAAGCCATAGCCGTGTCTGCGTAGGGCTCGCTCCTTTGCCAGCCCAGCAATTTTAGTCCGTGTTTGTTCCAGATATTCCCATCTTGTGTCTCGCTACCGAGATCAACGCCAGATTGATTGATTGCTGAAGTGGTATCGTGTTTCGATGCATCTTTTTGCTAGATCTTATTGGAACCGCCCGTCTCGCCTCGCACAGATACCAATCGGTGAATTCCATTAGCCATCATCCCCAAGTTTTCGTGTCTGTGAAGCACTGTACTGAGTAGGAGATATTATTCTCGTTCGTTTGGTAACAGACATGTCTTTCTCATTCAAGATGACCTGGTCTATGATCGAATGTGTGTTGGATGGATGTTGTTGGCCTTAGTTGGTCATGTGCAAAAGCCACAAACGGTGTGCCCCTCAGGCCCCACCGCCACTTTCACACGATGGGAAAAAAGATAGGGCCCTAACCAGGGATCGAACCTGGGACCTCTCCCAGACTGAATCGTCGAATAGACAACCCTAAGGGAGAATCATACCGCTAGACCATCAGGGCAGATTGGATTATTGCAGGCTTCCTGCTCGTTGGAAGATGGAGGCGCAAAATTCATTCAAGCGGGTTTGATGTGGGCGATGGACCACACTACTAAGGGCAAAGAATGTGACAGGGATGTCCCAAGAAGACGGATATCGGGATGTACGGAGTGCTTTGAGACATTTACAACGGTTCCGACGGAGAGACCAACAACTGCTAGCTGCCGCGCCACGTCTGTCATGTCGGAGGTTTGACGGCCATCTCCGCAGTACTATCGACGTTCATGGCCATTCTTAGTTCCCTGTCCCAGTGGTTTCCATCGGGTTATCAATTCCAACCGCCTAAAAATAATTCTAACAATAAGGCAAGGAAGTATCAGAGCAACTTCCAGCGATGAATTTCTGGCCTGCCTTCGGCCTGTCGGCCTCGAAAAGCTGGGCCGAAGGGTCCAATATGTGGTCGATGATGTGAACGACACCCTTGCCTTCGTCAGCACCTCCGCAGTGATAAGTACAGGTGATGGGGTGGCAGCATACCTTGGTAACTTCTAGGTTTCCTTCAGTTATAGTCGCCACGTCATTGAGCCATATCTTGCCGCCCTTGGCCTGTGTTCCGACGTACAGATATGATCCCGTCTGGATCCGCGTGGTTGTTTCGTTGAAGACGGTCGTGTTCAGGCGCGTGTTAGGGACGTAATGGTGCTGCATCAGGTTGCCCAGCCACCACTTTCCCTTGGGCGTTGGCGTGAAGGTGTTGAAATACTGACCGGTGTGTTTGGAGAAGGCTTCGTTCGATGGGGCGAAGAAGGTGAAATCCCATGTAGGAGTTGTATCGAAGGCTTCTACGAAACCTGGATTGCTGCTTAGCTTACTCTGTTTCTCCCCCCTCGTAAAAGATTGCCTGGATATTATCTTACCAGCGGATCCGCTTAAGACCTTGGCTAGTTCCGTTAAGTCGCTCCTGGAGTTGACGAAGTCTAAGAGAGTTGTAACCCCTGAGGCCTTTGGGGGTGCATATGTGCCATCGGGTTTTGGCGCATACGAAAGTGGTCTTCGTTCGAACCCATCCGCATAACATACGGACCCAAGGACAAGCACGCTCAAGAAACCACAGACCTTCATGTTGAACGGACGGAAGATTCAAGGTGAATTTATTAGGCTTGCGGAAACTTGTAACAGAAATGTCTCCTGTTTATGGTACTGCCTAGGTTGAGCTTGAGTCCGAGATGTCAAAATTGTGAACTTCCTCCCATCTGCTATACCATGCAACATCTTGAGATCTAGAAATACTCAGAGACCAATGACCCCGGGGATATCTCCGGCGCGGCGCCGAGCCCCGACAGTCATCCCGGAGATGCGGGTGCATACTTACAAGACCTTTCCCCGCAGATCATCGGCAAATCGGGACAGCCCGCATCGGAGGATTCTTCGGGCGGTTTTCAGTGTTGTTGACTCCGTTGAGGTCAAGGTCGTTTATGTTCTTACGCTTGTGAGCCATCATATGGAGATAATTACAAGGTGGCCTGCACACAATGCTTTGGAACTGCGCTCGCCTCGCCCACCTTCAACGTTACCATCGACGCCATGCATACTACACTTTGGTTCCTCCTCGCTGCTACTGCTGCTGCTCCTATACTCGGGGCTGACAGCGGTAAGGCGTCTAAGCCTCAGATGGGTACGCTGTAAACACCAAGTATCGAATAATCGGGTGTTTGACTTACATTCGTAACAGGCTGGAACTCGTGGAACACATTCAAGGCCAATATAAATCAGTCCATCATCGAGGCCACTGCAAAGGCCTTAGTCGACAAGGGCCTGGCTAAAGCAGGATACAACTACCTCATCATGGACGAAGGCTGGCAAGCCGATGAACGCGCCGCAGATGGTTCACAATTATTCAACGCCACACGGTTTCCGTCAGGAGGCTCAGCCATCGTCGACCACGTTCACAATATGGGTCTCAAGATTGGGATTTATAGGTATATCAACCTTTGCCGAATAACAAATGTCTGAAAACAACCCGCCACTCACACTTCACAGTGACTCGGGTGTATTCACCTGCGGCTTCGCCCCAGGGAGCTGGGGCTACGAAGAGCTCGACGCCCAGACGTACGCTGACTGGGGCATTGACTACCTCAAATACGACAACTGCGGAGGCTTCCACGCCGGAACGCACACCCAACAGGAACGCTTCCAGATCATGTCCAACGCACTGCGTAACACCGGCCGCGACATCTTCTATTCGCTGTGCCAGTGGGGACACCAGTTCCCCTGGTATTGGGCGGACCAAGTCGGCGCTGCGTCGTATCGCATGTCAGGTGACATTCACGCCGCATTTGCAAAGGACAAATCCGGTGTGTGCAATACGGCATACTGTCTCAACACGGGGTATGCTGGTGTCAGCGTGTTGACAATGATCCGCAAGATGAGGGAGATTTCTCCATTTCAGCACAGGAGCCGGGCGTCATGGGCGGATATGGATATGCTCGAGGTCGGGGTCGGGAACGTGATGACAGAGTTTGAGGAGCAGACGCACTTCTCCTTCTGGGCTGCTTTAAAGTCCCCTCTCATTATCGGCGCTGACGTCGCCACGATCCGCGAGTCGTCGCTCAAAGTTCTCCTCAACGAGGAAGTGATTGCCATCAACCAGGATGAGAGGGGTGAAGCGGTGAGGTATCTCCCCGGTCTATCGACGGAGGGCAAGGTACAGGTCTGGGCGGGGCCGGTTGAGACTGGGAAATATCGGCATGTTGTCCTGGCGCTGAACTACGGGAACGAGACAGTGGACATTGAAGTGCCGTGGAATGAAGTCGGGATTGAGGAAGGGTGCAGTAGTGGGATTAAAGTGAGGGACGTGTGGGCCGTTAAGGATCTGGGGCCTGTGGAAGAAAGGATTGTGTTACAGGGAGTGGAAGTTGGCCAGACCAAAGTACTTCTACTATCATGTTAATTTGGAAAAGCCATCAGAATTGTTGCTACTTGGGGTGTCGTTAACCCAAATCAAAGCCTCAAAGGTAGTCTAGCTAAGCAGAACCTCACTTTTTAATCAGAACGATTAAATGACATTCGAAGCCCTTTATAATTGACCATCTGTCAGTGTCTGAACAACAATATCTCTCACCTTCTTGATTACTGCTTGTTAAAACAAGACTATTTTTTTTGAGTAGAAAGCCGCTCTTGGCCAATAAAATACATATGGATGTTGACGGAAGCCTTGTGACAAAGAGTCATATCAGAAATAAGGCTCATTTATTGAAAAGACCTCGTGTTGTCCCGTAAGTGAAGGTCTAGACTGCATGAAACCCCTGCCAAGTCACCGTCCACCCAGCACAGTAATCACACGCGCAATCTCCCAGGCCACAAAAGAACCAAAAGTTCAATTTGTTTCATCAAGAAACATTCGCCTATCACATTACCCAAATTTACCAAAATGGTCCAATGTAAAAACCCCACGTACGGGGTAGCAATGTGGCGTACGGGCGTGTATAACCTCTCCGCCGGAGCCGGAGCAAGTACCGGGCCAGTCTCCGGAACTGTCCATGTCAACCACTTCACCCTTACCTACGACTATCCTAATGGCTCCGCGGCCCGAAAGCTTCACCGCGGGCAAAAGTGAATCGACACCAGCTCTTGCTTAGCAGAATAAGGCAGGTTGCATCTGAGAGGGCTTTTACCATGACTAAGTTTCTTCGGTTAAAGTGGTACTTGAATGGCTTACCCCGAAGCATGCAAGCCTTGTAAAGCCGTAGTTTTTCTTATTGTCAAACAATAGCTATTCCATAGTACGAAGCACGGAATTTTGACACGGCCATCTGCAGCCTCGGCATCCAGTAAGGCGAGAACAGCTAAGATTATGGCACCCCAAGCCGTGGAAGTCAACGTGGAGCCCGTCATCAACGGTGCCAAGAGAGGCTGTGATGGACTCGGATTGATAGAAAGTGGTCATCCTCTTGTAAGTTCCTCGAAAATATGATTCCACTAGAGTCTGGGTTTTTCTGATAAGAAACAACCAGAAGCGCAGCAGGGTCCCCAACGAGCAGGCAGAGAAGACAGCTGGACTGACCACACCGCCGTTGTCATCGGCCGAGACGGATCGGAGCGGAAAGACTTTGGCATCATTTCTATTTTCACCCAAAGCTATAGCAAAGATCTGGGGTGTAGCTCAGCAGAGCTTTTCTTCTGTAAGGGTCTCCCAACACCCCTAACACGCAAGAGATAATTGCTGACAACCCCCGTTCTGCAAGGCATCACCGCCAACTCTCTTCCCAGAATATACCAAACCCGGCGGAACAAAGTACGTCTACCGCGAACTGGACTTCTGGACTTCGGGATTCTTCCCGGGATGTCTGTACCTACTCCTCGAGCGGCGACGCAAGTATGTCCACCACATGAGACACCTGGGCTGGTCCGCTGAAGAAGAACCGCACCAACTACACTTGGAGTAAGTCAGCTCCCTACGAGTGAACTGGTTCATTTAACTGACGAAGATCTAAAGGTTCGCCTGTAAATGGTGGACGGAGACACTTCACCCCAATGCGCAGCTCACGACAACACACGACCTTGGCTTTATGATCTTCCCCTGGGCGCGGCCGGCTTGGGAGCTGAACCATGACCGACGAGCGTACCATACCGCCATTACAGCTGCGAAATCGCTATACAGCCGGTACGATGCGACAGTCGGTTCCATTCGATCCTGGGACGTCTGCGTAACGAAGCGATACAAGTTCTTGGATCCCAGCGCGGATTTCCTCGTAATCATCGTTAGTCCACTTTCCCAAAGTTCATTCTCTTGAGAACGCCCACTGAGTCCATCACAGGATAATATGATGAATCTCGACGTGATCTTCTGGGCTGCCGCGCAACTCGGCGACGAACACATGTATAATGCTGCCGTCAAGCACGCCGAGACGACAAGAACGCACCACATCCGCGCGGATTTCTCAACTTTCCACGTCGTCAACTTTGAACAAAGCACCGGAGTACCCAAAGAGAAGATAACGAATCAGGGTTACTCCGATACGTCGTCCTGGTCTCGCGGCCAAGCCTGGGCCATCGCCGGTTTCGCGCAGACGTACGGCTGGACCCGCGACGTGTCGTTCCTCGAGACGGCGATATCCTGTGCCGATTTCTTTATCGCGCAGACTCCATCCAGTGGTATCCCCCCTTGGGACTTTGCCGCCCCGAAAAGCGAGCTCCAGCCTCCAGACGTCAGCGCCGCGATGATCTCGGCGTATGGTATGCTGCTGATTCACGAGGCTCTGGTATCCCTCGGAAGAGAATCGACATACCTGAAACACGCCTTGGGATTGATACACGCCGCTTGCAACACTCATATGAATGGCGGGGGAAGTTACGTCAAGTCTCATAGGACGATCGACACAGTTGAGCATGGTACGGTAGATGAAGAGATTGGTTGGGAGGTGGACATGGAAGGTGAGCCCGAAACGATCTTGAATGGCGCAACTATCAACAACTACGAGTTCGCGCCACGGAGGTGGGCGAATCACGGACTAGTATACGCCGACTACTTCTTCCTGCTAGTAGGAAACAAGCTGCTAGAGATGGGGGTCCCGGAGCTATTCGAAAGCAGCGTCTGAGTAAACAACTGTCGCTGCAATAGATGGTATACGCAATATATGTGCTTTGTAACCACATCATAACGAGATCAATGTATTATGGTGATCAACCGTGTGTAAAGCTATATATACGCTGCTACTTCTGCTCTTCCAGTTCCTCAATCCTTTTCAGTAGTCCCTGAAAACATGCTAATTCGCTGATTTGGCAGGAAGGAATAGTCCAGGTAAGCATTTAGATCCTCGAAGTCATCAGCCGGATGTGCCCCAACCGAATGCCCATTAGGAACACCAACACCATACTGATCATAGCCACTTAAATGTGAAGGTTGTGCTGCTCCCGGTACCGGTGATGGCATGGCAGTCGGACCTCTGCTAGAGTTCTGGGCATGGAATGCTAACGGGAGTGGCGGAAACGCCAAAGATATGCTATCTGGCGAAGCTTCTTGTTCAAAATCCATACCAGGGGCACCAAAGTTTCCCATAAACGCAGCGTCCTGCCCTACCGGTCGGCTCGGAGAAAACCCGCTACTCTGATGGTTTGGGCCGGGGCGAGCTACACCAGGAGTTTTGGGATTGTTCTCAGTAATGTGAGAAGGTGCCTCAGGGGGATCATCGGAGTATACCGCCTGCCTGATATCTAGCATCCCGTGACCTTGTTGGCGTGCCTGGACAAGCCTACGGGCGAACTTTGAAGCCAGATTTTCAGACGGATCGCCCGGTCCATTCCACCTCTTGGCGATACTCCTCAGGCTGCCCACCAATGAGTCAAAACCGCCTGGAAGAGTCACGCTATAGTATAGTGAATGAGCCAAGAACATTCGTCCGCATATAAAGAGGCAGAAGGCAAACTGCGGGCTGACTACGTGTTGTGAGTCTTGTAGAAACTTCTCGGCTATTATGGCGACCTCCGTTGCCGCTGCGAGACACGTCTCTGAACTTGAGCCAGACGGTAGCCGTATACGGGTGTTTTGCCATTCAGGGAGCGGGTAAGCGATACCCTGGTGAAGTAGAACCACCGAGGTGTTGTGTGTGATGTGTGCCAATGTGAGGTTAGGATCCATGATTCCGTCACTGTTGAGAACGCAGGCCTCTCGCCATTGCTCAGGCAAGAATATTTTCCATCTGAACAAAGTCAGTAACCCAGATTAGGACATGGCTACAAGAGACTCACTGTACTAAACGCAGATCAAGCTGCTTAAACTTCATCAGCCAGACTTGGATTTCGTGTGGGTTTGAGACGTCGATTGCCTGTTGAAGAAAAAAGGAGGTGACCAGGCTAAGACTTTCGGTAGCTTCGATACAATATGCGAAGCCTCCCAGTGAATCTTGCGCAGCTTCCTCCGGCCGAGCGGCAGGGAGCGCTCCGCTGGAGCCACTAGACTGATCGGCGACGCCAAAATATGGCGTCGGGGTCTGGAGGGGCTCCCCAGCTTCCCAGAGAGCGCCTTCGCACGGGAGTCGCCTTTTGACGTCTGCACTGGTCAATGAAAAGTTCCATCCGGTGGCGATGCTGCAAAATCGGTCCATCAGGAATATATTCCAGAATACTCTGCGTCTCTCTTCTCTTTCACTCCAAGACCGACAAGGCCGTAGGAACTCCATCCTCTTGATGAGATGTTTCGAAGCTGGGGGCTGGTCTTCGTCTTCAACACTAAGTTGTAGTTGCTCAACGGTTCGGGTCATGCTACCCACAATGGACTGGAGTAATGTTAGCCCAGTTCTGGCAGTATCAACTCGTTTGAATTTACCCATGCAGAAGGACCTCTTCCACTACCAATCTGGATACTATCATTAGAATGACTTCCCAGGATGCGAAAAGGTTGCTTGGGCCTACCGTGTCAAACGCGATGATGGTTAACGCTTGTAAGTTCTCCACCGAGAAAGAGTCCATGCTGTTAAGAATGACGAACTGACGGCATCGTTTGGCATACCGGGTCTTTTCTTCGGGTGACCCAAGGCGAGAGTCATCTGAAAATCTTGCGCAAAGCGATATCACGGCGTGGAATATTGTGCTAAGCTTCGATCGCTGTTCGGGGTCCTGCATACGTTCTCTAAACTGACGAACATGAAGCATTGGGATCCAAGGATGTATGTTGGAAAAATAGATACCAACAAGAGTGTCCATGAGGTCAGCGGGAGGAAGCAAAGTATCGTCAGAGACGGAATCAAAGTTGATGATGGCCGGCGCAGCTTTACCGGGTGGTGCCTTCTGTATGATGGTGTTCATAGGCCGACAAGCAGCTAGAGTAGCCATTGCCGACTGTCCACCCTCGGCGAGCGTCGCAAGCGTATTTTTCAATGAAGCAGTTGTCTCATTAAGTGATGGGTTTGAAGACCCATCATGACTTGGGCTCGGGGCATTGGGATTTACGGTGGCGCTCAAAGTATTGAAGACCTGTTGCCACAAAACCCCCTGACCAAGGAACATGTTCTCAAGAGTGGCTGTTACAATGTGTCAATCGATGGGGTGTACACACGGCGCTGCAGAAAAGACGAGGAGGAAACACCCACCAACTCGCTGACTTAAATTTTCGACGGCCCCCGTACGTAGTCCCGGTTTTGATCTCTTGTCATCATACACGCACTCAACACCTGAACAATGAGGTCAGGGGCAGTTCTCTACATCGTCGGAGACACAAACTAACTGTATCGTACGCAAGCCGAGCATGGCTGCCGCCTGGAACAGCGCGCTTTCTTCTTGCGACATGATTGGCAGCTTGATTCCGTTGTCAGTCACTTGAGGATTTACAGGGCCATTAGACAAGGGCTGCTCACGCTGGTCCGTCCGTATCGCAACCGTTCGCATTCGAGTTTGTACGTCTCTTTTTGGACCGAGGTTGGCCTTCTTCTTCACCGCCAGAGCGGCCGGACAGGAGCTCATCATCTTCTTCGAACGCCATAGGACCTGAAGATTCGAAGTTGGCAAGGCGATTGAGCGCAACAACAAGAGTATGTAGGAGTGAACATTTTGAACGTGAACGCAACCGGGCCTAACTATCCAAATTGAGAAAAAGATGCCGGCGCTCCAAACCAGTTGGAGATCGATGTCGGGGTAAAGAGACTAGACGTGGAGAAAATGTGCGGGGAACAGAAGCTTGTCATAAAAACATGCCACTGTTGGACGGCTAAAGCCAAGCCACAGCGGGCACAATCCTTGCGTTGTGGCCTGTGATCTCCGCTGTAACCTCCAACTAGGCTTCTAGAGCACCCAACTGTAAGAGTTGAACCATCGCCAAAGAGACACTAGCGTTGCAATAATGTAAATGAGTCGCCGAGGGAGTCCTATGGATGGCCTTGGGTTACTGTCAAGTTGAACAGAGACCACTGAAGACACCACCTTGTATTCCCCGCATTTCCCTAGACCCTTGGAAGTTTGGTTCAACTTCTGCACGGCATCAACCGCTCCAATCCAACACGGTGAGAAAAGCAACATCAATGCTTGGGGTGGGAGAGAAAATTCGTCAATCTCGAATCGGGGGGGATAGGCAATTTAGCAGTCACCTGAGTTTTTCCGTCTCTTCCCCTCCGAGTTCAGCTAGCAACTACAAGGGACGGCAACCACCAGCAAAGACCCACCCACTTTCCACAACCACCCACTTTCCGGGCTCGGGGGAGTTGCCGGAGGCAGCCCCGAGGAGGCATCTCGCTCGCATCCACCCCGGCCATCACCATCACCCCATGCTTCTAGCTCGAGGGGCTTCTCTGACTCCGCCATTCCGGACCATCGAAAGTTGGGGTCCCCAGAAAGCCAACGTCGTGTGCATATAGGAAGCTTATGAACCAGGTAAATCCGGGGTACAGTAGAGAATGAGACACCAGGCCACCTTAAGCTCAATCACGACAAGTCCACAGCCATGAAGCAAGACACAACTCAGCACCAAAGCGACAGTGCCATTGCGCCTGTTCCTTCCGAAGTCCCTGCTGAGCACCAGGAGGGGGATAAAGAAGTAAGTCTCGCGTTTCGTGGAAACGCCTAAACCTGCTCACACAACCACAGACAAACAAATGGGCAGGCACAATATCAACCTACATCGATGAGAAGACCAACAAAGAGCTATTTTGGATTGTAAACCGCCGAATTCTTGCCTGCATGCTAGGCACCTATTTCTGTCAGTCTCTTGACAAGGGTACTTTGGGGTTTGCCTCTGTCATGAACATCAGAGAAGACGCCAACCTTGTAGGCCAACAGTTCAGGTGAGTTGTATCGATGCCTTTATCACCAAAGAATCAATAATTAACTTGTTTTAACGCGCTCTTGGGACCATTTTGTACGCCGGGGTTCTTGTTGGAGAATATCCGACCAATTTGCTGTTACAGAAGCTTCCTGTTGCGAAGTATCTGGCCGCCAATGTTTTTTGCTGGGGTGTTGTCATTGCCTGCTCCGCTGCCGCAAAGAACTTTGCCAGTCTAATGGTGGTTCGATTCCTTCTCGGCGTTTTTGAGTCTTGCGTCCAGCCGGCCTTTATCATTATGTATATGCCCTCCCTTACTTCCTCTGAGGTTGAACCATTGACTAACACAACTGTAGGACTGCTATGTGGGTACGTAGGCTTCGCAACTCTAACATTCCCGTTTCAACCCTTCTAACTTGTTCTTAACAGTACACCAAGAGAGAGCAGTCTATTTTGACTTCCCTTTGGTACTGTATGACTGGAGTTCAGTTGATGGTAAGTCTAACCCGTCAGAGCCAGGTCCAACTACGAAGTTGTCTGACAAAAAACAGGTCGGTGGCATCATTGCCTGGGGTGCTTCCCACTATGTCGGTCACGACATAAAGTCATGGCAGCTTCTTTTCCTCGTGTTGGGAGCCGCTACTTGTGTCTGGGGTTTGTTCATAGGATGGTGGCTCCCTGATTCCCCCATGGCTGCGAAGTGTTTCAACGAAGACCAGAAGCGCCTGATGATCGAGCGAGTGCGCGCCAATGAGACCGGTATCCAGAACAAGACATACAAACGCTATCAGATGATCGAGGCCATTACTGACCCTGTAGTCTGGTGCTACATCATGCTACAGGTCACCTCGACTCTCATTATTGGTGGCCTCGGCGTATTCTCCAACCTGATCATTGCCTCTTTCGGCTTCACCTACCTCCAAACGCAGTTGTTGAACATTGCACAGGGTGCCGTTACCATCATCGTTATGGTCGGCAGTGCCTCCCTCGCAACTTGGACGAAGCAGACTGCCTGGGTAATGCATGTAAGTCGGAGCCGAGCCCCATCTCCTCAAAGGCATCATGCTAACATGGCTCTTTCCAGGCTTGGACAATGTTAGTACCAGTCGACTTCCACGCCCCCTGAATCTACATAGCTAACACTTGAAAGCCCCGCCATCATCGGCACAGCTGTAATCTACAGCATCCCGCCGTCCCCCACGAACCGAATCGGCCTCCTAATTGCCTTCTACTGCACCCAATTCTATCTAGCTGAGGGCAATCTCATCTTCTCTCTTATCTCCCGCAACATCGCTGGCCAGACAAAGAAGTCGACAACCCTAGCCATGACTTTCATCGGCTGGGCCGCAGGCAACATGACAGCGCCCCAAATATTCCAGTCTAGCGACGCACCCCGCTACCGCAAGGGCTTCACCGCCCACTTCTGCCTCTACGTCCTTTTCAACCTCTTCCTCGCCCTCATGCGGTTCCTCCTCATCCGCCGTAACATATCCAAGCGCAAGGCCGCCGTCGCTGCGGACCCTTCCGGTCTCGCGGCCGAGGAGATCTCTGAAGACGACAAGGCTGCATCGGCTGGCGTTAGGGGGTCTGATGAGAAGATTGAGCACTCCAATGCTTTTGCGGATTTGACGGACAAGGAGAACCCTGACTTCCGGTATGATTTTTAAGTAATTGGTACATCACCGAGGCTTTCTCATATGCTGCATGGCTTTAGCAAAGGCAGTAGATACTCGATGCATAATTTCAACATACGGATTTGAATGTAACTGGAGACGATACTGGCGGACGTACATTTGTTAGGGACAAGATATATCTAGCCTAGAAATAAAGTTGTTGAACAAAGCCACCCCAACCTTGACATCTGTAAAACCTTGCTTACTGTATCAACGATTAAACAACGGTATATCAAAAGGTGGCAAGTGACAGTGGATCTACTGCTTTACATTTCATGCCTCGTACCACCTCTCTCGACATCTCCTCGAAGCCAATCCCATGCTCTTTTGTAATCCTATACGCACCCATGCCTCCATAGGTCACCTGATTGTAACCAAATTTTCGTAAATTATCATCAACAAGAAATTATCATTATTGTGGGTGAGACTTTACACGATGACGCGGCAGAAAAAGCCATTTCTCAATGGCTGACTACTCGGGCCTCCAAGTATAACCCCCCCATTGCGCTCCTTGATACACCATATTCCCATTTCACTTCGCTCCTACTGTTTCCTCACGCCGTCAGGGCGTCTGACACGACACTTGTCCGGTATACAAACCTCGCCAGGCCAACTTTTAACGAAAACGTCATTTATCGCGCGTCTCCGTGCAGGAGAATGCAAGGGTACTGAAAGAGGCAAGTACATCGTGCCTTGCGAGAGACACTGCCAGCAGCTGGCGATATAAGGCGAGAAATGGACCGCTGAAACGACCAAAAAGAAACAATATGGGATGGAGTGGCCGCGAGCCGTTAGGAGCACGTCGTCTTATCCTTTCCCAAGCTGTTATACAACTAGAGATGACGTCGATCCGGCGAGAAATAAACCATAAGGCGACTGCGGCCGAAACGCGCCCTAAAGGAACAAACTTCCAGACAGGAAGAAATTTCGGGTTACCATTTCCTTATCATCACGGCACACTCAGTAAAACCTCCCCGACGACAAAATAGACTTTGCTTGTCATGGTTAATTCTACTAGAAGATTTGTGCGGACCCCCTTTTTCTTCACCGCCCAAGTTTCTCGGTGTCTTGGTAAGAGCCGAGAGTACTGATCTCGTCAAGATGGTCGACTTCCAACAGAACGAGTGCATAGGACCAGATATTTGAGTAGGAGCCGAGTTGCTTCTGCTCTGTCCTTTCGAGTAGAAGCAAGGTTCGTGATCCGCTGTCATGAGAGATGCTCAGACGGCTTCAGGAATCGGCGCAGGAACCTCCATCTTTGCGAGAGTGCGGCCATTGTAACCTGGTCCAGCACACTTGGGATGAAGGGATTCGCCTGAGAAGAGCATACAAAAGCGGAAACCCTGTCGTGAGCCTAACTAGGAATTTTGCTGTTGGGATGACGGAGAGGGCATGATACTTGTGCCGCTTCAACCAACTGTCAAATCCAACGGTGTGCGATCGTGGGACTTGGTTCGACGACATGTGCTCGGACTGTGTTCTCTTCCCCAGCTGCCAGAGCGGTTTTATGAATCGAGCCTACTCAGTGGTGTTTCCCCAATCACCCTACGGAACGAACGCCCAGGCAGTGTTGGAAAGTTGAACCAACTGAACAACTGCACACACGTTTGACCACTGTCGGATAGAAGGTGCCGATGCCAGAGACCAACAGAGAATTACAGACGAGAACTACCTTACTAGGCAAACGCACTTATGAAGGACGATTGCCGCTTCCCCCGGGAACGGAGTGTTTCTTTGTCAGCATCAAGTTCTTCGGAGTGGTTTTTTTACGTTTGTCATGCGGAACAATGGAGCCGAGCCAAGGCTTGGGATCTGTCGAGAATTCTACTCCGTATATAGTACAAACAGCAACGGGGCCTGCAGATTGAGGTTGGACCTGGAACTGTGGGGACAACTCTTGGAAGGGCGCCACACGGGGTCAGCGACTGCAGCAACAGTGCCTGAAGAGTTTTGAAGTTAACAACCCTTCAAGCGGGATGCTGCTTAGACAGCTTCGCCACTGCGAAATGACTTCGCCTGTTGGCGAAGCTCTCATGGAATTGCAGTTCAGAGGCGACAAAAGCCGCTAGTGGCATGTCCGTGTTGGCATCAGTGCGCACTGATAACGGGCGTACTAAATAAGGCAGGCCGTTCGGACTTGCGTGAGTTCCAGAAGTCGTTCAGCGCGGTGCCCAGGTTGTTAACCGGGTCGCCAAGCTGAACACGTTCACCCTGAAGCTAAGCCCATGGCGTCCTCGATCTCGGCCGATAATGTGGGCGTCCGGGCCGTGAGTCTCACGATTATTGTTCAAGCGATCGACGACCTGGTGACATGATTACTGGCAATGTTTTCCAGAGGGCACCAGGTGTTGTAGGCACAAAATCAGGCAAGCGTTTGAAATACTGAAGCAGACGAGATGCCTTGTCTATGACATTCCCCTTCTGGCAAGTACTTCGCAGGGCCGCTGGAATAAGGGGTAACGTCCCACACCCACTTCTGGGCACCCCCCACATTTGGGCACCCCATTTACACCAAAAACGCCGTTTTTCGAAATTCTATATTAAACTAACTACTATACTTACTAAGAAAAGAAAATATATATAAACTATGTTAAGTATAATTATAGCCATCTAATTTTTTATAAAGGTTTAAATATAATAATAGTTATAATATAGAAGTTTAAAACTAAAAGCTTTAAAATGTTAGTAGATACTAGTAACTTACTAGTATTCCTTAACATTAGAAAAATATATTTTCGCTTATATATACTTATTTAAAAAATCTAGGAAATTAATATTTATACTTATTAAAAGTATATAATTATATCTAAAAGAGATTTAAAAGTATTACTTTAGTAAATATAGTATAATTAAGGGTTAAAATTCTATAATAGAAACTTTTCTTAAGGGAAATTTTAAAATATTATTCTAAGCTTAAAGAATTTTTTACTAAGTATAAGAATATATAAATCTACTATATCTTACTTAAAAATTCTAATCATATTAGTTAAATATCTCTACCTATTTTATATATTAAGATATAGGCTAGGTAAATTAGTATTATAAATGTTAAACCTTGAATTTATAATACTTATTATTAATAATACTAGTATATAGCTACTTAAGTATTATAATTAAGTCTTAATCTATTTAATATATATTTATTCTCTTTAATAAGTAAAGTATTTAGTTTAATATAGAATTTCGAAAAACGGCGTTTTTGGTGTAAATGGGGTGCCCAAATGTGGGGGGTGCCCAGAAGTGGGTGTGGGACGTTAACACGGGCATCGTCTTCGAAAAGCTTCTGGCTAAACTTTGTCAAGCCCAAGTCCAGACAGATCAGTTAGCCGTGCACCAGCACCTACTGCAGCGAGATGCCGCTTTCTTCTGCAGCTGAAAGCACACGTTGGCTGTCATGCCTGTCAACGACCTATTGAGATTCAGGATCGCAGAGCTATATAAACGGCAAGAGCCTGGGAAGGAATGCTTCGGGTCGAATAGTGCAAGAAGGCCCATGAATATGGGCAGAGGATTGCGCCAGATGCTCCAGGTACTGTCCACAGTGCCTCTGCCTACCAAGGCTCGAGTAAGGTTGCTCGCAGCAAGTGCCAAACAAACAACAAACTAAAGCATGCAAGACAGCACGCACGCACACCTCAGCACTGCTCTCTTACTCTTCAGAGTTTCTGAGACACCAGCGAGAGGTGCGCTTACTGCGTGATTGTGCGTAGATAGATAGCGCGCGTAAATGCCTATGAGCAGCTTGACGATGTATTGCCACGGCTCCATAAGTTGCACGCGCCTCAGACCTTGGCCTCCTCTGTTCTTTCCATGGCCTAGCCCAGTGGCAGAAACACGTGGGAACGGAGAGGCGGTCGTCAGATAGTTGATGTCTGACTTGACCCTCATAAGATTGAGTTCATGCACGTCGCTCAGATTGTAGCATAAACAAGGGCCCCGAAGAGAATACGGGCTCGTAGCTCAACAACCGAAGGAACGAGATTGCGCCCGTTCCATTCTGTGATGTCGAATGTCAGTGTGAGCTAGGCCCGGACTTAGTCTATGGCGTGGGCCTTGGCATGGGCCGCACAAGATGTGGCGATGAGCTTGTTTGCTGCCAAACGCCTACTACCCCCCGATGACCAAAGTCAAACCTGGCTCATGCGCGCCAGTGCTGCAGCGTGAATCTGGAGTGGGTGTGAGAAGGGGAGAAAAGTGCTGCACTGCGAGCCGTGATTCCATCACACATAGCCTGCAATGCAATCAAGACAGGCATGACAGGAACCCGCGTACGAATACGCGTTCGGTTTCGGCACGCAGAATCTCACATTGAAGATGGAGATGATCTGAAAATATATGCCTGCATTCAAAAGTGTCAGTTGTTAGACGATTAGGAAGTGAGTTCAGTCGCGAACGACGCGAAACGCAGTGTCAGTTGCAGTCCGAAGTTCACCGGAGATCGGCGACGGCGGATGCGATGGGCTGGAACGGGTGGAGACTGGCAGCCCCCAGAAGGGTACAGTGAAAATTGATGGTGCTGGTGTACGTACTAGTGGACAAGCAGGGGGAAAGGTAGCAAGTGAATCAGGTGCAGCTTCTCCCACCGCAATCTCTAACAACTACGAGCCACCCTGGGCCCCTGGTCGCTCCAGGGGATGGAGGATCACGTGCGCGGAAAAGGCCCGGTAAAAACTGGGTTTGATGGGTTTGAATGGGATCGAACTGGGGAGGTGCAGGCAAGACCAGGCATGGTGTACATGTTAACCTGTGCATGCTTTTACACTAGGTGCTGGCCATAGAGAGATTATGTCGTTTTTTTTTTTTTTTTTCCCTCTCGTTCTTTCTTTTGTCACCCAGGTGGTAGGCACTCCAGAGGTAGGGGTTACTCTGCATCTTAAGGTAAGGTAGGCGTTTTCGATCGGCAAAAGCTCGCCAGCCCTTCCCGGGACCTGGATCTCACACTATGACTGTCGCTGTCGCCGTCGCCGACTCCGATAAGACAGGTACTCTGATTG